CAGGCTTCCTGTCTCATTCGGCGGACTTCCACATAACAGAATTCCAGAATCTTGGTACACGCCGAATAAGAGGCCCAAGTCATGGAGGAAGTCACCCATAGCAGGGAATCCTTGAGGAAATAGGGTTTCATTCCAGGTCAAGGATCCGTCAGGCAGTCGGTCTGCGACCGTCCAACCGCAGTCTGTCGTGACATACCGATATCCAAGTGATGATAAGCCTAGGTCAACCAATGCTTGTGCATTGGACCGAACGATGGTCTCGTTTGGGGAGCACGAGTAGTGATTGTATGTGTTCCATCTGGCCAATGGTATTAGTCCTGTATATGGTCAAGGCGTGCTCAGCCTACCCCATTTGTGGTGTCAATGCTAAGCCATCTTGCAGCCGTGGCTGTAGGGATGCAGCGGTTACTACACTGCTCAGTGCAGCATATGCCAAGAGGTGAAGCAACATCACGATTTTCAACTCCGGCTATTAGTACTGAAGGCGCTGGACCATGAGTTGCGTCAAGTGCGGGGTGCGTCTGCAGACTATTTGTATTCATGCATTTAACCGATGCTCTCGGCCTGAAGACTCGGACATAATGCATCACCACTTAATTAGCCGGGAACACAAGTTTGCAACATCAGCTCACAGCTTCGAACAGCCATGCGCAATTCTGACTATTGCCAAACCTTCATCTGCTTGGAGACTCACGTATTGGACGACGAATATGTTTTCAGCCACAGCGTGGCGAGAATAAGGTTATATGAGCGAAGCTATACTCCCGCCACCATTCGAATTGTCTTGGACTGTTTTATCCGGATAACCTTCGCTGCTGCGGCTTGTGCTTTCATCATCGGTGGTCGGCCATGAGGGCCGTTTGGATGGCTTCAGCTGTTAGGGTGGGGACAAATTGGGTGGCAGTAGACGAAACCTTTTATATAACCGAGAGCGCTGTGGGATGTGTCATCGTTGAATTGATCTCGAAACAGAAGCCAATTACCGTCAAATCCAGCTGTATCGAGTCGGTGACTGCTCTTTAAGCATTGTGATCGTCAATCGGAAGATCATTGAGCACTCCAAATGCTCCACCTCATTGTCTAATTCCATTAAACTTGCCTTGATATTGTGCATAATTCCTTTAGATTCGTCAGTTGTTCATTGCCAAGTACCCAGCCGAGAGCATCTGACCTGATCACCTCCCTCATTTCGTACAATTCCTGCATTTTATCTTGCACCGAATCATGAGCTTCTCTGATGTTGCGCGTTTGAATATGACCTGAAGCATGCTATTGAACCCCCTTCGGTGATTTTGAAGATTGAATGAAGTTCACAAGATTGCAGATGACATTCGAAAGTGCATCAGTATGACATGGTAGCGAGACGAAATTCTGCATTGTGTCGAAGCGACAATAATGCAAAATCGCTGGTCAAGAATTAATGTCATCTAGCTCAATCTATTATCTTGCATTTATCACATTGTCACTTTTTGTCAAGAGATAAAATCAGCAAACACCTACAAGGACCGACCTCTAGTGTAGTCGGACAAGGTGCAACAGTTCCATGAATTGATACAGATGATAGTATAGTGTATTTCAATATTAATTCACCATGTATATGGCTAATATACTCGGAGTCAAACTTCCAAGGACTAAGAAAAGGAGGTTTCGCCACTCCTAACGCCATTCGTCCGGGGTTTGGCTATCTCACTAGCGGCATAACAATGCGCATCCGTCGAACTAAAACAATCCCCGTAAGACAAGCCATAATTCTTCAGACCCCGAGGCTATTTGCATATGAGGGAAAAACTGCATCAGCTTCGTGATTGGATAGCCCCACGCATGAATGCAGACGCACGATAGAATCAGAAGTCACACCGCAATTTCACCGATGAGAATTGTATGCCAAATTACACGGTTTATGTGTATGCAGTACGGCTAAGGTTTCGGACGTGACTTGTCGGAATTGCTCAAGTAGGATATAAAACGCCGACGGATTCTCACACTACTGTCAATCCAAATACGCGCCGTTATGACTCACGGATCCCTCAAGATCGCTCTCATTTATGAGTTTCGCGAGGCCTACAAAGCCCTCGGTTATTCAGATGTGGACTGCAACAGGTTTGAGGTCGGAGAAGCTGCCGATCACATAGCTGCAGTTCTCAAAAAGTTGGGACATGTGGTTGTCCTTATCCCAGATATCCATTCTCTGGTTGAAAGGCTCGCAAATGGCGAGTGTAGTAAGTGGGACTTGGCATTCAATACCACCGAGGGCCTGCATGGATTAGCCCGAGAAGGTCAAGTTCCTGCATTGTTGGAGGCATACCAGATTCCGTTCACATTTTCGGATGCGGCCACGATGGCATTGTGTTTGGACAAGGGCAGAACAAAGGTGGGTGGGCATGGGGACTATTTCAGACCATTGCAGCTAACGGACGCTTGATAGATGGTTCTTGAGCATTTCGATGTCCCAACTGCGCCCTTCGCAGTGATACACTTTAATCATACCCATGGAAAGGCGCAAACTTCATTAGATGAAATCCTCTCGATGATTCGCATGTCTCGACATTCCGAAGCGCTGCTGAGTCAATATCCATTGTTTGCAAAGCCTCTTGCCGAAGGCTCATCCAAAGGCATTGGAGTCAGCAACAAGATAAAGAGCATCGAATCGATATGTGAGGTGGTCCATTCTCTTCGAGATTCTAGCCCTTCATCCCTTGGGGTTCTCATCGAGAAGTATCTTCCCGGCCGAGAGTTCACTGTAGGCATCCTAGGAACGGGCGATGATGCATGGGTGGTCGGTGTCGACGAGATAGTATGGTGTAGCAAAGAGTCAACAAAGTCTAATCCTGAGACAGTAGAGTACACCACTGAAAAGTCCAAGTCAGCCGATGATTGGGCAGGAGAGGCCGACGAGATCAAGGTCGATCGGGATGACCAAGAGGCTGACCTTGCTTGTCAGACAGCTCTTCGAGCATGGACTGTTCTGCGCTGTCGCGATGGAGGAAGAGTTGATATACGAATGGACAACTCAACTGGGCGGCCAATTGCTCATGTCATGGAGGTAGGTAGATCAACTGACAAACATACTTGTCCTTGGCTCACAATGGTTCAGATCAATCCTCTGGCCGGTCTTCTCCCACATTGGTCACAATTGCCCATGATCGCCGAACACAATAATGTCTCTTATGATGAGCTTATTGAACACATACTGAAGAGTGCTATGAAGAGGCGGAGGGCTCAAGTTCCGAACTGAGGGTATTTGCTGTTACAGAATAAGCTGAGTTGACGATTACGTAGACATAACCAGCAACAAACCACTATGGGAAGGGAAGTACTTTCTTCAGAACGTAATGAATCATGTAAGACGTTACTATGCCGTGGCAGAACCAAACGTTAGATTACCGTACAGAAGGGAGGCTCTCGTTGCGTGATCTGCCCATATCTTTCCTTCAACTTCAAGAATTCAAGAAGTCTAGAACTATCTGTGTCTCAGTCGATTATTAGCCTAGGCTTCTAAACTAGATGCCTTCTAACTGTGAACACAAGTCTGTTCCATACATTCCCTGCCTATTGACACTAGAGAAATAGTAGGAATTACTCCAATGTCTCAGGTAGATTTTACTGACTGAGAGAATGCCACTTAGAGCAACATTCGGCTACTGCACCATCCTAAACAGCCTTCGCCATGCCAAGAGACTTCTTCGGACTATTAGCTTCTATTGAAGTCACGGTGCATGCTACACCTGCACGCTTGAACCGGTAGTGACTATGATGTAAACTGCGTGATCCACCAGCTGACCACCGACAATCAACCAGAATGCAGAGACTCTTCACACTGTGAGAGACAGTCCACCCACGATGTGCGACTCCAAAACTTTCTCGGATAGCTGAGGGCACAGAAACCAGGATGGAGTGGGTGATTCCAACCACAGTCAGTGTCATCTGTGGCCTCGATATCCCGAAGGTCCGAATGGTAGTATCAACAAGGTACTTCCAATTGCTAGTAGATCTTATTCGCCCAAAACAAGGAACAAGTCTATCGAACTATACCTTTGTCGATCCCATCTCATCAGTGGGGAATTGTCCCACAATTTCTTCAACGGGTCGGAAGGCCATCGGAAAGGGGGAGAGCCACTCATCACAACCTCAATCACAGCCTCGCCGGTTGAATTAACGGGTAAATAGTGAACTAAGACAACGGTTTCGCTTGTCATTGTTCCCGAGGTTTGCCAGTCCCCAAAATGAGGCTTTGTGGAAATCGAACCGCACCAATCCGCAAGGGTCTATCCTATCGACCCCCTCGTCCCCTCTTACCAGTCCCATAATCTCCCACGCAATGGACTATCTATATCGCCCATCACGGCTGCAACATATATGTATGTCTCACTATCAACCCCTCATACAGTCATCCCACATCCCCGTAAGACACTTCTCTCAATCAATGACAAACTCATGGTGTCACTTCGGCCCGTCCGCCTCCCCCAGAATGAGACATGTCTGTACTAATGTGGGTCTCATATGCGCCGATCGATTTCCCTCACCCATAAGAAGCGAATCCACTTACTGGAATTCATGCAATCACCGTTGCCATTTCTCCGATGTCTCGCCAGGGGCACCCACATGGCCTCCAGCCACAGCCAATAAACAGGCCTTTCAAACCCCGCCGTGTTAAATTTAGGTCACTTTATTGCCATCGAGGGGGGACCCTGAATTTTAGACTAAGGCAATCATATTCCAGTAGTAGCTTCCATCGGACCAATCGCCCTTTCTGGGGGCGATGACAGCATACCTGCTGTGCTGGGTAAGTAGGGACTGCCTGTGGGTTGAGACATTGTATATTGGCAGCTGTAAAGCGGCCGTTACTAATTATGGTGCTGGCCGAGCGAGATGAAAGGTATAAAAGGTAGCTTGATGTCCTCGATAATCATGCCTTCATCATCACAAGTCTCTCATATCCTTCACACCCACCCAATCAACAAACCAACTCTTCCCAAATCTATACCAAACCATCCTTCAAGATGCAGCTCAAGAACCTGATCTTCGCCGCCGCTACTGCCGCCGCTCTTCCGGCCACCGACGCTGCCACCAACCAGCCCTTCGGCGTCATCTCCATCCACTCCGGCAGCAGTGTTCAGTATGCTCCCTTCAACGCCGCCCTTGGCAGCATCTTCGCCGGCCTGAAGAGTCAGAACGCCAGCTGCTCCAACCCCCAGGACCAGACCGCCACCTTCGTCCTCAACGACGGTGCTCTCTACCTGTATGACCAGTCTGCCACTCCCCAGGAGCTCTACGTTGATCGCTCCGGCATGGGTATGTTTATCTCTTTCCTATCGTGTAATCAAAAGTACTTTTTGCTAATATGGATTGATTTGCTACAGGCCAAGGCAAGATCGGATACACCACCGGCGCTCAGCCCGCCCCCAAGAACGGTGAACGCCAGGGCTGGTCCATCGACCAGAACAACCACCTGCAGTTCGGTGGAAAGGACCTGATTGCCTGCCCCAACAGCATCCAGGGTGCCTGGAGCATCTGGGCCGATGCTGGTGTCGAGAAGCCCGGCTGGAACGAGGGCTGTGAGGGTATTGCTGCCCGCGTTGAGTACAGCAAGAACCCCAACGTTTGCTCTTACACTTCCAACTAAGGCAGTACGGATGATTCCGCTGGATGCTGCTTGACAAGATGCTTAGTTGGGTTTTTGAGTTCTGCTGTCGAATTTGAGTTGTTATTCATTTAATATAGTGCTATATAGCGAATCCATTTATTTCGTCGCTGAAAGCTGTGGTCAAGTAATTTCTGATGATATTAAATACTCTGTGATGAGCATATCTCGGCAGTGCCTGGCAAATCTTAAGGCACCTTTTACGCCGATGGTACCTACTTCCGAACAGGAAAATTAGCCTTCATACTTCCTCCTCCCTCATATATCGCGATGACGCTAAGATAACGTTGGCATAACCTGCGACGGTGGAAGAGGAATTCGATAGCTTATCCGTCCTGTGGCGATCTTATCTTAGCGCCGAGCTTGTCAACATCTGGTCGAGAAGAATGGCTACGTAACCCAGTAATGACCGATGTAATGATCCAACACCCATATGGAACTGGCGCTCGTGGCGGTTATTCGTCGCCAAATAATTAGTAGCTAAAGAAACTCACGATGCATCTTTCGAGGCCATAAATCAAGTGAAAGGCAGGAACTATCCTCCAATGATACGTGTCTCCATACTAATGTTCAACTGTGGTTGCGCTAGCAGTAAATATATATATATATATTGATGACCAGATCTGAGTAATCCTAGTGCATACTGCGGTAAAGCGGAGGCACACTTGGTAGGTTAAGAAGGGCCCGAACAATGTGCGTATGCTTTCGAAAAAAATAAGTATATTTAACATCGGTTGATCGATCAAGAACAATTTTCCGCATTGTATCTCAATCTCGACTGCAAGCTTGTTAACGGTCTGAATGGGTATGGCTACATGCTAAGTAGCGGTCTAAACAGGCTGCAATCAAAAACTACAAACTTTTCGAAAGTACTAATTCGCATCATTCGAGATAGTGACCTTCGCCATAAATAGTCATCTTAAGAAATATCAACATCGTGCGATCAACATTAAAGTTGTGCTGAACTTCGATAAGATTACAGGGTCAGGGGCCACGGGACCGCCAGCCACCCGAGGCACCAACATTCCCTGACTGAGGCATTAAGGGTCTCACCCATCAGATGACAGAACTGAATCTAGATCACCAGCGGGACCCCAAGTGGCTTCAAGGCAACGTATTCTCTGCAAGCTGAAACCTCAACAGCCAGCAAGCAAACAAACAGTCAGTCACACTACGGGTGTCTTTTCAATCCAACTATACAATTTAGGATGCTAGGTAACTTGCATAGCACAATTGCTCCATAAGCGAACAATCCCACCACATCCCCGGATCCCCCGGAATCCATACAGCTCACCTTTTCCCTCTATAGTCTAGTCCATCGCCCTGCGCTTTCTCGAAGGGTCGATGACCGAATCCGCGTTCACAAAACCCCTAATACCAAGAGACAATTACGCACATGAAACGCTCTTCGTCAGAACTACCGAAGCCAAGGCACAACTCCGACGATCCTTCTCCCGTCCAATCCGGGCCGATATATCCGACCAGTGTAGTACAACATTTCGAGACAGTCACAAGCACGAGCTCAAGACATTTGGATTAGAATTCAATGGTATAGTGCTGCCTGTGAGCCAAACCAAAAGAATAACCCAGTGAGATACACTCCATCGTGAGCAGAGCAGAGCAGAGCAGGCAGAACCCAAATTCCAGTCAAGTCATGTGGTGGCAAGCCGGTCAAAGCCACAACCCGCAAAAAAGAGAGCGAATCGGGATGAGAGCCAGTTTCCCAACCCAACGGACGAACCAGGATGTTTCCAAGATTCGGAGTTCACGGATAAGTTCTATTTCGGTGGTGGCAGTACCATTCCCTACCACTCCTACTACAGTGTACTTATTGCAGTACACTGTTGAGTGTGGTGAACAGTCGCAGTGAAAACAGCCAAGCCGCGCGCCACGCCACAGCCACAAGTTTACTAACAAGAATAAGAACAAGATACATGCAAGAAAAAACCTCAACCACATCATAAGCAAATAAGCCAAGCCCACGAATAATATGCAGAAGCAAACAAAAAACAAGCGAAAAGCAAACGTCATCACAGGCAACACCATTCCCACTGCCCCATTCTGGCCTGGTCTCATTAATGGAGTATAGTGTTCTAGTCTAACTCTCCAGGTTCAAACCTGACCAAGGCCCTGATGGAATCGCATTGCGTGGACCCATCCCCCCAAGAAATATGTCCTCATAGTGGAGCCACGATGCCGTGTTCCGTCGAATTACCGATGATGGATGGCTCGACACTATCCACTTTTGCAATCTGCGATGAGATTTTATTCGTCGGTGCCTTGGTGGATTTTCATTGCCACGGTGGCTAGGCTAGGCACTGTCCCATACGGAGTACTGGTAGGGTGCTATTCTTATCCGTTGAGAACAGTGGAATCGTGTGTATTACTCTATTGCCCTGGTGATCCTTATTTGAGCCTCTGGGAGGGTAGGGTAGGGGGGGTATAAATACTTTGCTTTTCCTGCTCTATCTTCCTTACATATTTCTCTACTTATCAATCATATCTACTACTTTCTCCATACATCGGGGTTTTATCTATCTATCTATCTACCACTACTACCAAACCTAATCTACTACACCACAACCAAATCAAACCAAACCAAACCAAACCAAACCATCACAATTAAAAAAACAACCACCAAAATGAAATACGCCCTCACCTCCCTCCTCCTCACCACCGCCCTCCTTTCAACCCCCACCCTCTCTACCCCCGCACCCGACGTGGTCAGCGACGCCATCGGAATCGCCCAAACCGCCGTATCCGGAGGCGAATCCCTAGCAACCAACATCGCCAACGACGCGACCTCCATTGCCTCTGACGTCGCGACCGGCGGCGCAGCGGCATACTCCTCCCTGACGTCCGCGGGCGGAGAAGTAGCCTCTAACGCCGAATCCTGGGGCACGTCGGTGGCGTCGGATGCGCGGTCCGATGCGTCGGCGGCGGCATCGGATATCAGATCTAAGGCGTCGGATGTAGCGTCGGAGATTACTTCTCGGTGGGAGAGCGCGACGACGTTGACGGGGTCGAATGGGCAGCCGACGAGTACGGAGACGATGAGTGGGAAGACGACGTTGACTGCTAGTACGGCGAGTGCGACGGGGAGTGCGGCTAGTACTACTAGTACTGCTAGTGGATCGAGTGCTAGTGCGACGAGTTCGACGAGTGAGGGGGCGGGTGTGGCTATGGCGACGCCGGGAGTTGGGTTGGGGATGGGGGTTGTGGGAGTTGCGGGTGTTTTGGGGGTTATGGCTGCTTTGTAAGGGTGGAGTTGAGATGAAGGGGATTTGATGATGGATGGTTGATGATTGATACCAATGTATATGATGTTTTGATTTGAATTATAACATATCAAGTTGTTTCATTCTTGTCTATTAGTATTGGTATATATATGTAAACTGTATAATTAGTAGGAAGCACTAGTTTGCGCCTCATCTCTCTTCTCTGCTGTCTCTGACTCCGGTTTCTCCTCTTCTACCCCGTCCACTGTCATCTTCGGCCCCGTGTACCACTTGCGCGCGAACAGGAAGTAGTACGCCATGCAAGCGACCCACACGAACCCGTTAATGACGATAGTGTAGTTCATATCGGATGCTATAACACATTAAGTTAGCACAGTTCCCCACAAAATGACCATATTCTTATGAATCTGGAAAAAAGGGATTAACATACGACTCGGATTCGGCCCCGTCGTCGGAAACATCGACAACATCAACCCAAAAGCCAACCACAGCACCGCAATAATCGCAATCGGACGGCTCATAAATCCCGTATAGAACTCCCCCGGCGTGAAGCGCTCGTTGCCCCAGATTAAGCGGCAGAGGATAGGCGTCGCCCACGCAACGTAGTTACTGGCCACGAAGAGCGAGAAGAGTGCGTTCGCTGCGACGGAGTTGATGAGACAGAGCAGGCCGAAAACGATGCTGACGGCAACGAGGCCGCAGATTGCGCGCACGGGCTGGTAGCGGATGCGACGACTGACGTGGCGGAAGTAGTTCGAAAAGGGGAGAGCGCCATCGCGGGAGAAGGCCCAGGCTTGGCGAGAGGCAGCGGTGATCTGTTATTTGTTGGGTTAGTATTGTAAGTTGGTTTAGATTGTAGATGTGAATGTGGAAAAAGGGATGGGCGGGCATACCAGGCTCAGGCCGATTAGGAACTGGATTACGATTAGCACGGCCATGAATCCGAGCGCTCCCTTTTTGCCGAGTGCATCATAGTAGATTTGGGCCATGGGCTGGCCGAAGACGGAGTTGATTGTTGCGTTGACGTCCGGGTTCATTACCGAGGCTATAATGCTGATGACTAGGAAACCAAATACGCATGCGCATCCGGAGGACCAGATGATTCCGAGGGGAACTGCTTTGGCGGCGTGGAGGGCTTCCTCGCTCATGTGCACGCAAGAGTCGAAGAATCCGATCGACCAGATTGGCGCGAGGAAGGCGAGAATGAAGTTCCACCCTGTTGGCCATGTACTCTCGTTGTCCACGTGCCCAAAGACCCAAGTGCCTGCGTTGAGAGACTCCCCGCGAGTCACTTTGCCGACGGGCAGAGCGATGACTGTAGCGATGATGATGGCAATGTTGATGAAGATGCAGAATGTCTGGATGCGCGGCATGATCGGCCCGGAGTAGACGCTGACGACGGCGTGGACTAGGATGAGACCGACATAGACGCCGTAGATAGTGCCATTGGAGGCGGAATAACTGCCATCGCGGGTGATGGAGACGCAGGCGAGGATCATGAGCGCGAGAGTGTCTGGCAATTAGCAGCTATTCCATCTTAGGGGTCAGTGAGAGCTTACAATCCACAGAGCAGATTCCGCCGATCAGGCCCAGTGTGTTGCTGTAGCCAACCAGAAAGCTCAACACATTTTTATATTTCTTTCCAGCAAAGTAGTGCGTCCACCAGTATAGACCACCAGCTGTGGGCATACCCGATGCCATATCGGCCTATATCGTTATCTTAGCATGGCTTGGCATGGACTAGGGGCGAAGAACCACATACCAGAGCCAATCCAACGAAGAAGATCAAGATACTTGCGGTAAACCAGCCCTGCATGATATTAGCTCGTGTCACGCGAGCTGTAACCCCAAATGCAGATACCCACCCAGATCATCCCTGCAGGCCCGGCGGGTAAGGAAAACGAAAGTGTAGATGCGATGGATGGTACTAGTCCCATAATACTGAACGCGACGGCGAATATTTGCACGGTGGAATACTGGCGACGAAGTTCCTGTTTATAGCCCATTTTGGCTGGTATCAGTTAGCATGGGCGTCCCTTACCCTCGTCCATGAGCAACCGGTCGCAAACTCACCTAGTAGTTGCGAATCTCCGGGATCCGACAGTCCAACTTCCTCCACGCCAGAGTTGGCCGACACGGCCGTAGGAGATGCCTTTGCGGCCATTATCTCGGAGATAGGGGCGCGCAGACGAGGAAAAGTGAGGTCAAGCTGGATACGAGACGCAACGAGGTTGTCAAAGGAGGCCAAAGGATCAAAAGAGACTGAAGTCGAGGCCAGTCACGGGGGAAGAAAGCAGCAGTTATAGGGATCGGATTGAGTTTGCCAAGCAACGGAGCAAACCTTCTCGATCCTCGACTTCTTCAGTTCGGATCAGTTTGGCTGTCAAGGTCCGTGACACCGACAATCCTGTTGCAAGGAGTGTCAGAAAGAAGAGAGGGAGACGTCCTCCGGGTTGCCGTCAGGACATCCCTGGAACTGCTGGCCATTTTCCTGTGTTCGAGTGCTGGGGTTGCAGGGTGGTCTTCCACGGACCTCTTGTTGCATCTCCTCACTCCAGCTACACCCCCCCACATGGGGGGAGGTCGTGGGTCGCCGATCATCGGGATGGCAAGATTGGATTGTGTGCCACTGGGCCTCTGCAAGGCATGGAAATGAGAATGGGCAACGCAAAGGAGTAAGATCGGCTAGCGGGAACCTGATTGACAGTCTGGTAAGCTTGCTGTCATCCCAAAATATTCTCAGATTATCCTTTTCCATCCATCATTCAAAAAGTATGAGTTTAACCTTCTTCTTTGTCTCTGCTTACCTGCAGGAAATAATGATGATCGATGAGCTGAGCAGTGCTATAGACTGCGCTGGAGTCCGCGCAAAGGAAATCCCGCAGAAGGAAAGGAAAGGGGATCCACCGCCCGGCCAGGAGGTGAGACCAATGGCCATCCCGTATTCCCTGTTCCCTGGAAATGGCTGCTGCACTAAACAGCCACGGCCACTCTAGAACTTCGCTTGTCACTGGCTCGATCGCAGTGCCCGCAGATTGAGTGTCTGCAACTTGCGTCGGATGTATTCTCCTCCATGTGCTAGTCTGATGCTAGTGAAGCGTGCTAACGGCAGAACACGGAAGCCTTAATCTGCCACGCACGATATCGGCTCTAGTTTAGTATAGTGTAAGGATAGTGTAGGATTAGTTGTGACCTGCACGTAATAATATCTATTGTTAGCGAAGGCAAAAGCCGGTCGGAGATGACCCGCGCCCACTTGCTTGGGTCAAAGACTCAATCTTCAGTCATCAGTGCGCGCTTCTACATCTCCACTCGGAGGACGCCGCTGAACCATAAACTAAAACTTAGTTCGTCTGTCTACCAAACTAACTGTTGCGGAACTCTCTCTCCAACTCCTGATAAGTCCACCGAATTTCTGCCTGGTTGTTTGACTTGTTTCAAGCACCATCCATGACGTTCCGTCCAGTGCCGATCGAAGGCTACTAACTATACATATGTACAAAACACTTTATGATGACTAGGCATAGAAATAACTTCCAACATAAGACAAAGTAAGAATGAATATCATAATATTGGGATAGATCAACTGCTGCGCTAAGATAAAGTCACCGGAAAAGCAAGTTCCAGATGATGCAAAGCTCCCTGATCGAGATGCAAACTCCATGTCGCCAAACGAGACCCTATTGCAGTCGCTGCTGTTCACATCATTATTACAGGGTATCTATGTGCCACTTTTATCGTACAGTCTATAATACATGAGAAGGGAAGTCGCGGGGTCTTGCCGCCGCCCGTCACATCCTTTTAACGTCCCTCAAGGACCTTGAGAACCAGCTCGTAGGTCCCGATGGTGATCGCGGCCGACGGCACCGTGCGGAGAAGGTGTGCCGTCAATCCTCCATACAGCGCGATCACTCCCTCTTCCTTCAAGATCAACCGCGCGCACTGGAGGATGCTCGTATATTTCTGGCGACCGTCCGCCATCGGAGCCTGTCGAAGTCGAGTACGAATAACCTGCAAATGTCAGAATATGCTATTCTCGGAAGACTTTCGACGCGTCAACTCACCTCATGAGGATACGCGATCAAACAAGCAAACAGCTTCGACAATCCCGACGCTCCACTCAGAGCAAGGCCCTGCACAAACTTGTTCGAATCCGAGTTCTTATCCAGATTGACCTCCTTAGAGATGAGTCCCTTAATCCGCTCGTACATGGCCAGATGCAGTGTGGTTTCGATTGTGCCCAGGTAGCTGGCCGTCAGACCTCGGTAGAGACCCTTAGGTCCTTCTTGTTGCAGAATCTGCTTGGTGCAATCCAGACTGTTCTTGTACCGGCGAGCACCGGCCTTATCCAACTGAAGACGAGTTTTTACCACCCAGATGGGGTTGGTGGCTGAGCCAGTGGCGATACCAGCGCATGCTGCGGACATGGCATGTACCAAAGTTGTATCCTTGTCGCAGCCCAAGATCTCCGGCAGCAGGCGTTTGCAGTTGCCATATGTGTAGAACTTCACCGCACTGGCCGGAACAACACCCGTCAAGCTGGGTCCGAGACCCTTGAACATACCCCGCCAGCCTTCAACACGATGGATTGAAAAAAGAATGCCGAATGTCTCCCGGAAATGGCGGATAGAAGTCTTAACGAACGACTGACGAACGTGCGCGTGTGTGGGAATCGAGCGGTTCGCGCCTGACGTCTGGTAATAGTCGGTTTGTAAACTAAAGGCACAAGATATGTTAGTATGCAAAGCTCCGTTGTTTCTTGCGTTGGGGATGAAGGCTTATCCTACCGCGTGCGGAGAACGTCAAGAGGACTCGTAACAATAGCGGTGACCATTCCACCGGTACTATTTCGAATCATCAGTATTGAGCTTCTCAACCATAGCATCGAATCAACTCACGCGCCAGCAATCAAATGGTTCCATGATCCCAAGCTAGACACGCTGGCCTTCTCTTCGATTGCCTCCGTCGGCAGTGACGGCGGGAGCGGATCTCCAGACGCGCCTCCCGACTGGTGAGCAACAGGCTGCATCTTGCCGGAGGTTAATGAAACAAGATGATAATTTTCCAATCTGCTCAGCGGCACTTGAGTAACAGAAAACTCCAGGGGCCAGAGGAGAGATCGGAGAGTGCAGGAGAGATTAGCCTGGCCTGGGCAAAATCAGGAAAGTTTTTTTTGCAGGAATAAAATACCGAGCGGCGAATCCCAGGCGGTCTGGCCTTCCCCGTCCAATCATGTGACCTGCCATCGAGGTCCATGGATATCCACTCTGTGACCCATTTGTGACATAGGTGGTTACCTTCGTAGGTGGAAAGCTTTCCAATATGGTTGTATTCATAGTAGAACCTCTGATATACTGTCCATATTCGGGGTTTACGAGAGTAACCCCCAAATCGATGGATTGGCAACTCGCGCGTCAGGAAATGCTGCTTACTCCGGAGCTGTCGGGGGAGGATCTGTCCCCGAATGCCTTAGTCAGGCGGCCCCACCCCGCGACGGCCCCACTGGCTTCCCCATTCAGGTCAGCTTCCAGGGCCTCAGGAACCAAGGGGAGAATGTAACGCTGTACGGCTTACAGAGCTGCGGATTTCTGACATTCACGAACTCATGGAGAGTATTTTTTTAAGTAGTTGGGACACATGAGGTATTCCTACTCTGAATAACCTACTTTGTTGGTGACTATTAACTTATACTAAAATGAAGTAGGCATGAAACATAGTTTGGTAGTAGCAGTATAGTAAGACGTCAATAGACGGTATTATTACTGTTCCAATGTCTAGAAGAGGAAGTAACTCTTTGTTATTGGAGGTAGTACTTAGCCACTTATATATAGATACATATAGTAGTAGAAGGTGTGTACGAGAAGAAAGAGGCAACCGGCACACACTTAACTTGAATGGTTTCAATGCCATTGATAATGAGTGGAAATAATAGTAGTAAGACATGATGCAATTGTGAGCATTCCCCAAATAGCATATCCCTTGAGCTTCCTACTAACATGCATATTGAGCGAAAACAAAGAAGGAGGTCAAGCAGGAACTGATAGAGAGCTTCTCATGATTCAATAATCCCCCCACTCACGGGTCGGGTACATAAGCTGCAGGGCAGTTAGGACATGTTTATAGCTCAGCTTAGTATCCCGATAGCGGGCGAGAACTCTGGCAGAGTTTAGAACGTTCCTGATTTCTCTTCCATTTAGATCGCAGTCCTCCAGGTTGAAAATCTCACTCTCGGAGAATGCTTTTCTATCCGACTTTCCGAGTAAACGGGTCCAGATATGGCTGCGGGACTTCGCGTCAAGTTCGGGATAGTGGATGGCAACATCGATACGGGATTCCAAGGTAGGGTACATGGTCTTGACGCGATTACTAGCCAGGATTAAAATTCCCTGGTAGACGTTGTGTTAGGACTATTTTTAGAGACTGTCTTAGGCACTTACCTCAAAGTATTCCAGTAGTGGTAGGAATGCATGGTAGAGCGCCATTTCCTGGGGATCGCTGGGGTTGTGTTCCTGTGTGAAAATATCGGCCTCCTCCAGAAGAAGTACAGCGCCCCATTTCGTAACTATACGAAGGACATCGCTCAGGCTCTTCTCTATTCTCGCGGCAGTCGTTCCTAGCGCTCCCGCTTTCTGGACGTAAAGCGGCACTTGCATGACTTCGGCAACACATTCGGCCGTCAGAGTCTTGCCAACTCCAGAGGGACCATGGAGGAGTAGAAAGATATTGCGACCTCTGCCTTTGAGCAGATCATCAGAAATATCGGATTTCTCTGACTGGGAGCTCGCGAATGCAAGAACTAGGTCTCTGAGATCTTTCGCCTCGCCGTCAGGCAGTATCAGAGATTTAAACGGTCGCAGTTTCCAGACAATGTCTGATACACCATCTATGGAAAATTCGAGCCATTTTCTGTCTTTGAGAGAGTATCCACGTAAAATTGGAGTTGCGATCAGAAAGTCTTCATCGGCTGGTGGGTCGGATATGTATTGCAAGCTTATTTGAGGTCCATTGGAGTGGAACTCGAGATATGCCTCCGTGTCGATGATGACTCGGCTGTTTATTTTGTACCTGATTTCTTGACCACCATACGATGTCAAGGCCAAGCCCTCGTATTGCTTGTGGTGATGGCCTTTGTGCTGATACCACAGTTTTCCACGAAGGGTCAGGCTTTTGCGCAGCGTGTCCTTGTCATTATGAAACACAAAAGGAATCACTGGCAAGGACATGATAGGCTTGGTGCCTTCAAAGGTTGGAATGGAGAGGCTGTAGTTCCTGTACCCAAATCCATGGCCATTATAGTCAATGTAAACAGTATCAATCTCAAAGCCCGAACCGGGCCAACTCTTCTCGAGCCGAAAGGCACGATTGCAATCGTCCATGGTACTGAGAGTTATCTGACCTGGCTCGAAGATCGTCCAGAGCATATCAAAAGTGATCACACCATCGAGGACAAGGTTTTGCTTGTTCGTGATGACATCGTTGAGCTCGGCTGCCAGGATCCCATAAAGTAGATCCACATGGGCCTTAGCTTGTGCATTGGACTCGTTGTCTTTAGCTTCGGAAAGCATTTCCCAGCGATGGACAAACGGTTCGAAGGGCTTGCTGAACTGTACACGCTTGCGTGACATAGTAATGCCAGGGTAGCCATCCATGACCCTGGCCAAAAATCGTTTGATGTGATCACTCTGCACAACTATCGAGTCGAGTTCGTACTCTCTTTGTCCCTTAGAGCCTTTGATATTCCGAGCAAGAAGCGCGTACTGGCCGGAGTCAGGTGCCTTATCTTGTCTCCACATACCGGCAGCAGGATCTCTAGACCATGAAATAATGCCGTTATGATTAGAACTCGTCTGATAAAGATTAAGAGTCTCGCAGATAGTGCCGGCTGGAGCATACTGCACGTCGTTCGCTAGTACGGTTATTAGCTCAAGCCTAGCTCTTCCTACCTAGATAAAGACTCCTCATTTATAATTGAGGAGACTTGGTCTGCGAAGTATATGAAATTGCGTGTTGCACTTACAGAGGGAGTCCTCACTTATATCTAGCATGGTGTGATCTGGGTCGAAGATAGATGAGGAGCGGGGAGGGAGATGCTGAGACAGCGACTCTCTGCCTTTGTTGATTATATCCATTCTTCTCTTAGACATTTTTTCTTATGATAGAGGTGATGGAAGTTCGTTGACTGGCCTGCAAGAGAGAGTATTGAGCTAGATAGATGATAGACGGAGGTAGTAGCAGAATCCGTAGCCACTTAAACACGGAAGAGGATTTGCAATAGCCGGTCTGATCTCTAACTCTATAGCTTGAAACTAGAGCTAGCGCCTTCTCATCTCAAGTGAGAGGATCAAGAAGTCATTATATTCCTTCAAGAAAATAACTCTGAGCCCCAAGTCAAACACTGGCATGCCGTCATTCACTACCCTGCCTTGCTGTGTTTCCAAAGTGTGCGAGAAGTGAATGAAAGAGACTGGAGCCCCTCAGGTAAGAAGGACTGGCTAGAGTGATAAGGATGAGACTGCCTTGACATTGCTTTCTACTAGACAGTTGCCTGAGTATGGCTCTTTCAGAAAGCTAGATAGTGATCCCCCTGCAAACTTGGTCGCTTTCGTGACGTGAAATGTTCTCCTTGTCCACCTTCGTCTGACAGCATGGAGCAAGATCTTATATCATATTAAAATTTAGTAGTCGGATCTTTCAACGAGTAGCTGCGGCATATATGGTGCGCTTCCTGACCATTGGATGGTTCCAGATAAATTAAAAGGCTAACTGGTTTAGTTAAAGGAGATGCCAATAGCATTATACAATCTTTACCTGAGGGAATCTGAGGCATGTATCGTCTATGACACACCGAACATTTACATGTCACACAGCTAGTTTCTATCCTAGCCACATGTTCTCCTGCTCACTTTCGTCTCCCCTGATACTGCGCCACCATTCACTTTGTCGTACGAGCTCACCATCTTCACCACCCAAAAGTGCCCAATACTTCTTCAAAAACCACAACTTTCCCTCCCAACTACGGACATCCCACGGCGTACCTGTCGATGCATACCCAGTGGAGACTTGCCGATCCCTCTTCCCCATGCCAGCACCTCCCCAGCATACCAAGCCAGAAAGCATATCTTCGAAGAACTCATCCTCATCTATATCGTGCTGGCGAGTGATGAGGTTTCTCCGTAGCGTTCGGAAAGGTAGAATGTCTATGATCGGATGGTGCTCGATAGTGATTTGTTCTTGAGATGGCCTCAGATCTGGCTTTAGAGTCTTGAATGTTTCTTGTACAGTGCGAATCAAATTGCTCCTGGCTGTATCGTCTGCCATCACTGCGCTGGGCCGAAAGAATGGTGAGGGAGATTGGTCAGCACATAACCCTTCCTCCGTAATGCCTAAATGCCTAACAAGATCAAGAATTGCGGCGATGGTGCAAACTCTATCGATTCGAAGACTATTGGTATATGGATCGGCTGTAGTTGTATTGGCGCCGAACCTGAATACCCTGACTTCATTACGGCCGAGAAGGTCTGGGCCGTCTGTCTGTATTCGGAAATGCGGACTGGTACAGCCGCAGTCAATGGTGGTTGTCCAGTACAGCTCCAGGCTATCACTGGGCTTCTCGCGAACGAGAAGAGACGGATCCACACATGATGGAGGATCCCATACACTTAGTGTTGAGGGAGATTCATCAGAATACAGATAGGGTGTTGTAGTGGAGTCTGATGTGTATAATGTCGGCGGACTCCCATCTGAGATTGGGATAAGTTGCTGGCAATTACTAAGGGTCGCCACAGATGTACACGGAACGGATACATCCGAAGCATCATAGAATGGAAGGGTCTTTGGAACGATAGTACTTGAAGCGATGGGTAGGCCAGGCGCTGTGATCGCCCCACTTGGTTGTATGCCCGAAGCCGGGGTGCTTTCAATGGCTGAGGTCTGTCCCGCAGACTCTGCCAGCGCTTCGAGACGACCTAAGCGCTCACGGAGCTTTTCTCCTAAACGGGGACGTAATTAGTAATTTTGCGAGCTAATCTCCGATGTGGTGACTCCTGATGAGACCCGCACTTACGGTATCTGCGTTGGGCTTGAATGTTCTGTAGCCGCCTCTTCTCCGGGTCACGGCGCACAGGTTTTCGCTTTTTCTCCCCCACACTTTCGCTATGTTGGATTGCTCGGGTTTGAGGTGGCATTATTAACAGCCCCCACAGTGAGATTAACTATCGAGGGAAACACTAGGATTGAGAAAGTAAGCCAAGCAGAGCGTTAGGAACTTCCCAGATGGAGGCAAGAGATGTACGAGTGCATGGCTGATGTCAGCCACTGGCAACTGTGCGCTAGGCTATTTCGGGATTGGTCCGTCGGCCAAGCCTATATTGACACCTCAGGCCTCTAAGCGGTTTCATCGCATGCCATTTCTTACATTCATTCTGATGACTTTTACTGTTCCACAACGTACCACAAAAGCACCATAGAAGATGAGATGTCATGATCCAGCAATTGGAATTCTTGACAGCTAGAACGTACTACATTCGAGGATTCAAGTTTTGATTGCAAACAAATTACAAATCATTGCAAATTGCCTCTTGCCTTCAGTGATCGCTATTAACCGATTTTCCTCAACTCTGCGAGACGATGAAGAATTTCCCACCATCGTGCCGACTTGCCGCAATAAGTTAGGTCTTGGACTTTGACTTGGCCTTAGCGAGCATCTCTCCATAGTTATGATGCTCGTACAAGGGCTCTTCGCTTTTGCGTGACAATGGCTGTGGGAGAGTATGAGGATTTATCTTTCCGCCCTGAAACATCACAACAATATCCGAGCCACCAAACTCAAAATGTGAGATTTCATCACCTTTGTTGATGGTGGCACCTGGCTTGAGGTCGTCCCGGACTACCACAGACGAGACTTGTGCCATACCGATCGGTAAAACAGCAACCGTGCCTATCTGGTCGTTCTCTATGATGATGATCCCTCGTGCTTGCAGGAACTGGTATCCTTCTTTATCCGTCGCCTCCGCTCCCCGATAAACAGGCCCTGAGGAGTATATAGGGCGCATAGGGCGTTTTGGCATCAAAGACCGACTATCAGGCTGATATTCAACATCTAGGTAGGCCGCGCCATCAATGGTGTCGATGACTTTGATAGTACCTCCCACCGGCGCGTGCTGGCGATGATAGTCAAATGAATTCAGAAAAGAATGCAACCAGATCCCACCCTTGAAAGACTCGCCGTAGTCGGACTTGTATGGCCCTAGGAGATCGCCTATATGCCATGGCAGACCTTTCAGCTCCACCATGGAGTCGTCAGTGATGTCCCAATAACCGGAGAAGGTTGAATCTGCAGGGAAGATGACAATATTGTCGTCACCCTCGCCATCAATGGGCCGTGCGCCGTCCTTGAGATGACGACAGAAGAATTGATTGAAATTAGTCCATTTACCCCCTTCGGTTTTGGATTCATCCGCCTCGAATACATGGAAGCTTGGAGCATTCCAAAATGAAGTGAGTGATGCTTCGTTCAGCGACTCTGGTCGGTCCATGTGGCTTCCAACTTCCTTGGCAAACTTCACCATCCATTGGGAGAGCTTGGACAGATCCTGCCCCACAGATTCGGGCCTAATCGCAGTTGGACAATCCTTGAGTGGGACTTGGTCAAATACGAAATAGAAGATGCACAAGATATAGTAGATGTCTCTACCCTTTGCTGACTCGGTGGGTATCCAACCATCAACCATCCAGGTTGCAAAGTTTAGAAAACCTTTGGCAGAGGTGAGTCCGTAGCTTTCCATCTCAACGATCCTGTACTGAAGCGCAGACTGGATAGCTTGCTCAAGGGCCTCCATTCCAGAAGCATAAGGAAACGATTTGTCGAGTAATTGGAGAAGCTCGTTAACGATGGGCGCGTAACGCTTCTTGGAACTCGAAGCACTGGATACAGTGCCGGTTGATCGACTAGGCAAGTTGATGATTCCGAACATGATGACTGAAACGTTGATAATGAATGATACGAGGGAGCGAGACGAGAATATCTGTGTTGTCAGGTCGCACTTGTGCTAAAATATAAACCTATCCCTTATGGATTAGATAAAGGAAAGGACAAGCCACAGTGACGTGACGGTGAGATGTGCATAGTCATTATTGAAACTGGCACGACCTCTGATTATCATTCAGTGGCTTGTGATGCAGCATATTGATGTGTGCACAAGGCCTGGACCTTTGTGTGGTATTCTTAGAGAGTCCAGCCTCTCGCATACTTGATGTCGGACATTTGATCCGGTCAAAGTATAGCGCAGTCAAGATGAAACCCTGAGTGTTAAAAGGGCTGTGACTGCAGTCGGGGAGCCTGTATGTAAACCCGAACTGACATCAACTTTGCAATGTGGCGTTCCCCTGTGCTGCTTTGATATAGTCTGTGATACCAAAGGGCCTGCTCTCTGGTCATCTGTAACACTCTGTTTACATGATGCCGAAGAACAAAGGTCTTCTAGAAGATAGAGGGATCACATCGTATAGTACAGGACGTGGTCATATAGCCATTCATGTTACCTAACTCCCCTCGCCATCCGTGAAGGTGTCCAATTGCCTTTCAATCTTGCTCTAGGAGACTCAACATAGTATATGCTCAAGCCCTGGAGCTTTAGCACACCATTGATATAGTAGTGATACTACTCGGTCAATGTGGACAATAACTTTATATTCATTAGCAAGGCTGGTAAGTATTTATGAGACCACGTGACGTGAAAGGGAGCACGGCCGGTCACCTGATTTAAAGGCAGCTTCATGTGAACAACTCAATCCCTCCTGTAACCCACCACTTTATGATATCATTGGACCTAATATTTTTCGTCATTCGATCATCAGCTTACGGCAAAGTTCCGATTGTCTCGGTAAAGACTCATCGGATGCACAGGTCCCGGATCAGTCCAGGCTATCTCAAGCAGCCGATCCTAAACGGACTAGATGTGTGCCTGGCCATTAGTTGAACCATCAATTGTTCCTGACATGCACGGTCTGTGGGGACTGTCCGTGATTGCTTGTTAACCGCTGACCGTGGATCATAGACATGAAGAGGAACATTGTGAAGAGACGCTGGCTGCAAAAGCCTAGACCGAACCGTTGGAACCAGATGCGTCATCGACTCTGTTCTCGGCCAGATAAGGTTACATATGCCTCGCCGGCCACGCCAACAGGCCTACTCACAATCTAGCCCTCCATGACGTCTGGCCGATGGAGAGAAGAGATCTTTGCCCCCGTGGCGGGCTTATTCACTCGTTGGATCTTGCTACTATTGTTAGCAGATCACACTGAACAATACTGTTGTTAACCGGTCTCTTCCTTCTGCACAGGAAATCTCGCCAAGCGGGGCTGGTGTATTCAATGGGGGTGTCCTGAGCGACCTTTCCCACTCGGCTTGAAGGGAAATTCGCCTTTCTCGCTGGATGGTGAATCGCACACAGTGGTAGGAGACGTTCCGTACATACTGTTACACTGTGGTGTTAGATGCCTGTGATAGGCCAACAGGACACCACTATCCGATTTTCATCACTCATACTTCGACAAATCGCCCTCTGAACCTGCATCACACCAGGCAGCGGGAATAATGTCCGAAGGAAGGCGCAGCAACGAATCAAGCTCCAGCTCCTTGATCAGTTATCACAGCGTCGAGAGACCGAATGCAGACTTCGACGTTGAGAAAAGACATGATCTCACCCCCGAAAGTGATTCCTCACCCAGTGGTCACCGTACTCATCGCGTTCACTTCGGGGCGGATCGCAGGTTCGAATATGGGATCTGGGATGCAGACGAACGCGTTCTCTCACCTGGTACATCTCACCTTCGACGCCGTTCATCTACTCAAGCATCAGTCGACATAACCGATGTATCCCACAGAGGCCCACAGTTTACCAGTACAAATGGCCGGGAGGAAGAGAATGAGAAGAAGCAGCAACAGACCACGACGAGTGAAAAAAGACCCAGACGCGAACGTCTGAAAGCGTTCAGAGACTCGATCAAGGAAAAAGCAGCGAGCCTTGCTGCTCGTCTCGGTCGTCCAGACGATATTAACGAAGATGACCTACAGCCCATCGACCAGCGACGTCGCGACGCCGAAACTGACCTGCATCTCAGAGAAGAAGATCAAAACCAAACCTGTAGCACCGAGGCGCATCGAATAGTCCGCGACCTGGCACATGAAGCTTCCGGCCGTCGTCCGAGTGCTCGTAGGGACTCGGCTTTGCATCGTGCTGCTGGAGTTTCTGCCCAGGATGAGGACTCTGGAAATGAAGCTATACCTCGCCGCAGTTCGGGATCGGGAGGCGTTCTATCTCAGCTACTCAGACTTAGCGGTGGTTGGGACCAATTTCACAAAGGAGCGCGCGGGCTCCACCTCGCCAGTGACACGTTCTACCCCTTCGGTGGAAGCACTCCGGGCACTACGACTCCACGAAAGGAAAAAGTCCGATGGTACAAGAAGCCTGGCAACGTATCAACATCAACCTTAGTTGGAGGCGGCAGTGCTAGCGGTGCAAGTACACCTGTTACCGGCGAGCTTCTAAGCGCTGCATCTAGACGACGAGACAAGAGTCGAAGGCACAGCATGAGACTAGAAGAGGAGATCCAAGTAACCCTTCAGATTGCCGAGATCATTGCCCGACAAAGATACATCATGCAACTGTGCAAGGCTTTAATGAGATTCGGAGCTCCAACCCATCGCCTCGAGGAATACATGCGCATGACGGCCAAAGTACTAGACGTTGACAGCCAGTTCCTCTATGTCCCAGGATGCATGATCATGTCATTCGATGACTCCAGCACTCGAACCACAGAAGTCAAACTGGTCCGAGTCGTGCAAGGCGTTGACCTAGGAAGACTAGCAGATACCCACAACGTATACAAGAACGTCATCCACGACATGATAGGGATCGAAGAAGCGGGAAATGAACTAGAAGAACTAATGGCAAAGAAGCCCCGATTCAACCGATACTTCATCGTCCTAATCTACGGTCTAGCCACTGCCATGGTAGGCCCATTCGCATTCGACGCACGACCGATCGACATGCCAATAATCTTCTTCAACGGCTGTCTCCTAGGCTGCATGCAGCACATCCTCGCCCCACGCTCAGTCCTATACTCCAACGTCTTCGAAGTGACCGCCGCCGTCCTCACCTCCTTCCTCGCCCGGGCCTTCGGCAGTATCAAATCATCCTCCTTCACCAACGGATCCAACGACTACATATTCTGCTTTTCCGCAATCGCCCAATCCTCCATCGCACTCATCCTCCCCGGCTACACCGTCCTCTGCAGCAGCCTAGAGCTCCAATCCCAACAAATCGTCGCCGGCTCCATCCGCATGGTCTACGCCATCATCTACTCCCTCTTCCTCGGCTACGGCGTCACCGTCGGCACGACCATCTACGGCCTAATCGACAAGAACGCAACTTCAAATCTAACATGCCCGACAACCGGAGGCTTCGGCAACCCCTACGCACAACGATTCCCCTTCGTCGCCGCCTTCTCCCTCTGCCTCCTAATCGTCAATCAAGGCAAATGGAAACAATCCCCCATCATGATCGCCATCTCCGTAGCCGGCTACGTAACCAACTACTTCGTCAGCTCGCGTCTAGGAAACAACTCCCAAGTAGCCAACACCGTCGGCGCCTTCACCGTGGGAGTGATGGGTAACCTATACAGTCGACTCTGGCACGGACACGCCGCTGCAGCTATTCTACCGGCGATCTTCGTCCTCGTGCCCTCCGGTCTAGCGGCGACAGGGAACCTGATTGCAGGCGTCGACACGGCGGATGAGATCCGGTCGAATGTTACGAAGAACGCAACGGGGAGTTCGACTACATCTAGCTCATCGTCTAGCGATATGTCAACGAATATTCTGGGATTTGGTATGATTCAAGTCGCCATTGGCATTACGGTTGGGTTATTTGTCGCTGCGTTGGTGGTTTATCCGTTTGGAAAGCGGAGAAGTGGGCTTTTTAGCTTCTAGGAGTGGGACTGAGAGGAGGTTGGGGGTGGATTTACGATCGCATTTTGTGTTTTGCAGCGCACAACCTTGCTTGCAGTTGGAGGGGAACCGGTAATTTGCATTTAGCGGGCGAGATTTTATCCGATGAAAAGCAGCGAGCGTTCAGAATGGTTACAGCATCGCATGTTAGCCAAGTATTGTTATATATCATTATTCGTAGTAGATTAGTAACTAAACTAGAAAACCGATTGACATAATGACAATAAATAGAATCATATGAACATATTTAAACCATTACTCCGTCTATCTACAATACGATACAAATGCAAGATAATTATGGAAGAAAACATTAGTACTGTCATTTATATCTAACCGTCATCATGAATCGTGTTCCGGCACGATCATCTTCTCAACTCAACTCTGGTCTTCTCTTCTTGCTGTATGCCAAAGCAAAAATGACGCTGTCTCATGCATATATACAACAAAACACGCACTCGTCACGGCATCACAATATAAAATCAACGCAAATGCAAAATGCATGCAATGCAATGTAAAACATGTCGATAATCTAACCATCTTTCCAAGCGGTATACCCGACCATCTCTAATAAATACCGTTCCCGACCAATCATCACCTGCCGGCCCTCAGTATACAAGAAATCGCGACAAAGGTCCAAGAGTCGGGGATGTTCGACCTCAGGCAGACTGCGCAGGTCTGCCAGCGTCAGAGTGATCTCCGTATAGTCCGCGCAGAGGCGGAATAAATTATGATGGAAATCCTTGGGCACAGAGGAATGGGTCGCGAGCCAGCCGCAGAGGGAATCGAAGAGATGGTTGTGAACGATGAACATTAGCAGGGAGTCAAGAGAGGACCAGTCGACGTCGATCATGGCGGTCGGATGTGGCGTGAGGGCGTTTTGCATAGCAATGACGGACGCCAGCGTGTCAAGGAGGACGCTGTCCTTCTCTTCGTCGTCTTCTTTGCTTGCTTTGAAATCGGGGATCAAGCCCCAGTGGGGCTGCTCAGTCACAATAGGACGGTCGTAGCCCAGCTGGACTCGCCAGAACTGGTTGCAGCCTACTTCGAAGATCATGCAGGGGATGAGCATTACGTATCCCCACCATCGTTTGCAGGTGAGCATGGAAGCAGCTCCTGCGACGAGGCCTGTGATTCCGCTAACGAGCGAATGTAATTGGAAGTATTGGAAGCGACGGTGGAGGCGATCGCGAAAGGGTGTGATGGCGGAGGAACGCGTGCATGCACGGTCGTGTCCGTAGAATCGCCAGATAAGGTAGAGGGACCAGACGGCGTTGAGGACGCCGTATGCTGCAGCAAAGGAGTTGCCCACAAAGCCGGACAGAAGATTACTGATATAATAGATATGGCGATGAGCCCCCCAGATAGCCATTATTGTACCGGTGCCGACAAGAAGGGCACCGATGCCCAGGAAAACATCCATAACGACGCGATCGATGAGTTCGGAGCCCAATTCGCGAAAACTGACGCCAAGGCGGCGGTCAATGAGCCGGACAGAGGCCTGATCGACGGGGACGGAAGGGGGCAGGTTGAGGTACTGCAGTCGCAGAGCGTGGAGGTATTGTCGTTCTTGCTGCAGAATGCGGACATTTCGCCAACTGAGGATGCCATCCCAAAGGGCAGCGACACTGATGAGCAAGGCTAATGGGCCCCCGATGGCCATGAAGATAACCGCATAGAGCGGGACCGGCACATCGTTCCACACATTAGCGGCGAAATCACCCGCGTTGGCGAACTCTAGAAAGCCCACGCTGGCCAGTAAACTGTTCCGGTACCACGCCGGGCTGATGAGACGGATTTTCCGTCGCTGGCGGACTAAAGTAACCCGTGAGGGAGGTAAGTCACTCGTTTCATGCTCCTCATGATGGAAGGCCTTGTCCGAGACCAGAGGAGATAAGGTGTCCTGCGAGGGGGGCATTGGGTGGTTGGGTCAGGAGACCAGAGGAGACAAGCTCCTCTCGCGGGTGTGGGACCGGCAGGATGGAAGGTTTGGACACCAAACGCGACCGAAGGAAGAGAGGGAAGGGGAAGGGGAAGAAGAGGAAAAGAAGGGAGGAGAAGAGAAGAGAGGGAGAAGAGGAAAGGAGGAGAGGAGAGGGGAGAAATCCGGATGGGGAGAAGAGGGGAGGGAGAGGAATGGAATGGTGGTGGAACGAGTCAATCCGGTCGGTCGGCGAGCGAGTCAAGCAAAGCAAAGCAAAGTCCAAGCACAAGCCAAAAAGGCACCAGAAAAGCAAACGCAAAGCAAGAAAAAAAGCAGCTCCACGGAAGGCGCGGGATATCCCGGCCCTGATTGGCTCATGGCCCGAAGGAGTTCCGCACTTGGCGTGCCTTATAGGGCTGAGCCAAGTCGCGTTTCCTCCCCGGTATCTTACACTGTTTATGTTATTCTCTTTTTGTGTTTTGTTGTATTTCGGGACTGGGTCAGATCGTGATTGTTGTAGGATACATAGGAAGGAAACAGGTGTGTTGAGCCCTCTTCGAAGAGAGGATTGGAATGGCAGGGTGAAGTGGAAGGAGTCAAGGGAGAAGCGAGGAGACGGGCAGCCAGGCATCCGTCCTTTCCGTTTCTGTTTGATGACGACAGTGAAAATTCTTCCATCATATCCTTATCTCTCTTTCTCCACCTCTAAGATATGCACACAATAAAAGATCATGCAAACTGAATAGCTACTGCTGAGATACAACCCCGGAAAATTTTCGTCTGTCCTAATGTCATCATAGCCAAGTAGTCTGCCATAGAGAATTACGTTCCAACATTTGGTAAATATATCCACTAGCATATTTACCCCGAGTATAGACGCCTAGACAAAAACCCCTTTCCCCTCGATCAAACGGGCCATATCAGCGAGTCTCTTGGTAGCCACCAGCTCGGTTACTGGTAGTGCGACCTTATACTGCTCCTTGATTGCGCGCTGCAAAATCATAATCAGCAGCGATGTACCCCCAGCCTGAAAGAAGTCAGAGCTGGGAGTAAGGGTCGGAGAGGCAGAGGCAGAAAGGACACCTTTCCAGACTTTGGCAAGACTGGCCTCCATCGATGTCATTTCTCGGCTAGTCGGGGTCACCACGTTAGATTCATCAATAGGCAGCTGGCAGATGGCAGTTCGGTCCACTTTGGAGTGAGAATCCAATGGTAGTTCCTCCAAGACTACAATAGCCGAAGGGACCATATAGTCTGGTACAGTCAGACGCATCAAGAGGTTGTCCAACAGCATTTCCTGGGAGTTCTTCTGAGACTTCTGATTGGAAAAGACAACATGAGCAGCTAAGAATTGATCCTCACCATGTTCTCTCAGGGTGACCGCAGCATTGGTTAAGAATCCCCCAGAAGCCTCGATCAAGGCGTTTTCGACCTCTTCTAAATCAACCTGGAAGCCGCGAACATTGACCTGAGTGGCACCATCTGAACGGCCAACCAGGATAAGGGCACCGTCCTTCTGTAGGTAACCACGGTCTCCAGTGCGATAGACGGTTTCCCACTTGTTGGTAGTGAAGTTACTGTCCAATTGAGAAAATGGAGACTCAATAAACCTCTCCTTCATTGTACTATCCATATTGCCATAGCAATCAGCAATACCAGCGCCCCCGATGAGCACCTCGCCCGGGACACCAACTGGAAGAGGCCGCAGCTCGACATCCACGATGTAGATTGCCTGGTTGGGTGAAGCATACCCAGAGGCGACGGGTGACTTCGCGTCAGACTTGCGATACTCAACTAGACCCTGCCAAGTGGAACCGAAACATGTTCCAACCGGACTGTAGAGGTTGAGAAGCTGGAGAGACGGGCTGTCAAGAGTACGGAAGCTTTGTAAGAGTTTCTGAGGGACTCCTTCACCTGTCGTAATGGCGAGGGTCCAGCGAGGACAGTTTCGAAGTTGTTCCGCTGCACAGCTGAGCCAATTCTGGTATTCGGATGGAGCCGCCAACGTGTAACTGATTTTTTCTTCTTGCATTGTTTTGGCAATCTCAACGGGGTCTCCCTGTCTGTTGGCGGGCAGGATAATTAAGCTTCCTCCGTTGCACAATACATCGAGGGTTTGCGTGAGCGACAGATCAGTGGAATTGGCTGAGTGCTGAAGCGCGACTAGTGGTCTTTCGTTCGAGAAGTTGTACTGCATTGAAGAGGCCTCAAGCTGGGGGATGATGCTTGCATGCTTGACTAGGCTAGGCTCAAAGGTAGAGCCACCGGTTGACAGGATAATAGCAGGCGAGCTACCATCTGCCAAGTTTGGTGTGCGCGGAATGTGCTGGCGTGTAGCCACTGAGGAGATATCCAATACCCTTGGCATGGGACCCTGAAGGGATTTGGCCTTATCGACCGTAGATTGATCAACAAGTAGCAATAACGGTTTAGCCTTATGGATTGCACCCTGTGCCCGATCGATGGAGATTCGATGATCAAACGGCATATAGACTGCACCAGCACGGAAGACAGCCAACATTGAGCAAATCGAATCAACACTAGGCTCCTGCATCATACCAATAACAGAGCCCTTCGGGGTCCCTGCCTGGCGCAAAGCCGCGATAATCGAGTCAATGCGGCGGCTCATATCGTTGTAGGTCAAGCTCTTGCCACTGCCATCCTTGAGGGCAAGGTTGCTTCCATTTTGCTGGATCATCTGGTCAATCCTATGAACAACAGTCCGTGGCCATTGCATAGGCGCTACAGGACCTATGGAGAGATGTTAGTTAGTATTCAGAAGGCTCGAGGAAAGGAAGGATGACATACCTGTACCAAGTTCCAGCGCCCGCGAAATATCTTCGGGTGGCCACAACTCAGAAGTTGCTAGAGGTACATCGAGGTTCGTAGTGAGCTGCTCTAGAAGATAGACAAAGGATTTGACAAGAAGATCTGCGTGCTCCTGGCTGTATAGTCCTTGCTGCACCTCCAAGCCGACGGCAGTCTCGCCCGTACAGTTTTCGGTAATGTCCAAGTAGAGGTCAAGTCCGGTACAAGAGTTAAGGGACTTATCTGGATTACAGGTAGCATTGCACCATGTAACCTGATCTTGCCTTTCAACGCGATGCTGTATCATTGCCTGGAACACCGGGGGAACATTTGCTGAGCGGTCCAACTTGAGTTCATTGACGAGGACATCAAAAGGCACCGCCGAATGCTCTAGAACGCCCTCAATTGAATTTCGTACCGTATCAAGATAAGGCCCAAGCTTTGTGTTGATGCCTGGCCTCTCCAGCCGGACTGGCAACGCGTTATGCGCGCACCCCATGGATCTTCCCAGAGCCAGATCGTTACGGTCGGCATCGATGCCAAGCAATACCTGGTTGGTGTTGGGCAACAGACGGAACAGAAGCGCACCCAAAACGGCAGTATAGAGGTCGGAGGTGGCCGAATGCCTATCCTGTGAGATTTGCTTGAGCAGAGAAGCCTGCTTCGACGAGAGACGCATATCCGATCGATGGGTGCTAGATGCTACGGTCAATGACTACTCCCTTGTCGCACAGACGATACTTACCGGTATTGAGTTTGAACTGGTCTGACTGGGGCCTTGGAAAAGGCAAATAGTTCCAGTGGGTGGTTCTCTTCTTTGATCAAGGCTTTGAAATAGTCAATATGTTTCTGGAAACGCCCTTCTTTGTAGTCCCGGAATTGCGCTTCCGCAAAGAAAGAGTACTGGGCCTCTTGGGGAAGGCTAGGTAGACTTTGTCCCAGATAGGCTTGATTCATCTCGTTGAGCAAAAGCGAGGCACTGCTATCATCAAAGGTGATCGGATGGTTGCCAATAATCATATAGTGTTCTCTGTTAGACAATGTAAGAAGACGGGTTCTCACAAGCTGCCAATCACCGAGGTCATAGGCATGGTATCGCATAGCATCCAACTCCCGGTTTACCTCCTCCTTGTTGGTGATTCGCTTAGTCTCAAGCTGAACAATGGACCGCGATAGGATTCCCTGCATAGGAACGTCATGGTCCTGTCCTCCCCAGAAGAATCGGGTGCGCATTGCTTCATGTCGGTCCGCAACCGTGATGACCGCCTTTCTCAGTCTTGGCAGATCCAAGGCACCTTCAATGTGCCAGCAACGGCCCATGTTAAGGGCTGAAGGATCTTGTAAGGCATGCTGCATGAACCAGAAACGGGCTTGGCTGAAGGACATAGGAACAACTTTCTCGGTGGCCGACTGGATGATGGACTGGCGCAGATCCAAGTCAATCGAAGGTTCGCAGGTGTTCTCCTCTTCGGGCTCAGTGTCACTGGTTCCATAGTGGGATGATGTGTCCACGCTTTCACTGTCTGAGCTGGACGAGATTGAGTCCTTGCTGTCTGACAGAGGGATGGCTGACTCGACCCCAGACGTTGCAGCCGCTGGTGCTGCTGGCTTTCCGCCTACTGACTGATCTTCGTTGGAAAGGTTTCTGATGTCGACTACAGTCTCTGGGATATCTTGGAGACAACCCTTCACCAAAGCGACAATGGAAGAGCCACCCAATATCTTGATAACCGGCATATCAATCTCCAATTCGCGGTCAAACCATTCGCGGATGTCAATGGCAACTAAAGAATCGATGCCTTGTCCAACCAGACTGCTGTTGGCATCGAGGGGCTGCTCTGTAGACATTCGAAGAAGGGTTTTAAGTCTTGCAGTAAAGGCATCTAGATAAACATAATGTTAGTTGGGTCTTCATTATCCAGTAAAAGAAACTAGCAGTAATCTTACCGAGCACGACCCCTTCGACCTCCTCCATAGAACCGGCCTGCTTCAACAGGCCTCTGATGGAGGAATCCCCTGCGCCAGCACCCGCTTGGCCGTTGATTCGCTCGAGGTTAATGTGGCTAAAACGAATATCACTCCTGTAACGGTTACGAGTAATATCACTCAGAACCTTTGGCGCGCAACCAGTAATCAATTCCGCACGATCATGACAACTCGCTTGACCCTCCTTGATGGCCTCAGCGAAGGCATAGCGGAAATCCGTCTCAGACATGAGGGAGACACCCATGGAAAGGAACTTATCACCCATGGTTTCGTCGGTGCGATCAATGTAACCCAAGCCCATGAGGGGACTGTAGGCAATAACCGAGCCAACAACTCCACGTTTACGCCTATTAAGCGCTAGACCAGCCATGTACATGTTGGCTGCCGCATAGGTGCTTTGCCCTGTGTTACCGACGACGCCCGCAATGGAGGAAAACATGATGAAGAAGTCCAGAGCAGTATCATAGAAAGCTTCATCCAGTAATTTGCTCCCGAGGACTTTTGGTTTCATCGACCGTTCCATGCTCTCAAATTCCACGTGGTCGAACTGCACGTCCTCCATGATCATGGCACCATTAGCCACACCGGCGATTGGGGGCATGCTGCGCCTGATCTCTCGGAGACAGCGTTGAAGAGAGTCGCGACAGGTGATGTCACTAACGTAAAATCTGGATCAGTATAATTCATAGTCAGAGAAGATAGGGAATGTTACAGTGAGAGCGGCCGAACAGTTGCGCCTAGATCTTCAGCTTTGCGAAGGAACGCAGGAGCAATTTTGGGGTTACGGCTCGCCAGAACAATACAACCAGCCCCTTTACGAGCCATCCAGTGGCAAAGGGACTGACCAACTTCTCCAGTGAGACCAATCATGAGATAGGTTCGATCGCGGCGGAAAATTGGGTCAGCGTCAATTTTTCTTAGATGAACAGGCACCGCGGGAACGTTCCAGTCAACCAGCTGGATGGCTTCTCTCACCGGATTGTGGAACGAGACCTCACCCAGCGGAATAGGATCGATCAACTCCAAGGCCAAGCTAGACGTGGAGGCTGACTGCCACGCATTTTGGAGAAGTTCACTGACGACAGCCGGCTCAACCCCCGAGCGGGTGTATAGCTGGTTAGCGAAAAACGTAGTCGCCGAGGCATGCACGCCATGCGGGGGGACACAACCTGCAATGGCATCTGCCACGCGGGCACCCAAACCATTAGGGGCCTCGAGGTTGACAAAAGCAGAGACCTCGCTAGGCATCTTTTCTTTCACTAGGCGAGCGGGAAGGGCAGGGTGCAAGTACGTCCAGTTGGAGTTACGGCCAGGCTGGCAAGTGGTGAACCACACATCAAGCCGGACTTTCTCCGCGGCATCCAAAAGAGCGGCATGGAGCAAATTGTCTGGTTCGTGAACCACTAGGGTACCATTCTTGGGTACAATAGCCAGCATCTGCTGGGTGACAATGTGGGTGGCCAAGGTCATCAGAGCCAAGCGTCCAACCTCAGGGGAAAATGGCAACTCGATCTCCCAACCAGGCTCTACGGGTGCTGGAGACTCAGAACACTGAGTCAAAGCCAAAACCATAGCTTGGGAATCATCCTGTCTTGTGCCAATGCAGAGCATGAAAGAGCCATTTGATCCAAGCTTGAGGAACTGCAGTATAGATTGGCACACACGGATTGTTGGCAGTGTCGCGGCAACCCGCAAGGACGAAACCTCCTCCAACTGGTAAGATTCACCTGTGCTGGCCAATCGTAGAGTCGACACGAATGGGTTGACCTCGTGCATAATGGGCCGACGGACAGAGTTGAACCGCATATTCTCCACCTCATTTGAATACAGGCGCGGGATAAGAGTCTGCTGGCCTTCTACTGCCACTTCGTTCTCATAACTCCATAGCAGCTTCTCAGTGGAGTTGTCCGGCGACCAAGTAAGAAGTAGTTGGTGTTTCAACAACGTCTCACACACCAGACATGCAGTGCCCGGATTGATAGAATCCACATCCAGCAACTGCACGTTTAGGTCTATCTTTTCCATTCGGACCACTCGCACGATGCCAGAAATCATAGTAGAATATGGGTCGCTAAAGCGAGCACCCTTGGTAACCCATAATACCCTTGCTGCCTGGTTCCAAAGTAACTTCAAAGCCTCCAACTTGTTGGCAGTCCACAACTTCATTACTGGGCCATCTAGGTCGGCGAGACTAAGCACGGTAGCTTTGGATGGAATGGGCGTAGTAATCAGGGCCTCGAGGGAATGAAGACGAGTCGCGACTGGAAATTTGGTCGATAGCAGAGCAGCAATCTGCTCTACTAGCTGCACGGTGGCCAAAGACCTCCCACCAATAATAACTAAGGGTGGCATCTCTTCTGGGAGCTCTACTGATGCACCCAACGGATTCCGCAATAGCCGCACACGTTCATCCTCCGCTTGCGCAGCCCACACCGGGATATCATGGAGAACATCTTCCACGGGGGTGTAGGTGTCAATGCCAGAAAATTGGCATTGGCCCAGGAGGTTGTTCCAACTGTCTAATGTTAGCCGCCCCGAATCAGCGCCGCTCCACCATTCCGGGCAATCGCTCATGATAAGACCGAGGCGCAATGAATCATCCGCAAGAGGACTGGCGCTTATTAGATATCCACCAGGCTTCAACAGTTGACGGATATTGGATAAAACCTGCTCCTGGTTCCTGGCCGTCTGGAGACCATTACCTACCAGAACGAGGTCATATTTTCCGGCGGTAAAGCCTTGAGCGGTTGGATCCTGGTACATGTCGAATGTCTTGAAGATCATGCGATCTGCGTACTGATAGAAGCGAAACTCGGCCTCACCGAAGAGGTTATCGGACACATCGGTAAAGGTGTACGAGGAGAAGGAGGTCCCCAGCGAGGAAACGATCATTTCAGTCATGGCCCCGTTTCCGGATCCTGTATAATATTAGCGTCGTCTTCCAAGCCGAAGAGTAGATATACCAATTTCGAGAATATGCATGTGCGCGTAACGGTGGTTGATCTGCTTGACCAAATCGGCCAGACGCTCATGGATCCGCTTTATTGTGGGGGCCTCCTCATTCATGGAGATATAGTGCGCCAGAATGCCCTGTTCATGAACGAGGTCGGGAAGACTCGGGCCAATCTCCGCCACCAATTTTGCTTCTACCGAGTCCGGATGACTGTTATCAGAATTAGTGTCCAAACGGTCCCTAGGGATTGCGTCGCCGAGGTGTACTTACCGGCAGCTCAATTGCTCGATGAGCTGCTCTGAGTCGGAGATCCATTCTTTAGCGATGAAGGGGTGCTTGCCTACCGAGACCCGATCGATAACAGATGCTGCCCACTTGAGAAGCTGCTGATGGTGTGGCAGCGCCTTGCTTCGGTGCTTCGGAGTACTCATCTCGCACAATCTGCGCAGGTAATACAGGGAGATTCGCTCCACATCTCCTGTCACTGCTGGATTCAGAGATACGGAGGCCTTGCCATCCCCCGTATTCGCACCATTGGGGAGTGCCGGTAGCCACTTTATGTGGCCCAGCAGCTGATTATCGTCCTGAGCTTGGGCAGGACTGAATGGTGCTAGCACGATGCCTTCTGCCTGGAGAAAGCTATGCTTACGGTCTTGGGTAAGAAGATGGAAAGACCCCTCAATTATGTTAGATACCTGATCCGCAACGTGACTTTCCCACGGAATTATCTTTTGCTTCGAAGCTCGCTTGAAGATGAAATGGGGGTTGAATTCCATCGACGCGATCCGAGTCGGCACATGGAGGGACCAGAGACGCCCATCCTGGGGAGCCGAGTACGCCACTATGATTGTCTGTATGGCTGTGTCTAGCATCCCCGGATGCAAGATGAGCTGGTCATCCCAAGCGTCGTCCGACTGGTCGATCAGTGTACCGCGAGCAAAGTCTAGGCGTCGTTGGATGCTGGTAATTCCTTGGAAGGGCGGAGAGTACTGATAGCCGACGTTTCTCATTTCCGAATAGAACCTTCCGGGGTTTTGCTCATTTATATTGTAGTAGTCATCATGCTCGAGTAGCGGCAGTTTCTCGGGATTAGATCTGCCCAATTCGACTTCTATGGAGCCTTCAACATTAACCCGCAACGACAATTCTCCTTGGGGTGCTGACTCAACCGTAAATTGGGCTTTGATATGCGAGTCATTGAAGGACAAGATTTGCAAACTGGAGATACATTCAATGCTGGAACTGTCATCGTCGAATACAATTGGGCGTTTTAGCACTAAATCAGTCAACCGGAATAGTGCTATGGCAGCATCCCCAGCCACCGCTTTAATTGCTTCCAGCGCCATGACAATGTATGCAGTAGCAGGTAGAATCAGCTGGTTTTGCAGTCGATGCCCCTGTAGCCATGGTATCTCTGTTGGCTTCAAGATGTTCTTCCATTGTGCATTACCGGGGCTTCTCGTGGTAGTCAGACACGAACCTAACAATGTATTTGGATATGCGTCTGACAATCTGTTAGCCTTCCATGTGCGACATTCCACCCAGTAACGATTTTGGTGGTCAAATGGGTAGCTTGGGAGATCGACAAGGAGAGTCTTAGGTTCCTTGTCACCGGCCAGAGCGCTCTCCAACCCATGGAAGTCAACCACACCCGATCCAAGCTGGGTCCAAAGATATCCCACAGCGGCAGATAGCTCATCTACGTCATTCTTTCCACGGCCAAGAAGTCCAGTATACGGAATCTGCGTTTGCACCTCCCCTAGCGAATCCAACGCAGGACCCTTGAGTGCCGGGTGAGGGCCCACTTCAATTGCGATGTCGAGTGTCTGGATCTCCTTGGCAGCCCTGGTGATGGCCGGTAAGAAAAGCACAGTCTGTACCATATTGTGAACCCAGTACTCGGGGTTCAGATTGTTGGCATCCATAATAGTATCACGGTAAACACTGGAGAACCACGTTGGTCGGTCGTCCGAAGGTTGTTGGACCGAAATACCACAGCGCTCCATAGCCTCGAGATATGGATTGGCGCAAGGCAGCATGTGGTCTGAATGATAAGCCGTATCTACCCGTAGACGACGAGCGAATTTCCCTTGGGTAGTGCAGACGTCTACCACTGTCTGAACAACATCCTCATCCCCGGACAGGGTAATGCTAGATCCCGAGTTTAGCGCCGCAATGGATATTTTACCCTTGATTTCCTCCCGAATTTCCTCTTGATCAAAGACCTCTTGCACATCTTCCGCTGACACACCGATAGCGGCCATGCCACCCTTTGCACCACTTGGAGAAGCTGCGAGCTTAGCATAAACACCACGGAGATATGCCACTCGGATAGCATCACAGGTTGACAGGAGACCAGCGGCATATGCCGCACCGATTTCACCTGAATCCAATTAGCATACATCGTACTATACATGGTGAAGACTTCAAACATACCAGAAGAATGCCCGACAACTGCGTCAAGTTTGATCCCTGCTGCTTGAAGGAGATCAACCAGAACGATTTGGACAGCGGTGCACAGAGGCTGAGATATCGCCGCTTCCAAGACTCTTGAGGACTCCCCTGTGGCCAGAATCTGATCACTAAGTGTCCAATCCGGGCGGTCATCTTCAGGGAGAGTAGCGAGGCATTCATCTAAGAAAGCAATCTTGTTGCGGACAAAGCTCGACGACTCCAGCAAGCGGGCACCCATCCGGGGCCACTGGGCACCTTGACCAGTGAATACTGCCAGAACGCGAGGCTCAGAGGATTGGATGGACCGAATATTCAGGTCCGCGGGCTCGGCATTCAAGACAAGATCCATTTGGGCGATAATGCTCTCATAATCCCGCCCAGTGATGGCCTTCCTGTAAGGCAAAGTTGAGCGGTGATGTTGCAGCGTCCATGCAAGATCACGAAGGCTGGTTTCGGGCCTATCTACCAGATAGTCGCGATGCTTGGAAATCATTTCCCGCAGTGAGGTGACTGAGTTGGCAGAAAAGAGCAAGGGCGTGTATAATGTGGTTGATTGAGACGGTGCGGACATCATCGTCCTAGGAGGCATGTAAGATTCCATTATTGCATGGGCATTGGTGCCACCAAATCCTGTTTGTGCGCTTTAGCCTTCTTGCATCATCATGTAGTGGTCTTTGGTAAGTGAACGGCGATTGCTTACCGAAACTGTTAACACTCGCTCTCCGCACCTGGGCAGGCTTCAGCGCCGGCCACTCCTTGACGGAGGTTGGGACTTCGAAGGCGCCGTAGAATGGAAGGATATCAGGATTGAGCTCATTAAAGTGCATATTTGGAGGTACTTGTCCATGCTGCAGGGCCAGCGAAGTGCTGATGACACTGGCAAGTCCCGCCGCGCCCTCCGTATGACCGATATGTGTCTTGATTGAGCCTACTAACAGCTTCTGCTCTGGCTCCGTCTCCTTCGTGAAGAAGGCATGGTAGATAGCGGTCGCCTCTTGCGGATCTCCCGCCTTGGTTCCCGTGCCATGGGCGTGGAAAAACTGCGGCTGGTCTAGCGGGTTGTGTACATCGAGCCCGGCTCGGCGGTAGGTATCGCGAATCAGCTGCGCCTGGGCAATGTTGCTGGGCATAGTGATTCCAGAGGTCCGGCCATCCTGATTAACACCAGTCTCCCGGATTATGCATTCAATATGGTCATTGTCTCGCTGGGCTTGACTCAGGGTCTTGAGCACCACACATGCAATACCCTCCCCACGACCATATCCATCCCCAGCAGCATCCCACATCCGGCACCGTCCTTCTGAGGATAGCATGCGGAGGTTACTCTCAGATATATAATACACTAGAAATGATGTTAGGCAATTGTCTGGACCGGACAAGGGATGGGTGCAGTATTGGTGGCCCACATACTTGGAGAGATCAGAATGTTAACCCCGGCTGCCACGGCTATTCCAGATTGGCCACTCCGCAAGGTCTGAACCGCCTCGTGAATAGCCACCAAACTCGATGAGCATGCCGTGTCAATGTTCATACATGGGCCGTGCCAGTCGAAGAAGTATGAGACTCGGTTTGCTACGATACTTCGCGACGAACCCGTGGCCATGTAGGGCGGTGACTCGTCGAGTTGGGTCTGGAGCATGCCAGGCCAGTCATCGCACATCTGGCCCACGTATACGGCTGTGTTCGACCCGCGCAACTTCTCCATAGGTAGACCAGCAGCGGTTATGCCATCGTAGACGGTCTCCATGAGAAGTCTCTGTTGCGGATCGATACATTCGGCTTCTTTTGGGAGAATATTGAAAAATTTTGCATCGAACTCGCCTATGTCTTGTTCTAGTAGATATGAAAACTGGGCATTGCTAGTGCCATGGTGCGTTGGCTCAGGATGGTAAAACGGGTCTGTGTTAAAGCGGTCTTTGGGGATCTTCTGCAAGACATCACGCTGTTGCTTCAACATCTCCCAAAGCTTGGAGGGAGTATCACAGCCTCCAGGAAACCGGCAGGCGCTACCAACAATGGCAATAGGCTCTTTGGAGGTATCCATGGTGACTCGCAAAATCTGCTCTGGCTCAATGGGCTGATGGCTGCCCGGGGGTCAAGTGGAAGATAGGATGGAAATTGTACGGACAATTTCGAGGAGACCGGAAGCTCTACTCGTGGTTATAAATTCGGACTCTTAACTACCGTGCATCTTGGGAGAGCCCAGACATGTTCGATTTCTGGGCGATGCACAGATCTCCGGGCAGCGTAACTATTCTGGGCTAGTGATGCCCGTAGCTGGTCAACGTGACGTCTCTCACCCTGCAGCGACTTTTTGTAAGCCATTCAATCTTTGTTTTACCCTTCTTAGACCTCATGCACGCGTACGTACTACTTTTTTTTTTTTTTTTTTTTTTTTGGACTACTCCTCCTTCTCGAATGGGGGATCTTCAGTGAAGCCCGACGCAAGTTTTTACATGATATCTCGACTGCCGACCACTCTATCAGGTCAATGCCACACCCACCGTATCTTGGGAGCGGTGTCCCAGCAATGACATGGCTGATGTGTGATATTATACGAAGATCAACAGTACCTCCGCTAAAGCTCGGGGAACAGCTCTGGTCGGGAAGAAATACTGGGGGAAATGTCTGAAAGTTACGTCGAGCGGAAGAGTGGATATCTACCGAGTCTGCAAGGTATCGCGCTAGCACCCGACAGTTATGGACCTATCAGGACAGTGGATCTTGTTTACAAACCTTTCAGAATGTGCGCAAAAGAATATCTATTCCGGTCCCGGCCACGCCTTGGGTGTTTGCGGTCTGCAATGTCATAAGCATCCTACTTGGGGATCTAGTCAAGAGGTATTCTTGTCCCGGCCTGGAAGCCGTGCCTGTACTGAGTCCGATAGAGTTGTGGATCTAGGTATGGTCATTTGGACAATCATTCACTACCAACTAAAAAGCAATGAATGTAACAGACACTAAGTAGAGAGGCTTCTAGCCATATACTAAGGTTAGTTTAGGAAAGTTGGACATTGCATTGTGGGTACTTACTACTTCCTTATAGTCCATGCAGGCGGATGGGCTGAACCAGTCAGACCCCATCGACGGGGTTTAGGGGGCCAGGCCTCGAGAAGGGCACCCCATGATTATCTCAATGCTATTGACACTAGGAGCTCAGAGACTGCACATTGCTTGTTCGTGCTCGATCCCCCGCAGACCTTCCGGGGTGTCGGCTCACATCGCCATGCAGCATGCAGGCGACAAGACTTTACTCTAAATACCGCTTCGGACCGGCGCAGCTCATTTAGAGTAGAAATAAACTGAGGAAAGGTGGATTTCCAAGCTACCGGAGTAAATCATACATAACTGATCAAGAAGCAGGAAGCAGGAAATGCGCGAATACAATTTCATCAGATGGTCGGAATTGGAATGAGAGAGAAACAAAGACGGAGAGAGAAGAATAAGTAGCAGTGGCATGTTTACCGCCCAGTCACATGCTTCACCATGGGCGGGTGGATCCTTCATCAATTCTGGGTTAGACTGACCTTCCAGATTGGGGCAAGCTATCCGAACTCAGTTACTCGGGCTCTGTGACAGGTTCGATGGATATCTGTCATATCATTCTCTGATAAAACCAACATTCAATAGCTGTTAGGTGGAAGGCTCTGCATTACAGGGGCACCATTACTACTCAAGCTTTCAGGTATGACATGGGTTGTCACTCCTCTTGTGAGAAGAGAAATCCACACCTACTACTGTCGTTACTGCTACATTGACTAGGCAAATCAAACCCACTACAATCGACCTTCACTTTCTTTTCTCTTTAATGTTCTTTCAAGTATGCTTACTTATGGGAATTGACGAAAGTGAGTGTTAGCACTAGGCTGCGGGATGCTTAGACAAGTCCCAGAACAGCAATCCTCAGTTACCTGTCATGTGTGCCAGCATTGTTTCTGCAATAAGAATACTTTATTGCATCCGATGTTGCTAACTGCATATGAATGGCGAACACCTTCTGGGTCGCAACTTACTGGATAGACAGATGTCAACTCGTCCGCTTGGTGTATCACTTGTGAGTAGTGATGAGTATTCCAATAGTGGCAACTCCAAGTGTACAAGACAGTGATGGCGGGAAATCTTCTGCAACCACACCAACATTTACCCTGCAGTAGATAGTCTAGCTGTTCAAGAAATCTCACCGCAATATTCGACAACAGCTGCTACCGCAGCTTCGGCAGCTAACACCATCCCCTCTGGGGTAACTATTGGAATCTGTCATATGGGCTGAATCCGGCCTTTGACGTTGCTTATCTATATCGCCGGCATTATTTCACTCTTTTCTCGTTACTCCGAAGTTATAGTTGTTGGAAAAGTTCATTCTACCTAAAGCTTGGAACGATTCTATCCTCGAAGACCAAAATCTCTTAGTCCACAAATTTAGCGCAAAACGTCGTTATCATCCACATATATCATGGTTGCAAAGTTGAACACACACCTAGCAGTGGTAACGCAAGGCCCGAAACAGGCCAGATTGGTGACCGATCGACCGATTCCCAGCCTGCGCGATGATTACATGCTTGTCAGAACCGTAACAGGTAAATACATCATCCACTTATTCTTCCCATTGCTTCAGTGACCCTCATTGTCGGCTTCTTCTTCTCACACCATGATGCAGTGGCTCTCAACCCGACAGACTGGAAACATATCGACTTAGTGCCTAGTGATGGATGTACCGTGGGCTGTGACTTTGCCGGCATCGTCGAGGAGGTCGGTCCCAAAGTGCCCGAGAGATTCCAGAAGGGAGATCGGGTACTGGGCCTTACACACGGATGCAACGCCGTCGAGCCTGAAGATGGCGCGTTTGGTCAATATGTCATGGCCAAGGGAAATGGGCAGCTCAAGATTCCGGGATGGATGAGCTGGGAGGACGCTTGTACGGTTGGGGTCGGATACACGACCGTTGGCCAAAGTCTATATCAGAATCTTGGAATTCCAATGCCTGGAAAGCCGCGGAGCGCTACTACACCGAAGATTGTCTTGATTTATGGAGGATCGACCGCGACAGGTACCTTGGCTATTCAGTGTGCTAAGCTATCCGGAATGGAAGTGATCACGACGTGCTCGGTCAGCAATTTTGACATGGTCAAGGAACTCGGGGCGGATGCGGTATTTGACTATAGCAAGCCTAATGCGGCGGCCGAGATCCGGAGGTATACCAGGGATAACTTGAAGCTGTGCTTTGACACCGTCGCAATGGCTACCTCGGCTCAGTTTTGTGCAGAAGCTCTGACCAGTAAAGCTGGAGGCCGGTATCACACACTGCAGGAACTACGATGCCCTCGACGAGATGTCCGGTCGACGGTCTCAATGGCGTATACCGTCGTGGGAGAGCCATACACGATGGGACCCCAGAAGGTGCCCGCCAAACCAATTGATATGAAGCATCACCTGATATGGCAGTCAGTGTTTCAGGACTTGTTAGACCAGGGTAAAATAAAGACCCATCCGGTGTCTAAGCAGCCATATGGGCTCAAGGGAGTGTTGTCTGGACTAGATATGTTGCGCGAGAACAAAGTACGAGGACAGAAGTTGGTTTACCGGGTGGATGAAACACCACATCAATTTTAGTTTCTATTTCTGGTTGCATAGCTGTATGGTGAAGCTTTGATGTGGAAAATGTAATAATCAAGTACTTACACTCATAACTGCATGATCACCCGGTTGAATGCAATACCTAAAGCAATGATTTACACGATAAACTTTAAAAGGCGCCTACTGTAAGCTGTCACAATCCATAGCATCCGCTGTCACCATGTCCCGTATCAATCCTGGAGATATATCAGACATATACAATGGTCGGACCCACATCATATTAATCGTGGAAGTGCTTTTTACCTGGTTTTCGGGTGTTTTCCGTCCACCACAACTACGACTATAGAAGCTTAACATGTTGGTAGATCTCTCAACATAATTCAACCTCTCGACTATAGCACGGTTGTGATACTTCATGCTGTTCTAGCAGGAATAATCAGATATCCAAAAGTCTGAAGTCATTGGCAACCCTTGTCCTAAGCGAACCAGCAGCCTTCATTTGGACTGGGCAATTTTGCGTCCGGGGCATGACGAAAAGAGTACTCTGCAGCAGACTTGAAGTAAGCCGTTGCCTGAGTACAGTCTCTGTTTATTCTTGATTTCCTTTTCAATTGTTCTTTTCCTACAAGGTATCTTGAACGGTTCCTCTTGTCTGGGTGATTTACGACCGCAACCGAGGTAATCTGATACAGCAAATTGTCAATGAACAATAACAAGGAGTGGCAATTTAGTGAACCTGTGAAGATATTTTCCAATAAAAAGAAGGCTTTTTATTTGCTTTAACCTGGTGCTAGAGCTATATATATTATTTATTGAAGAAGAAAACAAAGGAGAAAAATCATGTTCCTCCTATTCTCATCTCGCTTAAGGTGTCATTGTACATCATCCTTAGAACTTTTCAATGATGGACAACCACGAGAGACTACGACGAGCCGGTCAGTAAAACGCAATGCAAAACACCAAAACGGGCATCATCTAACGAAGAGCCAACAGGGCCCCTAGAGGAATTCTTCCTCGCGCGTGCTCTGACCAAGAACACCAACGTGGCGATATCGGCAACCTATATTCTCCCAAATACTTTCACCCTGGCCATCCAAGAATATGTATATAAAGCACTTGAAACATTGATCAGCCAAAATGCTGCCCTATCAGCAATCCCGGTCAGAGAAGACAACGATACCTGGTTTTTCCGGCTCCCAGAAATCGACCTCAGCCAGACTGTATCCTTCCAAAAGCGTACCCGCGACTATCCTGTTGAAGAGAAGCCAGACACCGAACTGTGCGAACTACTGCAGGTCCATCAGAAAGCCGAATTCGTAGCGCCCCTGCCATTTTGGAGAATGATCATCTTAACAGAGCCGAATGACCAGCGCTTCACAGCGATATATATATTCCACCATGCAATTGCAGATGGCATATCAGGAAAGGCCTTCCATGAGACATTTCTCATAGCATTACATGATGCTGCTACTTCTTTGACCTCGGGAGAGGCTACAAGACAGGTGATCCCATCACCTAAGCTCCCTCTGCTCCCAAACCTGGAAGCGGTCCACCCGTGCTCTATAAGCTATACTTTCCTCCTTAAGCAATTTTTCCGGAACAAAATATGTCCCTATCGTGATCCGGGTCTTTGGACAGGTCCAAAGTCATTTACACCGTTCGACACTGAAATCCGCCAGATTGTTGTCCCCGAACCAGTATCTACAGCACTAAGACAGCGATGTCGTCAGAACCAGGCTACTATAACCTCGGTCATACATACAGCCGCTGCGCGCAGTCTCCTTGCGCATTTGCCAGAGGAGTACACCAAACTAGAAGCAATCAGCGCCATGTCGTCTCGTCGCTGGCTGAAGGAAGAAGAAGGGATCACAGATCAATCCATGGGTGTCTGAATCATGGATTTCAGGGATAATTTCTTCCGGGAGCAGATGGATCAGTATCCTTCTGACAGCTTTCCATGGGAAGTCGCGAGGGCTTCCTGCGCAACAATAAAACAAGTGCTCAGTCGCGAAGGCAAAGATACCAGTGTGGGCCTGCTCAAATATGTGGATATCTGGAGCTTTTTACAGAGTAAGATAGGCAAGGACCGAGATGGAAGCTTTAAGACATCGAATCTGGGGGTTGCGAAATCAGTCCATGAAGGAAGTTCGTGGCCGCAGATCAGACGGATGATGTTTACCTCGCCCTTCGATGGGCTGGGTGCACCTTGGGTCGTGTCTTCTATCACTGGGGGAGATGGCTGTTTGGTTCTAGGGATTATATGGCAGAAAGGCCTTGCAGAGTCAGAGATGTTTGAGGGTGTTGTTGATGGGATTGCCAGGGAGTTGCATAATGCTGCGAAGTGATTTATTAAGTATGCGTTCATAGAGAATAATCTGTGGGAGATATCTTAAATGGAGAGCAGAATTTATTGAGCTCTGAAGCTGAGAGTATATTTACTTAACCTGATTCAGCCGCGTAAATGCGTGATTCTCAGCTAGTAGTAGGACAAATTCAGGATGTGGTCTTTGAAAATATATATAAACAAGTTTCCCTTTTTTGACGGCCATAAATAGACCTTACCTTGACATTAGTAAGACTCTCAAGAGATTACCATTTCCTACTCCGTAGACCTCGTTGCTTCATTGCGTGCCTACAGGCAGAATAAGATACCTCCAATAGGATCTTTGAACGACTCGAAAGCCAAACCCCCAAACCCCCACCCACCGTTCCTCGGACAAATAAGGCTTTCCTGATGGCTTTCTGCCATCATGCCATTACGATCTACGGATTACTGTCTGACGTGAACCAGAATGGCCACGTAGGTAGAAACCTATATGCGCATGCTTCAATATACATCTAGATTTTTTTCGAATGATCATCAATTAATACTAGTCTAATGTATACATACAGAATCAAAGTGAAGAAACAAGGAAACAAACACATAAAGATAACAAAAAAGGAAACAATGTTCTAGGACAGCTAGTGATCCATCACGTACAGACCACATTCTTCCGTCCCGCAGGCTCATTCTAACCGTCTACCTGCGACGGTTACTGAATCAGAAAGCATCAAATTAATGAGTGACAAATCTATAATAATGAATGACTGGTGTATTGAGTATATCAGGCGCCCTTGGCGCCCTTAACAGGCCCGGTCTTCGAACCGTCCATGTTAGTGTTCAGGGCCTTGATCAGCCGAACGCCTGCGTCCGCTGTCTCATTGGGAGCCCACGACCAGAAGCGTCCACCGCGGCCCATTTCATGGTGATGTCCGGGGTGCAGGAAGTCTTCCTTAGTACCAGGGACATCAGTGGACGAGGAGAAAACGCTAACCCGGTCCTGGAATCGGACTCGCGGTTTAGCCCGAGGGGATACCCGGCCCGACGTGGCTTCCAAGAAGCGTTTGCGCATAGCGTAGCGCTTCGACTCCTCGCGACGGAGAGAGATGAAGCTAATTCGTTCGAGTCCGCTTCGTACGATGAAGCGAACACCAACGTAGGCCCATTCGGCAAGGAGGAGAGTGAGAAGGAGGGACGACATGTTAACCTCCTGGAGTCCAGCGCGGTAAAGGTACACGATGGCGGCGGTGGACAGGGTACCGAGCCAGCTGAGCACTTCCAGACCCATGAGAGATGGTCCGATCGAGTCAGCTCGGATGGGGGGAGGCCGTTGACACTCCAAGCTCAATTTGAAGAAATCGCCTCGCAGTTCCAGCCAGTTGTTAGCGAGGAAACCCAGGGAGACCAAGGGCCATGCAACTCCAAAGAGAGCGAGAGAGCCAAACTGTACGCACATCTCCAGAATATCTTCATGAACATCGTACTCATCCGCGTCGATTTCGTCACGGACACGCGAGAGGAAACCAGCTTCTTCCGGAGCATCGACTAGGAGTTGATCGGTCCTCTGAGAGTAGCCACGAGGACGCGAAGAGTCCCGACCTTCGCGCCAGTCACGCCACTTGTGCATCAGGGTTTGCTTGACATAGGGAAGCACAATTTCCTCGCCGAAGTTGAGGATCTGAGCGGTCGCAGAGAGATAGATCACTTCCTGTTGCAGTCGGGAGGTGTCGATGTGGATTTCACGGGCAAGGTTGGCGGAAAGGAGACCGTAGGAGCGAAGAGTGTCAAGATAGGGCACTATCTTGCTTCCAAACGGGACGTATACAAATGCGGTCAGTAGCGTGGGCAAAAAGGCCGTAATAAAGTGCATCACGAATGTCTTCGCTGTCTGTGCTAGGTCGTATTGATCCTGCGTGCGGTAGTTCTCGTAGTCGGTCAAACGCTTCGCAAAATCCGTCAAAATATTGGTTATGGAGGGCAAGGAGAGCGAAAACAGAACGGTCGGCAGAAACTCCAAGTATGCCTTCATTGGGCCATTGTACACTTCTGACACCAAGATTTCCAGAGCAAATGATAGGATGATCAAGCTACCCAATGCCAAGCTTGCAACGGTCGCAAAGGGAATCATCAGGAGCTGTCGAGCGAATTGCCTATGAGCCGAAAACACGCGAATGGTCTCGCCGGTGTGCGGATTTTGAAATTCTTTGTCCCAAACCCATTCTGGTCGGTTCACTTTGAGGAATCCTACGTCCTTGACGTTCCAGCGCAAGCTCAGGTCGAGCTCGCGGGTTTTCCAGTACTCGACGAACACGATGCCCCAGATGCAAGTCACTATCGCACATGTAATCGAATAGGGGCCCAGGTAGAACCAAGAGAAGACGCCCCAGACAGCCGGGAAAATCAGGAAACAGGAATAGCAGTGTATAAAGGCAAAGTAGAAAGCAACCTGAGATGTTAGTATATTTACAGAGCCAAGGAGACCCAACTAAGTTTCTAATGGTGCTCACCTTCTCGCCAAACAACGCGCGAATAGCGTCAAGATCCTCAGCCGTCAAGAAAATAGTCCGGCTCCATTTCCGGAGCAGCTCCGCGTTGGCGGAGCGGTCATGCAGAGGGATAGCCGCCGTGATATTCTTCCATTGGCCCACCTTGGGGGTAATTCCAGCGCCTCCAAGATGCTTTTGCCATGTCACCGCATGGTAAACAGATCTGAGGGCCTCCGCAGGAGTGTCGGCGTCAGTCTCGCCCTCGTCTCCGCCCTCAGGAAATTCGTGGATGATTCCATGAAGCCAGTCCTTGACACTATACGTCGTTAGCTTTCCCGACCATGCACCATTTGTTGTTACCGATCATCCGTACCGAGATTTGTGTACCAGGTTGCCCAACAGATCGGGCGGAACCCGAATGCAGACGAGTAGGGAGGCGCCGTAGCCATGACGGACTTGTACCTGGAGATGCGCTTCTTGAAGGTCGTGGATTAAAGTTCGAAACTCTTGGATCGCCTGGGAGAGCTCTGGACGGGAAGAAGACGGTGTGAGATCGGGCGTCAGCCGGATGGAATTGGGAGGAATGATTGCTTACCGACATCCTCGAACGAATAGTGGATGACCCAATCGACGCCGAAATTATCCAGTTCGGCCTGGTCGAGGGCTCCGTGTCCAGCAAAGAGACCCATCCTGGATCGACTGACGAAAGGAAGGACAGGAAGATTCACAGAAGGGGGTGAAAGGGGGAAAGAAAAAGCAAAGAATACCAGATCAGATTTGAGCGATTGATAACGAACGAGATAGCCTCATCTCCGCGGGGACTCACGGATGCATCCGAGCTCGGTGGGATGGGGAAGGGAGGGGGAAAGCCGATGGGGAACTGAAGAGAAGGGGAGAGAAAAGGGAAGGAAAAGAGAAGGATTGCAAGGGATAGAACGGATGACGCTCGCCTGATTGATTGCGATGGGGAGAACTATTTTCTTTTACGGCGTAGCGTGAGATTTTCCACAGCGGCATTCTGATTATTAATGGATATTAATTAGTTATGTGTCCATCCAGGCGGGATGATATCAGTTGTTCAGTGTACTCATGATACAACGAAATTCACGATGCTCCATCCCTTCGACTGGCCAGCTTGCCTTTGATTTACCCGAGGGCCGTGCCAAGTCCGCCTCAGCCCTACAGGGCGACACGACCATTGGTTCGCTGCGGTGGCTCTAGCCGTATTAGCAATCCAGCTGATACACCGTCTGTTCCCTTTGAAATCTTCAACTGTTAATACCAGTATTACCGAAGTTATATCCGTGGTTCGGTGCTGGAATTCTGACGCACTCCCCCGCGTCCAAGACAGGGGAAGAACGAGGGGCTTTGATTAAACTGCGATGCTTATTGAAATACTTAAAATCAGTCATGGGCGCGATCATTCCTCGCATATTACTTACTTGATTTAATCTAGTTTCCTCTAGAGATTATAAGCATGCTATTGTAAGCATCTCAAGCAACCTGCGCACCGTACATGAAATACTGCTGCCTGACCCAGACAATCCTTGCTTCTTGCGTCACCCGGTAATGATTGGTCTTCGAATGCCCGTTCAATTTTAGCAGCGACTCGGCTGAAAGCGGAATGGTTGATGTGGGCCCTCAGCGGGGCGCTAAGACATCAACCAATGATGGTTCTCCACTGCGCCCAATAATGAAGCAAATCCCTGCAGGCATCCATTTTTGGCTGGTATTGAACGGGTTACCAACCAACTGCTTACCATGTAACTTACCGTGCTGGTACCTCAAATTTGCCTTTTCCAGACGCCAAAAGCAACCTCATGGACCAGGCACCGAGCTATTGGCAGAACTTCAAATGGCTCGAATCTCCCCCGTCAACCTCCCAGGCCCCAGCCTCTGTCTGGCAGTAACGAGTCAACCCATCTAGACTACAGCCGCAAAACCGACTCGCGTGATCTAGCTAGGTCCCCGCAACAATAAAGTCAGAGATAACGGCCTGCCCACTGCGCAGCGCGCTCCACTTCAGCCAGCTTCACTGCAGCATCACTCATCATTCCGTGAGCTCCGGCCAAGGATCCAGCCTCTATCTGCCACTTCATTAAACCTACGATATAAATATCACATCAAAAGACCCTGATCGTCCTGTTTCTTTGTCCACTAGTCCTTACTAGACGGATCTTCGACCACTAGCGTGGAACATCACCCTTTTCTATCCCATGGAATCGATGCTTGCTTCGACTGTTGATCTCATGGCTCGTCGTTTCTTCCCAGGACATAGCGCCGCTTTAGGCCTGAGTCTGTTCCTCTTTCTGTTTATGTTCCTGCCGACGCTCGTGGTCTTGCTAGCTGTCGTGGTATTCTTCCTGTTCTACTATCCTCGTCTTCAGAAGCCGTCGTCGCATGATCGTTAGTATCTGTTTTGGAAACAGACGCTTGGTATGTATACTACAATAGTCATGAGATTACTGATGCTGATTATGTTCTAGTACAATATAATATATGGAATACGGAGTTACGACATGATACCACCGGGTTTGACAACGCTGTTTATATATCATGTATTATTATGTGGCATGATATACACCACGAGAGATTCTACCCTCTTATGTTAATCCTATTTTTCTTAACTACAGAAAGCGTTTTCTTAATAGCTGGTCATAGTATATAAATACTACTAGTGAAACCCATGTACACTTTACGCTGCGATGCCTTCATTGCTTCGGAACTGACAGTCGGGGGCAGTATAAGACTATGTAAAACAGATATATTAAGCAAATGTCAGCCCCTGACAACTGCCTAATCTAACGAAGCCAGTGGCAAGATTACTGTAATATAGTAACATCTGTAAGGCTTTCTCACAAGTAGTATTAGTCTTCATCCCGACAGGGGTGCAATCCAGTAGTAACAATCAGCCTATCGAATAATCTGTACACGCACTAGTGTCAACCTTATCACAGTTAGCATAGTCTAACTCTCATGGTCTGGACTTGCCTGCCTAGCTCACCCTCTATCCAGCTCCCTTGCCCCTATAGTACTTGACTCTTTTCTTCTCTTCCTACCCAATAATAAGTGAGTATGTGCACAATACTGTAAAACGAAGTAAACTGTCATCATCGAGATCTTTCTCCTTACTATATATACACATAATAGTTTGAGTGAGTCAAACTATATACCAACAGTCCGGTTAACACCTCACTTAGAGTAGACCACACCGATTGTTCCTAAAATGAGCAGCATATCAAGTGCAGCAGATCTTAAAAGTAGAATAAGTACATCAGCCCACAATCCCCATGCTCACCCTCAAATCAAAGCATGACGTGTGAAGGCGGTGTACCTCAGTTTACACCTCGGATCTCAAGTTCACCCCACCATTCGGAATTCCGTCGCTCCCTCACTCAAACACCCAACTCCCCACCAACTATACAAACCTCGCAACCCAAAACAGGCGGAACAGCTTCCTCCAAACAAGAAGAACTACCAAGATTGCATCAACTCAAAACCCCACCGTGACTTCAACAAACCAACTCACCCACCGACAATGTGCCTATACACCACCGCGGAGTTCAACTTCGGAACTCCGACCACGGGAGCGGGGATGACAGCATAGGTGGGGACTCATCCATATAAATATCCCCATGGGCACCAGCAATTGCCATTCAACATTACCTCACAAATAACACAAAGAAACAACTTCACCTTCATTAACCCTCAAACCAATACCATATACATCCATACACCCAACCAACAATGACAACCTACACAACCGACCACGCCCCTGCGGTCCTCCAAACCCACGGCTGGCGGACCCTCAGCAACTCCGTCCCCTACATCCTCCCCTACCTCAAACCCAACATGACCATCCTCGACATCGGCTGCGGCCCAGGGAGCATCACGATCGATTTCGCGCGACACGTACCCTCAGGCCACGTAACCGGCGTCGAATACGTCCCCGACCCACTGGAGCAAGCACGCACGCTCGCCTCCTCGCAAGGCATCACAAACATCACCTTCCAAGTAGCAGACATCCACGCCCTCCCGTTCCCCGACGACACTTTCGACCTGGTGCACGTGCACCAAGTGCTCCAACACATCGCGGACCCCGTGCTCGCGCTGCGCGAAATGCGCCGCGTGGCTAAACCCAACGGGGGGATTATCGCGGCCCGCGAATCCAGCGCCATGACGTGGTATCCTGAGAATAAGGCGATTGAGCTGTGGTTAGATATTACGACGAAGATGGCGAGGGAGAAGGGTGGGAATCCGCACCCTGGGTCGAGGATTCATGTGTGGGCGGAAGAGGCCGGGTTTGTGCAGGAGAGGATTAAGAAGACGGCGGGGTCGTGGTGCTTTAGTAGTCCGGAGGAACGGAGGTATTGGGGGGGTTCGATGGCCGGGAGGGCGGCGAATTCGGGGTTTGCGACGCAGGCGCTTGAGGGGGGATATGCGAGTAAAGAGCAGTTGGAGGCGGTTGTGAGGGGGTGGGAGGAGTTTGTGGAGTGTGAGAGGGCTTGGTTTGGGTTGTTGCATGGGGAGATTGTTGCTTGGAAGTAGGGGTACATTCAATTGTAGTTTTTGTTGTATTGCTGTTTGTGGGGGACTTTGGTACAGTGTATATAGTATGTGATGAGGAGTTGGAGGGTCAATATATGTCGAACAATAACAACATTATTTATAGTAGCTACTATAATACTATCCGAGTATTCCCTTAAAACAGTTCGTTGTTCGTTGTGTGGAGCGTACTTTTATCATTAATGCGTTTTGATTAGTACCAGACATACTATGATGATATTATATCGGCAGAAACTATAGTGAATTATCAGTAGAGCGAGTGCCTCAACGCCAAGGCGACAAAGACCTTCAACTACAAGTTGATTAAGTGTCATGTCAAGACACACAACTACGCGCCAGAAATAATTTTGTGTCAAATCTATTCCTTGAACAAGGTATGAGTTAAATGCATAATAGATACAGCTAAACAATCCCGAAAGCTATACGAATAGAAGTTGTTTATCAACAAACGGAAACAGGTATGCCGCATCTACCATCCATCCTCCTCGTAATCATATGCAGGCTCCTCTCCACGCTCAATGATAGTAGTCTCGCGCTCGTAGACGACAGGCGGCCGGTCATAGTCATACGACTGTTCTTCACGCTCCTCTTCTTCCTTTTCTTCCTCGTGCTCGTCTGTTGTTCTCGTTAGTATGCAGTTAAACCTTGACCATGGATGTGGTCAAGGTTGAGGGAAAAGGGGACGTACGAATCTCGTGGGAAATGAATGCAGCGCCGAGAGCACCAACAGCCAGACCAGCTGCGCCACCCATAAGCATGTTCTTACGGTCCTTCTTCTTCTGCTCCTCCTCAGAGATCTGCTGGGCCTGGGGGTCGGGGTAGTACCCGCCCTCCTGCGGCGGAGGGGGGCTTGCGTAGTAGCCCGGACCACCGGCCGGGGGAGGACCAGGGGGAGGCATGTCGCGGGACATGTCAGCGGGGAGCTCCCATTCTGTGCGGCCGGAAGGCATGTGGACGTAGTAGGCGCGGCGGAGGCTGGGCTCCCACTCCTGGGCCCATTCCATGGGAAGAGGAGGGGGAGGGACGGGAGGAGGACGAGCGGAAGGAGGAGGGCTGGCGTAGGGAGGACGGGGAGCGGGAGAGTCGAAGCCGCGCTCGCCACCTTCGTAGGGAGGACGAGGAGCAGGGGAGTCGTATCCGCGCTCGCCGCCTTCGTAGGGAGGCCGGTCACCGTATGGGGGACGGTCGTAGGGAGGGCGCTCCGGCGGGGGAGGACCGGAGTTGTATCTCTCTGGAGGGGGGCGCTCATAGGAAGGGCGGTCGTAAGGAGAACCCTCGTAACGAGGACGGTCATAAGGGGGCCGCTCCGGGGGAGGACCACCCTCGTAGGGAGGACGGTCGTATGGCGGACGCTCGTATGGAGGGCGTCCGCCGTAGTAGGGTTCTTGTGGTGGGGGGTAGTAAGACATGGTGGTTGTGGAAGGATTAGGAAGTTAGGAGAGGGAAGTAAGAAAGATGAGAGGGAAGAAGAGAATAAGGGAAGGATGAAAGACCCTTAAATATTCAAAGCGGCTCTGGAGACCCTGTCAGGTGGAGGGGGGAAGTTTGGACTTTGGACACGGATGCATCATTGGGAGGGGCCCCTCTTCGACTTCACCCTGCCACTGGCGCGTAAGTAACAGTTAGGCCGGGATTAACGGCTCCCAGGGATTGGAACTCAGCCCAGCGGGACCCAGACAGGCGCTAAGAGTAAGGAGAAGGGCTCCCCACTGGGTTATTAGCTGGGATGGAGAAGCGTCAATAGTCGGGTGGATGAGTGGTGACTGGGAGGCTGTAGATCTGGCAGTCTGGAGATGCAGAACGGAATTAGGCAGAGACGTAAACAATGGACGGTATCATGGCCCCTGAAGGGTGTGGTGGATCCCGGGATCAACCGGGAGTCTAGATTGAAACGCATTTTCTATTCACAAATACCAAAAGATGGACTGGACACAGTGGCTGGACGGGTTGTACCCTGGTGAAGGCATGATGATGGATGATTGTACAATGGCAGTAAACCAGCTGCAGAGAGGCAGCAAGAAGATGCGTCAGATGGAGGGGCGTTGATGCCTAGCAGACTTAGCTAATAGTTCGCTCTTAGCCATGCAATGCAGTCAGTCACTCATGAAATGAAACCAACCAAATCGAATCAATGCTAAGAATAATTCTCCGTCTGACTTGTTCCTCCGACCCTCCCCTTTTCGGTTTCTTGGCGCCACACAGGGCTGGTGATGTGGAACTGGTCTTCCCAGCCAATCGGAATACATACTGACCCTTCAGCCACAGCTTCAGCCCCACTGCGTATCATTCCCGTATCATCGATCATCATCCGGCGGGTTATGTCTTCCCCGTTGGGTAGGGTTCCAGAAGGCGGGCTGTTCAACCGGGTGAGCATAGCCACCTTAAAAGTGAGATTTTTAATTGGATAACTGCATCATGCGAAAGAAGAGAATATTGCCTCCAAGCGAACCTCCCTAAGCGAAATGCAGCAACGGCGCAAAAGCAAATTAGTACTGTAGTAGCCGCTGTATCTGGAACGTCCATTGATTACGCCAAGACTAGCCCCTCCGATAGCCCCTGACCGAAGCAGCCACGTGTGTCTTACCGAGTGGCTGTACATCCACTGTTAGACTTAGTGGTACACCGTAATAATGACAGGCTCAGCCACATCTATCGCTGTGCATTCCAGATGCAGTCATCGTTGTCGGACCTGTCTTGACAACACTGTGCCAAGAGCGTACTTACCGACGGATTACATGAGAAGAAAAAATCAGTGCCTCGTTGCCTACAGTTAAATCCTGCGCCATGTCGAGAGGATGCGCGGAGAAAGTACTACTCCTGCGCCAGGAAATCGACTCGGCTTGGCAGGCGATGTATTAGATATTGTTGCATCGGAGCGGGATTTAAGGGTATCAAATGGTCGTACTATTGCCGCAGAAAATCCCGCAATCCCTGAGAAAGATCATCTCCGAGAAGTGGTACTTTGCATTCTGAATTGTCTAGACTAAACCAGGCAGCATTATTGGCAATCTCGTTTAATGTAACCATCCTCCTCGCCCACCATCTAACATAAACCCGCCGTCTTCTTCCCATGTCTCCGAACCCACCCCCCGTAGTTCACTAACCCCCTCTACTCCACCACCACTGTGCAGTCGGGTGTTAAAACACCCGGTGCTATGACATAGGTCTTGATGAACCCCTGGCAGCCGCTTATCCTCCAGCAGTGCCAAGATCGCTGGACTGTCCACTGCCAGGATAATAAAACGCAGCAACACTAGAAGCCGCCTGTTAGCCACCGAATAAACGTGACCCTGGAAAGAGTTGAACTTACCCTATGATCACATAGGCTGCAATGAGCAAAGACCCTTCCAAATAGTTGCTTCGGCCATCCAAGACCAGGAAGTTGACAACGAAGGCCGTGACAAACAGACAGATGGTCTCGAATAGCGTGAAGTACAAGGACATGTCCTTGTCCATACACCAACCCAGGATGACCACCAGTGGCGTAACAAAGATAGCTGTGACGAATGAGCCCCTACTCCCAGAGGAAAAAAACAATAAGAACATACCAATTTGGATACTACTTCCTACCGATACACCGATTGCCAGGTCCATCTTGTTCTTGGTGGCCACACTGACAGCGGTCACGTGCTCGGCGGCGTTGCCAACAATAGGAAGGATGATCAGACCGATGAAGGCTTCACTGACAGACGAGCTCTCGATCATGGTGGGGATAGCGTCGACGAGGAACTCCGCACACACTGCGACAAGACCGGTCGACACCAGAAGCATCACCACCGCTGCGGTGCGAGACATTTCGGGTTCGGGCTGCTCGGGAACCGCTTCAGTTGGGTTGTTGGCCACGGCCGTAGGCATGCGAGAAGCACCCCGGGCAAACTGAACGGCATTGCCTGGAGGTGGTGGGCGATTGGTGAAAGAGGGTAGAGAATGCGTGCGTCGGAGGCCATAGGGATTCGAGGGACTGGAGGGAACTGCTGAGTTGGGGGCGGCCAAGTTACTCGAGAAAACCGTGTTGCTCAACAGAGATGGAATGGTTGGACGGAAGGGCGATCGCCTTTTGGCGGGTTCAGTTGCTTCTCCAACCTCCGCCGTAGGCTGAGGGTGATCAAAGGCGGGTTCTGTCTGGGATGTTTTCATGGATGGGCGGCCGGTCACAGTTGTGCCCTTCACAGAAGCGGCGGTATTATCCTTTTCGGCACGACGCTGCTTCCGGCGTTCACGCCTTTTCGCCTTTCGATCCTCCTTGGAGGCTTTGTCCTGTGGTTGTCCAAAGTCCCGGGTCTGAGGTTCATGATCGGCATCGTATCGGCTGTCATCTCCAAAATCGATGACAAACGAGCCAGACCCGTCGGCTTGAGTAACACTCAGGTCACCCGCAGAACCAGCATGCTCATCTATAACGGCTGCAGGAGGAATATCGGCCGAGGACTTCTTACGGAATGACTGGGGAGAAACCGTGCCATGCGAGCTGGTGCTCGACTTGCGATGACGCCTATGTTTCATGGCTCTCTTTATACGCTTGGCGGTGGACCAGGAGGTTGTCGTATCCACAGACTCATCCGATGAACTGCTCGAGTCTGACGAACTGTTCATGAATTCAGCCAGAACACCGGGGTGAGATTCCTCATCAATAATCTGTTGTGGGATACTGGCGTATAGGTAGGCGTGGGATTTGAGCTGGAATATGATGTACAAAACGTACACCAGGAGCAAGACCTGATCGGAGAATTAAACAAGGTATGATATGATTCGCAGTTGATACTACTTACAACACTTGTTCCACGGCTGACTTTGAGCGTGTATTTATCTGCATCTCCAGCGTCCGACCAAGAAGCGTGGAACGCCGTCTGGATACGTTAGTAAGTATAGGGTAAACCGAAAGGATGCGCAGACATACTGGCAAGAGCAAACTCATGACACTCAAACTGAGAAGACATGCACTCATCTGCGTGACAGTGCTATTATAGATCTGGCAGATGTTAGTTTGACGAATGCGTACAGCTTATGTTGCTGGCAGATTTACCTGTTCCTGGAAGCGCAAGCCTCCCAAGAGGAAGGCCATACCCAAGATCAGCAGTAGGTTTGCTAAGATGGATCCCAGCAGGGATGCTTGGACGATCCGAATCTCATTCTGGACAGAATTAGAGCGATCCTCAAGTCTGTTGCAGAACCAGTTGACTCACCTTGACTAGGGCAATACTGAACGAATCCGCTGTGATTAGTATTTGTGTGTGCACATGCTCTTATAAGCAACAACTTACATGCTACCGAAACGTTAGCAACAGTCAGGGGTGAATGGGTGGGATTGGGTACATACAAAATGATCAACTCTACTGCATTTCCAAAGGTGACGTTGATGAGTGCACCCACAGTGTCACCCAATCGACTAGCGACACACTCGGTGGCATGGCTGAGCAGACCGGCCAAGGGGATGATAGCTATCGCATTCATGGCAAAGACCAGGCCTGGATTGAGTCCAGCGGCCTGGACCGCAATGCCGACAGGGACGAAGACGAGCAGCACATTGACCCAGCTGTGGCACAGGGCGCGTTTGGTGTGTCCGGTGAAGCGAACAATTCCATCCTTCATCCGGACGAACAGTGGGCGCTCAGTGGTTTGATTGGCATCTTTTTCCGACTCCGGGCTGGCCGGGTCACGTATACCTTCTTTCACTTGAGCATCTTGAGCCGAAGCGTCCTCAGAGGACTGGGTGTTGGACTGGTTTTGACCCTGGGAATTATTCGGGGTAGACGCGTGAGCTTTCGCCCACGAGTGAATCCGGTCTGCATAGCAAAGAGATAGAATGTTAGTCAGGGGGGTCAAGATAGATACAATCATCGATGAGATGTCAAATGAAATCGTCGAGGAGGGCCTCTAGTGGGCCAGGGAAGGGATGGCGATAGGAGGCAGATAGGGAGAGGCACTCACGCATGTATTTCAGAGCCAGGAACGGAAAGGATCAGATAGAGAAGGCAAGAGGGGCCCTCGATAAGACGTGTGTGATAAACTGGTGAAGAGGAAGCTGTGTCAAACACAGGAACTGAAGAAGCAAGCCAAGCTTCAGGAAGGAGAATATAGATAGGAAAAGAGGGTCCCTGGAAGTAACCTGCGCGACCGGACTATTATAAGGGAATGGAGAAGTCAACCTTTCTGGGACGGGGGGGAGCCCTGTGGCATGGAAGCAGGACCAATGATGCTTGCCAAGACAGCAGGATGATCATCCTGATCCTGACCTTATTCCGAACTGGAGCCATGGTCCGCCCCGTTTCGCAGCAATCGAGTCGCAGTGAATTGCCGTCGCCTCGACACGCAGCTTGTCTCCACCTTACACCTTATCAATCATGGCCAACAGTTGCTCTAACATCCTATCACATCATTTCTAGATACCTACTCGTACTAGTACTCCAAGTACCGCTGAGGTCATCTCCTCCTGTAGTATTTCCGACCAGAGCTCGGAGAACTGAATTCCAATGGTGTCATCGGCTATTTTTCAATTTCGGACTCGGAGATGTCAGCGATCACGGGCGGGACTTCTCCGTTTGTCAGTCGACAGAAGAAGCAGAAAAGTTGAATACTAATGATGAATCAGATAGCTACTATTATTCTTGGGCCGCCCGATGGGATGGAGGTCTCCACCCCTGGGCCGCGGATCCATAGGGGCAAATCTCAATTTATCTCACCCTTTCCAGAATCCGTCCATGAGATGCACACCTACGACATCAACAGTGGGGCCAGCGAAACTAGGGTTGAAAGGAGTCAACAGTAGTTGATTATGAGACTACTACGTATCTAGATTATTCGATTTGGTAGCTCTATTTCAGGCTGCCGTGGCTTGCAGAGGTAAGGGGGTAAGATGCCCCGTTACGCAACGGATAGAACAGAACACAGACACACAGAACAATGACTGAAAGTTGTGAATTCCATAACCCCGACCGAGAATTGAGGCCAGAACGGGCTGGCTTGGAAGTGATTTGCCAAGTCCACCTGTCTTTCTCAACAAATAAAACTCTTCCCCCAAATCTTCTCCCCGAGAGACCCTCCAATCAGACCTGCTGGTTTCCTGCGCCTGCCCCGAAGCCCACTAGTGGATCGTTCTTGATTGGTCGACACTACGTCAGGAGTCAGCCTCGTTTCGGTAGCATTTCTCCGGATTCCGGTATCCCATACCCGTACTTTACAGGAGAGCCAACAGCTTTGGGTAACGCGTCACATGAGCTTGTCCCTGCAAAGGCTCAATGAGCTTTCGTCAGCGTCAGAATCTCTCCGGAATGTTGACATGTCTTCTCGTCGCTCAACACGTATTCATGGTACACAGTACTTTCAGTATCTCTCTCAAACGTCCACCTTGGCCATTCAGCGCGGTTCCTTAAAATCCGCTGACTCACGATCTAGACCATGGACTCGTCATCCCCAACCGTCTCCGCAGCAGTGTGGCTGAGCGAGAAGTTATGGCTGTGCCGTGGACCGTTGTGATGGAACTGCCATCGACGCATTGAGTTCATATTGACGGTGCCATCGGACAGATTCCATCCTATCATTATAGTTTCAGATCACTGTCGCTTATTGCGTTTCCGGCTTGGCATCTGTAAATGGAATGAGAACCAGACAACTCTGGCCTTCTTCATTGTTTCTCAACAAAGTATATCTGGATTTTCTGGATGCAATGAGATCATGACGGCCCAGCGCGCCTCGTAACCCCGCAACAGCGTCCGATTTGGAATATGCATGTCCGGATGCCAGTGCATCTGACCGTCTTGGCCAGTGGGTAGAAGCACAAAGAATAGTAACCACGACTAGAGTACATATGCGGGGTGATGTCCTAGCGTACGCTGGTACCTTTACAGGCATGATGTGTCCGTCCGCTCGTCATCATGTCGCGCTGGATAAACTTCAGCCAATCACTCGAGCACCTATTCCATTCATTGCGAATTGACTCAAAGCGTAGAACACGAGTCATCCTATGGCAAAAGCATCATTAATTCTCCCCGAAAGCATGCAGCGACAGCCAGTGTATAGGTCACGTGATTGAATGTGGAGGGGATGACCCGGCAAAGGTTTCATCCGCTCGCATTATCGTCCGCTTCCTATTCTCTCCTCTACTTCATACTGGCTCGTCGGGGAGTTACGATTCAGACCAATAATTAAGTTAGAGACCTTATCTTACTGCTCGGACTCGGATCCCGATAAGATGGGAAATGATAATCTTCATCCGCAAGGTTGCTACTCGTCCAAAAGACTAGATCCTCAACATTCAACTACTACGTACTTTGGCATCACCAGATACTGCCAATCAGCCAATCAGACCAGCTACGGAACACCACAAAGAAGTCGCGCCTACGATTCCTCTAGCCATGTCAGCCCTACACCTCAATCAAGAGCTATCTGATGGCCGAAATCCCCAGCCGATAATGCTGCAGACGCCCCGTGCAGAAGAAACCTTCTTCTATCGGCATTTGGCTCGGCACGCGTCACGAGATCCAGGCACGGCAACCCGACCCGGATGCAACCGTCCCTCAGCCCGGCTCGATCGATGATCTTTCGGCGAGCTAAGAAGATCAGAAGAGAGAAATTTTTTCATCTAAATTTACAGTCTTTGTTTAATCAGCCCATATGCGAGCATACGCAGTATCCTGCTTCCCGTGACCTAAGCTATACGGTCACAGCAGTCATTGCACAATGGCTCCATCAAGGAGCGCCGGCGGGGGTAGGATGGCTAGGTTGCTGAGGTAGGCAACTGTCGCGGTATTTCTGTAGTTGGGATGAACTAAAGTTTTTCAACAGTATTTTGAATCCCTTGACATGGAGACAGCGGCTCGACTTGGACACTCGGTCTTTCCTTATCATGCTGAAGGGCGCTTTGCCACCGACAATTGTGATAGCGATGTAGGTCATATTGCGTATCAATCTCTGGAATCAGTGTAGCTGATACCAAGCAGTTACCAGAGTAGTGCTATATCCGACATCACCCTCACAATCGGATATCTATCAGCTCTTATTTCGGTCCTGTCTCAAGCACTGACACCGCGGGCCAAGTTCATGCGTATCATGTTTTATGATCTCTTGTCAACATGTGTATCAGCTTCTCTTTGTTGCTTAGCTATATTCTGCGCCGTACGAGCGAGACAACATAACACCCCTCCAGATGCTAGCGAGGCCGCCCGGAATGGCTTCAGTAGCGATGCCTGTGCCGTGTCCGCTATATGGCTGATATTCATGATTTGGTATGTCCGGTTTCTACTTCAATAGCATTTTCAGATTCACTGAACCTATGCAGGGCCGCAAATACCATCCGTGCTTGGCGCCCGCAGGAGCTGCAGGATCCTATGGTAGCTTTCTCGATCTTTTCTTCTGTTACTATCACTCGCGGTGGCATGTTCACCACACTATCCGAGGGTCTTTCATTCGTTTCTAGACTGTTGAAGGGGTTTATGCTGGGGTTTGCCATTGCTACCGGGGTCTCTCTTCTTATACTACCAATTACTAGCCGCGGACATGTCTTCGACGACATCAGGGGTTACGTCGCGAAGATCGATAACGTACTCCAGTCGCAGATTGACTTTGTCAAGGGGACATCAGAGGTATGGACCGGAGGTCAAGGGCTTCTAAAGAGGACGCGCACGGCACGAAGTATGCGGGACATGCAGAACAGTCCCAGTTCGGATCTGGAAGCGAAGCAGAAGCGCTTGACAGCATCAATCACCAAATTGAACGGATTGCACGGGAAGCTACAGTCAGACCTGCTCTACTCGAAAGACGAAATTGCATGGGGTAAACTATCAGCAGGCGATCTGAGTAGGATTGGAGGGCTGCTGCGAAGTGTTTTGCTGCCCCTTTCGGGAATGGCTATGCTGCCTGAGGTGTTGGACATGATTGTCAGGAACGAAGGAACGCGCAACAACAGTGTGAGATCACTCGACGCCGAGGAGGATTCTGTGAAACAATCCGAGATGCAGAAGGTAGCCCAAACGCTTCAAGACCGCCTTGTGGACTCTTCCAGGTTGGCGACAGTTGGATTACAATATGTCTTACTGGCTCTTGGGCTATCTAAGCGCAAGAAAATCGAGAAACAATACTCAGGAAAAGCAGATGAGGAAGGGACCGGAGAACTACTCACACCACTAGAGCCACAATTCGCACAGCGTTTTGAACAAGAAATGCGAAACTACTTCTCACGCCGCAAGGACCTCACAAGAAACCTTGCCTCCCTTCAGGCGTTTACGGTCTTAGAGAAGCCGGATGATGCCACCTCCCAGGAAGACATGGCGGCCATTGCGACAGACCCTGACGTCAAGCAGGAGTTCTTTCTCATCCTGTTCATGGGACATCTGCAGGACAACCTACTGACCGCGACTCTCGACTTGATCCGTTTCGCTGATGACCGAATCCAGGATGGCACTATGAAGCGCAGCAGACTGATTCTCCCCAGACTCAACACCATCCGTAAATGGCTCTCCCTTAATACCGACCACGACACCAAGTCTGCTCCGGATAGGAGACATTCATCTCATGTCGATCCAGCTTCTGCCCTTGGCCAGACCGAAGCGAACAATTTCCCGGATCCCGAGCACCTGCCCCCGGCCAATTGGTTTGAGAAAGGCAGCCTGGCGCTCCGCTACTTATCGCACATTATCAGTTCCGAGCAAAGCATTTTCGGCTTCCGCGTTGCAGCAGCTGCATTTTCCGTTGGTATTCTGGCATACCTGCGTAAGACACAGGACTTTTTCATCCACCAAAGATGCATCTGGGCCATGATTGTCATTGTGATCGGAATGAACCCGACCAGCGGACAGACAATGTTCGGCTTCGTTGCGCGCATCGTCGCAACAGCCGTTTCATTAGTCCTGAGTTTGATCGTCTGGTATATTGTGGATGAGAAGACCCCAGGTGTCATAGTATTCCTCTACCTCGCCAACGTCTTCGAGGTAAGCCCGCATCCTCTACATACCAGCCACCCACTAACCATCCAACAGTACTACTTCTACGTGAAAGTCCCACAATACTTCGGAGCCTCCGTGATCGCCATTGTGACCCTAAACGTCATCGTAGGCTACGAACTACAAGTAACCCCTCCCAACCCCCCTTCAAAACAACCCACTCTAACCCAATCAGGTCCGCAAACTTGGCATCGAAGTCGCCACCTCCAACGGCCAACCCTACTACCCCATTTACCTCTTCGGCCCATACAAACTCGCCGCCGTCGCCGCCGGCTGCGCCATCTCCTTCTTCTGGGTCATCTTCCCCTACCCCATAACCGCCAAAACCACCCTCCGTAAGACCCTCGGACGCGGGCTCTTCGTCCTCGCCAAGTTCTACAGCTGCATGCACACGACCATCGAGCTCTGGCTCACCGGTGAACTCGGTACCACCGAAGACGACGACGACATCCGCTCCGCAACCTCCACTCTTCAACGTACCCGCCACAAAGTCTTCAAAGAAGAAATGCTCCTCCTAAACAGCCTCCGCATGCACAGCCACTTCAGTTCCTTCGAGCCGCCCATCGGTGGGAAATTCCCCCGTGCAACTTACGATGAAATCATCTCGCAGATCCAGCGCATGCTCACTAGCATGGCGTTAATGGCGCATACCACTCAGAACATGGATGCTTTGTCCACTACCACCACCACCAACTCCACTGACAATAGTGACAATAACAATAATAATAAATGGATCTCCCGCCTCGCCTCAATAGCCCTCCAATCCAGCGGCTTCAAATCCCACAAAATCACCTCCCTGCTCTGCCACTTGTCCGCTTCGGTGCAGAATTCTCAGCCTTTACCGCCGTATCTCGAGACGGGGGATACATTCCCGCTTGCGAGGGAGCTGCAGCGCATTGATGAGGAGTTGTTGAGTATTCGACATGTAGAGGATCCGGCTTTCTCGGCGTTTGTTTGTCTGGAGGTTTTGAGGTCCGTGGTTAGTTGCTCGTTGGATGATTTGCTGAGGTATGTGGTTCAATCCCCTTCCTGTCTTGCTGTGGGTATAGTTGCTAATGGTTATTTTTTTTTGCTTGTTATAGGAATGTGAAAAGCTTGGTTGGGGAGTTGAGCTTTGATTTGCATGTTCGGGATGGGGATGAGGCGCAGCGGTTGATGCAGGAGGAGTAGGTGGTTGGTTTGGGGTGTGTAGATGTTTTTTCAATATGAAAATAGGATGTATATATTGCTGTTTATTATATTTACATTTATGATGCGTAGTACTCTTGTTTACCTAAGTTATGTGCTTAGTCAAGTAGACAGTGGCAGACAAAGCTCAAATATCTACATCATAGCATACTGCTAAATGAACTATATACACACACATACTACTAACACAAAGAAGAGAAAATAACTACCCATCACAACCTAGACAAATGTTTCCCCATCTACACCCTACAAAGCAACCCACTCCTCAAATCAAACTCCCACTCATCACTCCCCACCCCAGAATACACCCAAAGACTTCCCCTCGGATCATACCTCCTCTTAACCTCCACCAACCTCTCATACCCATCTCCATAGAAATCCCTCTTCCAGGTACTGCTAAACGGATTGCCCTCATTCATATACGCCCCCATATTCGGCGCCCAATTCCTCCACACCGGCTCCAGCACACTCTCATACCACTCCGCCGCCTCAGCCAACGACGCCGCAGGGTCACCTGTTGCGTTCACGGAGCCGCCATATGCCATGACGTGCGCGTATGCGCTGCGCCATGACGGAAGGACGCTCCCGCGGCGCTGTTCGGGCACGTTAGCAGTGCCGCGGCCGCCCTGGAGGCCGAAGATGAGGAGGGAGCCGGAGCCGGATTGCGAGGCGAAGATTTGCTGTAGGTAGTAGATGAGATCCGCTTGTGGGAGGGATGAGAGCTCGGATTTGCCCAGGAGGCGGCTTGTGAAGAGGCTGGATGCGCCGGCGGACTGGCTGGCGAGGAAGTTCGGTTTAATGTAGGACCAGTACGACTGGGTGGTTGGGGGTGTGAGTTTGGTGGTTATTTGGGCTGTGTTGTTGGCGAGTTGGGTGGAGAGGCTGTGGAGAGTGGTGTTCATGGCTTGGGCGGTTGAGTTGTAGGCGATTAGGTTGATGATGACTGCTGGACCGGCGAGGACTTCGTCGACGCCAGCGTAGGTGCTTGCTGATTTGCCGGTCGCGGCCATGATGGTGCCTGTGATGCCGGAGTCCATGAGGTGAGGGATCTCGGATGCTGTTTCGGCGAAGGCGGTCCATGAGGCTAGCTCTGAGGTGTTGGAGTTGTTGGATGCGTAGAAGGTCAAGCCCCCGGTTACGACGTTCTCTGGAATTGGATGCGTTTGGAGGATGAATTCGGTCACTACGCCGAATTGGCCACCACCGGCGCCACGAACGGCCCAGAAGATGTCTTGGTTTTGGGCGTCGTTTGCGGTGAGGATATGGCCCTCCGGGGTGATGACTGTGACTTGGTAGACGTTGTCGGAGGCGAGGCCGTAGTGGCTGGATAGGAGCCCGTGGCCTCCGTTCTGGATCAGGCCGCCTAGGCCTACTGTGGCGTCTTCGCCGCCTACGACTGTTCGGTTGTGTTGGGTTACGGCTGTGGTATAGACTGTGCCCCAGTTGTTGCCGCCGCCGCAGATTAGCACGTCTGCGGTTTTGTTGGTGCCAGGCACATGCCAGGTTGGGTTGTGGTGGATGTGGTTGAAGTTGTGGGTCCAGATTGAGAGGGAGTAGGCACCGGTTGATCTTGAGGAGGGTAGGTTAGCTGGGTTGATATCATTGAGGGAATGGAGTGATGAGGATATACGTACCGACCGTTAAGATCATGGCCTGTTGATTTCACGACGATGCGAATGTCCCTCTGCGATGCCCATGACATGGCCGTTGCGACCTGCTCTTCGGTAGTGGCATTGACGATGTATTGGGGCATGCCGCCGATACTGCATCCCTTGTCTTTGGTGTATCCAGAAACACCTGGGGGTACGCAGGAGTTGTTGTTGTAGATGGAGTAGTCATTGCTTTCAGGCCATATGGCATGGTAGGCTGCGTAGGACCAGTGGTCTTTCACTGAGGAGCAGTTGTACGACGAGCCCAGTGGGTTTCCTGCATAGCAGGAAGAGGCAGCAGGGGCAGTTCTAATAAGAGACCCGCCAATAGATTGGTTCAGGGCAGACCACTCCTCAGTTGACGGCCAAGCTGCATCACCGGGGGCGGTTTTGCAATTGGCCGCAGCCAATGCTGGAAGGGCGATGAGTGCCAGGAGCTTTGGAAGCATCGTTGTCACAATAATTGTATTGTTGTAGATTCATTCTGGAATACATGAAATGTAAGGTCTTATATATTCTGTGATAGAACGCGAATACGACTGAATTTCCATGCTGTTGTGATATCCTGTATAGGAAATTTAAACACGAATACGCCGCGATCTGCTGTTGGTGGAGACAATTCCTGCGATATCCAGGGACACTCCATCAAACCCCACAAATATTCTATTTTAAACGGTTCCTAACCCACTACTGTACCAGGCTGATGTAAATCTGGGAGGCAATGTCCTCATGGTCTGCTCTTTGCCCGGGTCTCCCTTTCCGCATCCACGGCCTCCTTTAGCCGGTTGGGTGACGATGTGAAAACTCTGATAACTGGAGAAATCATAACGGGCGCACATCAACTCTTAAAATGAGTGGAGATTCTCTCCAATAAGAATTCTAGATGAGTCGACGCAGTATACTTCAGGATACGGATACGTTCCGTTGACTGCCGGTTGTGAGGAATAGCAATCACTCGCAAGTGCCTCGCGGTTTCACGCGTGCCGACCGCCGATCCCCAGGCAACATCCCTGAACACCAACAGGCATCAACCATGTCCATGTTCTGCATGAGTCGGACATTCCTCCGGCATTCCCGGGTACAGAGATTAGGCTTCCTACCACGGATACCTATACTCAAGAAACCGCAATGTCACAGATTCACCCAAACACCACGACCGTGCGACTCCACCCCAATCTACCATCCGCGTCCCATCTCTTACGCATTTGATCCAGCCACTCCAGCAAACCAGTCTAGTCCAACATCCCCAGGATTCTCATTTCTACACCCATCAAACCTCGCCCAAGATGCAGAATACCAACATGCCATCCCCCTCAACCCACAAAATCTAAAAGTCCCCTGGCCAACCTCACTCCCCTGCGCTCTGCAATCCAAATACTGGCGCGAAGCAGAAGCCGCAACAAACGACTTATTACAGACCCTCTTCCAATCCAACAACAACCCCAAGGGAGAGAAATACCTCACTGCAGTGACAGAAGCAGTGGTATCCTACGCAATCAACCTCCTTCCACTATGCGATCTCGAGAGGATCAAGCTCCTCTCCAGGACATTTGTCCTAGCCTTTCTGCACGACGATGCAGTCGATGCAGGGAATATTAGCGATGATGTTGTCTTGATCCCTACAGAAAAGAACAGCAAACCATCCCATAAGGCCTTCAACATCATCTCGGAGGAGATCCTCGCTGCAGATCCCGTCAATGGGGCTATTCTCATCGACGATATCCTATCATGGGGCTCTACGTCTCGAAACCACCAGCAAGGTCCAACGTGTTTCAGTTCTCTGGATGAGTATATCACCCATGGGTTAGAGGATTTCGGAGCCACGCTTATTCTCCGCTGCGTGGAGTTTTCTATCGCTGATTCTCGTTCTTCTTCGCCGATGGATCTTCAGAGTATCAGCTATCTCAAGTCCCTCTGTGCGAAACATCTGCTCCTTACGAACGACTTGTACTCGTATGCCAAGGAAGTAGCTAGCGGAGATACAGGTCTCAATGCAGTTCGAGTCGTGCAGGATCTCATGGGGTGTTCTGACTCTTCTGCCAAGATGATGGTTCGACTTATGCTACGTGATGTGGAGAGACAGATGGACGAAGAGTATACTCGACTCGACACAACCAGCAGTACGAATAGTGTGAACGACGCGCAATTGAAACACGCGCGAGCGATGATTATCGCTGTAGCAGGGAATATGTACTTCTCAGCGACATGCGATCGGTATGCCAGGGCTGTGGAGGGGTCGAGATTGGTATAACTTAGTTTGTATATCTACAATTCTCATGGACTGTATATAGACACTATACATACACTGTGAATAAACCCACGATTATAACCTACTTACTACTTACTACCTCCTCCTCCGTACTCCTACTACCCTACGTTGCATCTCTCCATCAACAACCCCAACCACCCCCTCCCGCCAAGCCCATTCCTCGGTTACAACCGACACCAACCAAAAGCAGTTTAGCGCGTCCACAACCGGTTAGATATAAATCCTCCCGCCGTCTCCCCCCCTCCCATCATCCTCCTCCCTTCCCTTATACCTCACCATCGTCGCTTCGCTACGTCTTGCGTCTGCTATAATGTTACGCGGACGTCAACCTCGACAATCTCAATATCGACGACAACTAATAAAAACTATATAGCTATCTGGGTCATATCATCTTCCTGCCTAATGTGTCGCACGAAGCGTGTTATCAACCATGAAAGCAAACCAAAAAGAAAAGTGGTATTAAACCCCAGCCACGACAAGTCTCCTCTGAGGCCCTAATCATCCTTGAGCGAGTGTCGTCTGCTGTATGCCTCTTAATACCGATAAAAAGTGGATGTGCGGTTCATACTTCATGTTGTTGCAAACCTAGAGCGAGGGGTTCTCTCCCTTTGCTGTGTCTCAGCATGTAGTCGCTGTCCTACATTTCTTGTAAAATCTCTCTATTTATCTATCTATCTGTGTATTATTAGGTATATGATGGATGGATGATGTAGATCAGTAACTGCCATCGAACGATCGCCGATAACTATCCTCATTGTTCCAGTACAGCGTGTCGTGCTGGACTTCCGGACCTGTGGCTCCGAACTCCCACCCCAATTTGAGCTTCGTCCATTGCATCAGGTGGCTGGCTACTTTGATGTGGCCGACGTCGGTCGGGTGCTCTTGCGGGTCGATGTCGTTGTGTTGTAGCACGCCCTTGGTGTCGAAGTAATAGACGAATCCGTCGTCTTGGAAATGCTCGGCCACGCGCTGGATCTCGGAGACGTAGAAGGGCGATTGTACGTAGGTGTCCCCTGAGCGGGTGAAGTTGCCCCAGAGGGACTGGAGAGGTTGTCAGCGGTTGGTTTCTCGGCTTGGGGTAGAGGAAGAGGTTGTGCATACCATGATAACGATCTGTGCGTTCGGCCATGTTTCGTGCACGCGGGTCACGAGCTCGACGTAGCTGTCGTAGAAGGTCGAACCGGGGATGTCATTAACGGCTCGGTGGTCGTTTGTACCCAGGTCGATGATGACTAGATCGGCCGCGCGATGGGCACTGAAATCCCACTTCTCGGGCTGGTTTCCGTAGGTGGCGTTCGCACGCACACCTGCATCGGAGGCGTAGAACCATTGGTGTGTCTGAACAAGTTAGAGGCTTGTCTCTGTGTGATATGGGGGGAACTAACCATGCCGCGCGCCTTGTCCGCGTAGCATTGTTCATCCGTTAAGCAGATACCGGGATACGCCTGTTATGGTTAGATGGCGAATGCAACGTGCAACGGGAACATACGGTGATTGAGTATTCGACGTCGCCTAGCCCAGCGGCGTAGTTGTACGCCCACGAGGAAAGTCCTTCGTAGGTGCCATATTGTCCCGATGCGAAGCTAAAGCTGTTAGCTGTGGCGTGATGATGAGAGAAAGGAACGTACGAATCACCGATGATCTCCACGGTCTTGCTGTATTGAGGAACTGTAACAAGCCGTGAATCCGAAGCGACCGAGACACCAGCCAATTGGACTGTGCGAAAGGTCAGTAAGGCGTTTCCATGGTGGATCGATACACTTATCCATAGCCCCAGTTCGTAACTAGACAACCGTCAGCATGAGTTTCTATTGATGAAGAATTGCACTTACCTCTCATCTCAAATGTGTTGTTCTTGGCCAAATCCAACCCAGGGGTCCACGACCCGGCAAATTGATATGTTGAGTTCGCAGTCACATTGGAGAATTGCCAGTCCAAACCGTCAATCCTATATAGTCAGCAGGAGAAGCCAATTTCCTTGCTTTGATCCCTACCGATAGGCCAAAAGGACGCCTTCACTCGTCTGCGGACCGAAGCTTACGGCAAGCTATGCCATGTCAGTTGACAGCGTCCCAGTATTTCATGTCTAACGCTATCATACCTGCTCGCCCGTAAACCCAAGCTTGATACCCGGGAGTCTGTACCTGTTAGTCCGACGTCATCACCCAGGGAAACCGATTGAGACATACGACCACCCTGAAGAACCAGTCAGTTAGCAAGATACACGACCCGAATGATGTAATCAGAAAGTGAGGCTCACAAGAAACATATTTACTATCCCACCTCCCCTTATATGCGATCTCCGACGCGTCCGGTTGATAAGTCCGCCAAGAGCCATCATCCAACGAGATGGCCTTAGCCTGGCCAGGGTAGGGATCTTCTCGAACCTGGCCATTCTGCAGAATGGTAGCCGAGGCCTGAAGAGCCCATGATAGCACGTAGATTGGAGAGAACCGCATCTTTCGATTGGACCGTTCAGGTTGTGTGACACGCGAGTGTGCCGGGGAGAGGGGCTGCTCCGTTCTTAAGTGCGCGGTGGGAAATAACAATTTCCCTGCGTGGGTTTTGCTTTTGCTATTTAACATAGTGTGCTCCTACAGGACAATAAAACTTACGAGGAGAGCAATGATCGGCTTCGGATCCACCGTTCCTCGTCGATCAGGAGAGTGAGATCGATCGATCCGTTCGTGGCGCCAAAAGCTTGCCAGGGATTTGTTTCTGCAAGTTCACTCAGATTGGATGGCTCTGTGAGTTAAATTATAAGGTTTTATGCAGGTTGACCTGGTGGTTGGAAGCTGCAAAATCTTTCGAGACTTCATGATCGCATTCCCATCCGCGAGGTCCGCTTTATGGCTGAGACGAATAAAGTTGGGGGCCGGGGGCGGAAGGCAGGCTGAGAGACACTGCCCCAAAACAATGGAACGGCGGGAATCATTTCCTGGGGCCAAATAAACACCGATGATTTTCCATTTTCCTCGTCGCGTCAGACGCGACGGGCTTGTGCTTAATGTCGCTGAAACTGCACCTCAATCGCATACTTAGCGACGACAACCCCCTAAGCCTTAGGACAAGATTGCCAGGGGGCAAGAGAAAGATTGTGCTCGAGGAAATGCTCAGTCTTAGTCCCAAATTGCCATCCAATTGATTTAGTGATGTCTTCAGCTTCTCTGGAAGACATCTTACTGTCACAGTTCGACCCATCAACAATGCTCGAGAGCATCTATGTGATTCATATCCACAATTGAGGTTGGGAATCCCTATCGTACACATACCCGCATCAGAGGCGACACCGATTCTATCAGTAAAGTGGTCAGTGTTTGTTATAGTAATTCAGTATGCTGGCTTACGTGCCGTGATCTATGCCCCTTTATCGTGCGCAGACTGCGATGGCGTGGAATGCCTAGATGGTCGACGTGTGTCAGTACTTTAAGCTCTGACAGACAGGATACTATCCAAGCAGGGCCGCATGCTATGAACGAAAATAGCAACCATGAACGTGGCAGAAAAGCCTCGCAGTTGATAATCGAACGCCTGTACCTGCGGCTGTTTCCACATCACTATAAGCCTCATCAGCTGATTCATGCTATCGCCAAGCAGGGAGCATCATGAGTAAGCTACTCAGTGCCGTAAGCCCATGATGGCAAATCGGCGCTAAATATACTCGGTCCTGCATAAGAGAGAGAAATTGGAGCCAGAGCTTCGTTGTCTCAGGCGGGATAGGGTGGCTTAAGCCTTGACACCCGAGATGGTCTAGCTTATCGGCTAAAATCTCACATACTATCGACAGATAACGATAGCGGAGGAGGGATTGGGATAGCCCCGACGGACTCCGATACGAGACAAGCAATTGCTGACAGATCATTTTCCCCGACACGTCTGGGGTTATTATTTGGCAGTTTCCCCAGTTTCCCTGTGCTTGTTTGCAGACATCGAAGTCGCATTCAACATCACCATGGTTCGCCGAATTGCTTCAGCTACTTCTATGGCGCAATCGCCCATGTCGCCACTTGGCGCAGCATATTGTGTCCGTCCCAATTCTGTCTCGATGAATATCCATCGAAGACCACTCGTTGTTGCATCAACCGATGAAGCCAAGGTCACTATAATATATGCCGGTCTGTTGATTCCTGGCGACGGAGAGCCTCTGCGCAATGCTGCCCTAGTCATCAGCGGTAAGATCATCGCGTTCGTGGGGCCCGAAGCCGACATTCCTAAGAAATACCTCCGGTCCACGCAGTCCACTCATCGTGTCCCCGTGCTCATGCCCGGATTGTGGGATTGCCACATGCATTTTGGCGGTGATGACGACTATTACAACGATTATACCTCTGGTCTGGCCACTCATCCAGCATCGTCAGGAGCTCGGCTAGCCCGTGGTTGCTGGGAAGGATTGCAGAATGGGTATACGTCCTACCGCGACCTGGCCGGATACGGGTGCGAGGTCGCGAAGGCGATCGATGACGGCACGATCGTTGGACCAAATGTGTACTCATCCGGCGCTGCTCTTAGTCAAACAGCTGGACACGGCGATATTTTCGCTCTTCCCGCAGGTGAGGTTCTGGGGAATTATGGAGTCACGAACCCTCGGCCTGGATACTGGGCAGCAGGACAGCTATGTATCGCTGATGGCGTGGAGGAAGTCCGACGAGCAGTGCGGTTGCAACTCCGTCGCGGTGCAAAGGTTATCAAAGTGATGGCTTCAGGGGGTGTCATGTCGCGAGACGATAACCCAAACTTTGCACAATTCTCTCCAGAGGAACTGAGGGTGGTAGTGGAAGAGGCTGCTCGACAAAACCGAATCGTTTCTGCACACGTACACGGCAAGGCTGGAATCATGGCTGCTATAAAAGCAGGTTGCAAAAGTCTGGAGCATGTGTCTTATGCTGACGAGGAAGTGTGGGAGCTTATGAAAGAAAAGGGCATTCTTTATGTGGCCACGCGCTCGGTTATTGAAATATTTCTCGCTAGCAACGGAGAGGGGCTAGTGAAGGAGTCGTGGGCCAAATTGCAGGCACTTGCTGATTCGCATTTGAAGGCTTATCAGGGCGCCATCAAGGCGGGTGTTACCATTGCGTTGGGAACTGATACCGCTCCTGGTGGGCCTACCGCGCTGGAATTGCAGTTCGCTGTCGAGAGAGGAGGTATGACGCCGTTGGAGGCCATCAAAGCTGCAACTGCGAACGCTCCCTTGTCGGTTGGACCACAGGCACCGTTGACGGGTCAGCTTCGTGAAGGGTACGAGGCAGATGTAATTGCGTTGGAGGAGAATCCATTGGAGAACATAAAGATATTTCAAGAGCCGAAGGCGGTTACCCACGTCTGGAAGGGAGGAAAACTGTTCAAAGGCCCGGGTATTGGTCCGTGGGGGGAAGATGCACGTAATCCTTTTCTGTAGTTCATTATACGATTCAATGGGCATTCCACATTATCTCACTTTGAAGCACAGACTTACCAGCCAGTGAGTCGCTGTAGCAACCTACCTCAAATTTGATAGCTCGTCGTCCAGGTTATCAGCAATTTTACTCTTTCACTGTCAGAGTGACTGAATGCCTATACTAGATGCTGGTGGTTGAATGTGTGAGAGACACTGATGCTAAACATCGCTCTTCGAAAAGCTACTGCGCGCCACAGCATATTCAATCAACTATAACCCCCCTTGAGTGCCTCAACATACTTCAAGCGGTCTCCATAAACATTATAAAAGAAAACTGGAAGGCATGTACTCTACATTGAAAACAAATACAGGCCCACGCTTATACTCAAAAGCCCTACAGGACCTGCGAGTGATATATGACCCGGCTCTTCGATATCCTGTCTCTGGTAGTGATAATTGAGCCAGGCGAAACCAAACAACAGCCACGACGCAGGCGACTTTGCCACGCGGATACGTTCTACGAGCAGAGACGACCGTTAGCGATGTAGACCGTATAAGTATTTGGATCGGAATCGGAAAGAAAACATACCACAAGGTTGCATGAGTCCCAATTCGGGTAGGATGAACAACCCGACAACCACAAGATGGATCATCGTCGCGGTAGACACAGTCCCTGAGCGAAACATTGTTAATTTCCATGACTACTGTAATGGAATAAGCGAGGGGCAACGAACAAATGGTTACTGCTGCTGCAGTCGTTTCCTGCCAGTCTTCGAGCATATCCTCTCGGATGGAGCGATAAATACACAAGCCAACGTCATTTCCAAAGTCGTCTTGCAGATGCTTCAGCGTTGCGGAGCGGAGCTCCCGGACCCGGCCTAATTGCCAGGAGGTAGCCAGTTTCTCTGCGTATTCTGGCGTCGCTTCATGCTTTCTGATTAGGGTGGTAATGATGTAGTCGCGGACAATATCCGGGCCAGCAGAGTCGACGGGGAATTTTCGAGCCATGATGTTCGATCAAGGAGAAGGCGGAAGGAGAGGAGGAGAACTCGTGGTGTGATGTTGCTGCCTGAAATCGAGGTTGTTCTCAGGTTATATAACCACCGCTAGCCTTATCACGGGGCCGTGTGGTTAAGGATAAGCGCCTTCCTTCTCTTGAGTGATGGTCACGCTCTGCTAAGCGCCGTCCTTTTGGTTAGCCAGTCGGTGGGTCGGAATATGTTTAGTGTGGATAAATCCTGGCGCATTTTGCTTCTGCCGGAATGTGTCTGGATATCGAATGGACGGAAGTGGGGAAAAGGAGAGCGCTTCCATTAGACTGATTAGTGGCCAACCACACTCTTGGTGTGCCTCACTCCGTGCGGACTCCGACATCAAAAGGACAATGTGAGTGGGTGGTATTGGGGCATCCAAGCGGACTTGCTAACCGAAAGAAGTCTGGTGGGAGACAGACGGATATTGCGGAACGTCTAAGCTGAATGCGGTATGATGGGCTATGGCGTGCCGAGATTAGAGCCATCATAGCTATACCTCTCTGCAATGCCTTACCGAAGCTTCAGCGTAGTATTTGACTATCCTGGGGTTGTTTTTGAGCTTCGTGACGATCTTAGACGACACATAATACCCTGCGAAACCGAAGCGTCAATCTTCAAGGAAATGGATACTAAGTTACCAGTACTGCTGAGGTCGGAGCTCAATGTAGGTGAAGATATATATTTGCACAGACCTAAATTGAACACAGGGTGATATCTGGCACATCAAAGATCACCAATTTAACTACTACTTATGACCAGGGACCCTCGTTCTACGGCATATTGCTATAATCAGGCCAGAAAAAGCGCCTAACTCATCACGAAATCAGGTGTCATTATACGTCAAGGTGGTTTCCCCTCTCAGACCTATCATAGTTGCCATGCGTCTACACGCGAATTACAAATCGGCCCTTGATGCACGGATTGGAAGTTGACATAACGTAACAGAATGTGTGCGTGCATGATGTCTTCAGCTAGTTGACCCTACCAAAGGTTAGCTACTACCCCCGGAAACTAAGTTTTCAAGCACTGTTACAATGCAGTAGAATTGCCCATAACGGGAATGTGTTGCGAATAGGTAGCCTGCATTGCGGGACTTTTCTGGTCTCCTGCATTAGATCGCGGTTAGGGAGTAGCTACGGCTGACCAGTAGTGTTACATGTGATCCTGCAAGGGCAATGCGTTGACCGGCTTTCTGATTCGGATGCCTTGAAGGGCTCGCACACCTATGTACCGGGCTTTGACAGTCTAGTGAGTGAGGGAGATCTTGGATATCTTCAGATTTACAAGGGCAGTAGAGGAGAGACCAAATTGAACATGTTATGCTACTCTGTAATTATATTACTGCTTTTAGACACAAGCATCGCCAGAATACACTGTATTATAGCTATAACAACAGATGACAAGAAACAAATTAACGAAAATATCCAAGCCTCGAAATTGGTACAGGTTCTAAGCCTCATGAGGCAGTAGTAAGATATACATTCGGCAAGTCCATTGCCTTTATTGAAGCAGTAAAGGGAGTGTTGTGGACCTTGACCATTTCACCTCGTTATTCGTCGCATGGCTCACGCTGTCCATCGTTACGTCCCACTTAGACAGCGATGGCAATGGCAGCAGCAACAGCAGCACCACCGAGAGTGTAGCTGAAGCGCTCCACGCTGGCAGCACCGGTGTAGAGGGAAGGAGAAGCAGAGGCGGAGGCAGAGGCAGAGCCGCTGGGAGTGGAGGAGGCAGAAGCAGAGGAGGGAGAGCTAGGGATGACGGGGCTGGAGCTGGTGGAAGCAGCAGCGCTCTCAGTGGTGGAGGCAGCAGTGGTGGCAGCAGTAGTGGCATCGGTAGCAGAGGCAGCGGAGGTAGCACTGGAGGCCTCGGAGGTGGAGCTAGCGGCCGAGGCGGACGAGGTGGCCACGTCCTTGTAGGCATCGACACCCTTCTGAATGGCGTCGGTGATACCGGAAGACAAGGAGCTAGCGATGCTAGACAGAGAGGACGGGACCTTGGAGGTGATGGCATCGGCCAGGTTCTTGGAAGCAGTGTACTGCTTCTGCAGCTGAGCGTAGACAGTGGCACCAGCCCCAGCGGACACGAAGTCGGATTTCTTCGAAATCAGATCATCAATGGTGGTCTGCACCTCCTTGGTGAGATCCTGAACCGGGCCAGTGATGGTGAGAGCATCAGTGGCGCTGAGCTCAGATCCTCCGTTGACAGTGGAGACACCAGAGTTAATCTCTGAGACCAAGGAGGAAGAGGCGGACTCGACCTTGGAGGGGTCGCCTCCAGAGTAAGAGTTGATGGCCGAGTCAAGAGACTGAACTTGGGTGTTAATGTCGGCAAGGACGCTCGTGATGGAAGCAGCGTCACGCTCGACGAGGGTAGGCTCGCGAGCAACCTTGGTGGGGTTGGCCATGACACTGGTGGCCAACAGAGTGAACAAGGCAGCGGAGAACTTCATCTTGACGGTGATAACGACGGTAGTTGAATAGATATTAAGAGTAGTAGATATGTTATTATAAACAAAGCTGGAGAACTGAACGAGTGCTTGAGGCTGAGATTGGCTCTGCTGTACATCTACTCAGTGGCCGTGGGTGAGCGTCTTTATATACACCATGGGCAGGTTAAAGCTCACATGGGAGGGAACTGCGGCCGAGGCGAGAATGTGGGCCAGGGGAAGATTTCCCTGCAACTTCTGGGGTTGGCCTAATTAGCGTGCTCGAACCGAGACGTCGAGCCTGGTCCATGATACCAGAATTGACTCGTTCCTGAAAAGTGCACTGGTGATCGTCACCGTAATGATTGTTCTGGGCCAATGCGTTTGATTGCAGGGCCGACGCTCATTTTCCCCTTTGAGTGTGGCCGGAACCTTGAGGGTTCCCAGTCCCTGGTTTCCTGACACATCTTGACCCTATTATTGTCATTGCTGGCACGTTCGGTTGCAATACAGCAATAGTAGTAGATAGAATCGGAGAGAAAATAGTACCTAGCACCTGACCAGCGCAACAAAGTAATCATCGCGAGAAGCAATTAATTTGACTTCGCTGGTAGGAGAACCAGAGCGTGGTGGCGCCACGATGGGCTCTACACCCGGCCCGCCCCCGGATTCTCATTTGTTCGTGAGTGGATGTTAGCTAATGCAGGTCGCCAAGTGTACAGGGAGAAGAGCAGGATAGCGCATCGGAAGTTCAGGGTCCGCGGGGGAGGAAGTGAGACAATGATGGCCTAGTGGAAGTTAGCGAAGAGGAACTGTTGGAGAGGCCACTAAACGGTCAACCGAGTGCTACCCTCCGGACGCTAAGCGGAGGCCCACCCTCCCCTACCCCGCACCACCTAGTCTCAATTTCGAGTCCTCTCGTTGGGCGATCCTCTTCACCTCAACACATTGCGGCAGTACGTCCGCAATCACCAACCCTCGTTCTATCGGCCATGGGTCATCTAGACCAAATGATGTGACGCCTTGGTATTACTTTTCTCTTCAACTCAGGAACTGCTTCTAATCATACACAGCAAAATTGCACAGCAGTACCAAATTTCAGGTAAGAGCTGAGACGTTTGTTGGTATCCCTTTTCTCCCTACTGGCAGTCGGGAATAACTCCGTGGCAATTCAAGTAGCAAATTGTGACTCGCCCATAACTGGACTTTGCCTAATATAGACACATTGTCGGTTACACACCAGAGACGCCTCGAGACTAGTGGCGCATTCTCTAATGAGCTGAGCTAGCTAGTCGGCCCCAATGCCTGGCATATGCTGAGCTCCCCGGTTAGTGCTGGTAGATTGGTCAATTCCCAGACAGTGTCCTACTCCGTTGCTTAGATTGCGCCTCTCAATGGCTGTCATAACTATAACGGGGTCTGTGCTAGACATTATGCCCGCACAATGGAAACTCATTCGTCCTGTACTTTCGCCCAACCTGGCTCAAAATGCAACCTGAACTTCTGGCCTCGGAATCACAATGTGAACAAGAAGAGCTTGGGCACACATTAATCCCTGTGCGGCACATCTGTCCAATAGAACGACATCGCATCTGCCCGTCCCCCTTCCGGGAACAGAGTGGCAAAATACTTGGCTTAGCTACTGCTACCTCAAATCTCGCTCATCACCCTAGCATTGGCCTATGACAAACGTCGTTGACAAACACTTCTATTCCGCGCCAGCTGAAGAGGCTTGGGCCCGAGGCTCCGCTCACTGGCATGTAGCACGAGATCTGAGACGCCAGTAGATATGCTTGGTAGTTTGGGTGCAATTCCATCTCTCAAGAGCGCCATTAAAGATCTGGGACAGTCCGGTGTAAGGAAGTTGTCTTATGATGATGGCAATGTCTCACCCTGGACAACTTGAATGGCTGACATCAGGTACGATCGGCGCTCTTATCGTTGATGGTTGCACAAAGTAGCATTCCAAGTCCAGGTTACGGTCTGTTTGATTCAATGTGTCTCAACCCGTATATTAACAATATTGCGATCTTTTGGAACAAACTAATTACTGAACACATTGGTTTCTGGTGGACAAGCATCAGGAAAAAGGGAGTCTGCATCCCTGCAAAGTGGCTCGCAGACGGCCCGATCGCAGGATACAGCAGCATTCATTCTCCCGCAAGGGAGCGATTCATCAGACGTGTTGGCTGTCACGCAATGCTAGCCAATGCTACATGATTCGCATAACCACGCTGCATTAAACATAATAGTAGTAGTATAAGGCAAGAGACAAGCACGGTACATCTGCTCTCAAAAGCCCTCAACGCCCAGCAATTTTGCTAAGTCTTTTACCCAGAAGACTCTTTCATTCATAGTAGTTGTGGCATCCAGCGTCTCATAAGAGATGATCATGCCCGCAAAGGGGTGATTTCCACTTGTTGGCAGATTGTTCTCAAAAAGTGGGCTCCCGCACCATAAGTCGGATTGAGTTAACGTTTGACTTTAGTTGGATAAAAAACTTTAAATCGATCGCTCAGTTCGGAAACTTGGAAGCGAATAGGCTACATTCATCCAAGTATCTGGATGCTTTCTATTTCTGGTGACAGAGCCTCTTGTGGTTTGACTTTCCCGTGGTGATCCTACCTGCTTATATTGGTTGGCGCAGGATGTGGTTGAGAGATTTCTGGTCCTGAACCTGACGATCGTCATCTTGAAACCAGTAGTAGATTGCCCGAAAACTACAGACTCACTCGACGGGTTTATCTGCATGCTAGGCCCTTTAATCCTACTCTAAAGTTGTTCATCCTAATTCCTTGATCTCAAACATGCAAATTGACTTTTTTCGCGATGTTTCTTCTTCAGTTTCGTATTAGCATTTTCCGATTCCCTCTATTGAGACGGCCCATTAGACACATTGGGGTCTATTCATCCCAGGTGGCTGTTAGAAGGCTATATACTATCCAGATTCCTCCCCACCGCTGTGCACGTTTGGGGAGATTGAACCCTCCAGAAAGATGCATAGGAAAGAGGCTTGGTCTTCTCTATAAACATTCTTTGCGTCTCTTTGTTGCGTTATTATCGACACGTTGATAGCCTGGTTTTCCTCCCTTCTCTCTCCTCCCAATACTAATATGTTTCTGACACAGCAATAACTTGAGTTCGCTCTGCATATCTCGTCGGCTTTGAAACAGTGCACCTCCGAGTGAACGTTCGACCCTTTACTGTTGCCCATGGGTGATCAGAGAGAGAGGAAGAAACTCATCGGCGACTTGTTGTTGCCTGCCCACACATGGAAAGGAGATCACCGCAGATGCTACATCTCTGCAGGTGTCAATGTCGGCATTACTATCTACACCGGATTGCCATTCCGACCCTTTCTGTCGGGCATGGTTATACAATCACTGGGCGGAGAGGTGGGAGACACATACACCACCTGCTGAAACGCCCCGACAGAGTTTCCCAACGGCGGTGCACTCTATGAAGTTCACGCGATGAAAGCTACAACAGGGCGTTGGCATGCGGTATAGTTTGTATATGACCAAAGGGTGCTAGTAACTCACCAAGTAAGCGGGCTAGAGTAAGTTGTAAGTCGCCGGGTTTAGTAGATTATGCCATATAACTGTTATGGTGATTTATCAGCTGCAAACGTATTAAGAACAATACAACCACCAACTTCTGTGGGTACTACAAAATTACCACTACTAAGCTTGAGGGTCGCAGATCGAATTGTGTGAGATAAAAATTGCGATACCGGGTAGTAAAATTTACGCATACATCATTACAGCTTCTTTGCCTGCGCATCGCGTTGCTTTGTGTATCAGTAAGACACCACAAAGGTCTGATTGTGCTTTATTCTGGGCCATTGTTGTTTTTGTCCTGTGGGAGTTGATATACAAGCCATGCAATGGTACTGTGTTATGGTAATCGTAAGGATGAAAGGGTCATCAATGTGTACTTGACTTCTGACTCCCAGGTGAGTGACAGTTGAAAGATAGCCTCGTCTGTAGTAACACCCGAATGACTCGATTTACAATGACTTTACTACAAGTACCACAGGTTGTAGACAGACATTGTCCTCAGACCCAACATTAACGACAAATAACGCACCAAACCATAGTACATTTGAAAGTAAAGTGCCGGGAAACCTCTTACAACCCACCCGACACTTTCTTCACTCTATAATAAGCGGGCACTTCCCTTTCGAAACAACTTACCAAATAGGCTTAGCGCCGCATGTGCTGTTTATCGACCCCACTACATACTTCTGCTCCCTTATATCGCTCACACACATCTCGCCATATCATCGTCGCCTACCTCCTAACTGAAATCTTCTCCTTAATCTAAAACTTTCACTCAAACGGCTACACAATGGCGGGTGCTAAGGAAACATCTACTACACCCCAGCAAAGAAAACGAGCTCCCAAAGGACGTCGTACTACTGGCCCTGTTGCCGTCGGCGGCAATAACAGTGTTGCGGGACAGGAGAATACCTCACCGCAGAATAAGACCGGTAAAAAATCCAAGAAAAGCAAGGGTAAGAGACGGGGACGGGGACATGACAAGATGGTGCCCTCCGAGCCTGCAGAAAGTGTTGACCCTGTCAAAAAGACATCGCGGAGTGAGAAGAGGTAAGTATCCGTTCTATAGGAAGCCAGGAGCATAGCACTGATGCTTTCGATATAGGCCCTTATCTACTACTTCAAGGGTGGGATCATCGCTAGCTGGCTCTCATAATGAGCTGTCAGCCACCCAAATGCAAAGTTTCCTTGAAGCTGGCCTAGCTATGATCGACGAGTCACCGGACACACGCAGGACATTTGTTGAAAGTCTGGCCACCGAGTCTGGTCTTCGGAAAGTTCGACAGATAGTTGAGACTCCATTCGCAATGACTTACAGCGTTCTGAAGCCTATGTTTGATCCACATTGTATACTGTTCCTTCGACTGGTCTCTCACAATGAGCTACTATCTTCACTTATACTTGAGAAGGCTGTGGGGACAATCTACAACGTCATATACGGTCCCGGTGGTCGAAGGGCAGTTGGGTTCTTCACAAGAATGACAGACTTTCTCGCCCAGATCAAAACCGATGGCAGAGATCAAATTTCTGTCCAATTTGGTGCTGCGCGAAGCGAAGTGTTGTCTCTAGTTTCGAGGGTACTTCTCAGTACTCTGACCTTGAATCAAGAAGCTGCAATACAGGTAGATTTCAGCAGCATTGCTGGCAGGATTTATGACTGCTGTCATGCCGATAACGCCGACGCCGGGGCCGGCGATGACAGCTTGCAGCGGGCATACGAGGACGTAGTCAAGATTCGGGACATCCTTTCTATGGGGGACTCAATTCCTATATCACAAAAGCCCGATAAACTTCAAACCATCAGAACCAATCAGAAAGGCAGCACGAGGCATATTGTTGACCTCCCCGGCGAATTGTCTGAGCTTGGCCCTCGCCACGACAATGACAAATCGGCAATCTCGGATATTCAGATCCTGCCTACAAAATCAGAGATACTGAATGCTGACCGACCTGAGTTCCTCCCCGCACGATGCGCTACCGATTCCTCCATTATGCATCACGAGCGGGGCATCCGTCGACTTCTCGATAGTCAATTCCGCCTTCTACGGGAAGACACATCTGGTGTACTTCGCGAAGGTATAAGATTAATAATACACACATGGGAACAGATTGTCCACGGAACAGACTGGCGCCTGAAGCGCAAGTTTCTTCGTGACAATATGCCAACTCCGGTTCGGGTCTATTCAGGAGTCGAAATTCGACAAATAAAGTCAGAGCATTTCAGAGGCATCGAAGTGGACTTGGAATTTGATCAGCTTCCTAGACTGAAAAAAGTAAGCCCAGCAAAACGAAAACAGTGGTGGGTTGATTCAAAGGCGTTAAGAAAAGGATCAAACCTGCTGGCCTTGTTAGACGCAGAGGATGTGGATGACACATCCGCGATCTACTTCCTTGTTTCGAAGAGAGAGACCAGCTATATCGAAAAAGTCAAGCAGGGCTCTGCCCCAGCCGACCGTGTCAACGATGTAGTTAGCGATGGCAACAGAGCCATGGTTACACTGGGGCTAGTAGGACCACCCAATTCGCAAGACTTGGAGAGGCTTGTTTTGTTCTCGAGGAGCAATCCCTTTCCCCGACCACTCATACTCGTGGAATTTCCAGCCATTCCGTACAATTCTTTCGAGGGTATTCTGAGATGTCTTCAGGTGCTACATCAGAACCCAGCACGCATGCCATTTACTGCATGGCTAGCCCCGAGTACCGATAACCATGAAATGTGTGAATCTCTGACGGAAGGTAGCACCGACGCTGGCAATATCAGTATACAACCCCCTGCATACTTCCGAAACAACCTATTGCTCGACCTTTCTTGCCTCCGAGACCAAGGCGATGCTGAGGACGCAAGTCAGATACTGTCTATGTCTCTTTCCCACGATCCGAAAATACTTTCCGCAGACCTCTCCAGGGTAACTGCTTTGGACGAAGGCCAGGCAAATGCGCTCATCTGGGCATTGCGGCGGAAGATAGCTTTGATTCAAGGGCCCCCAGGAACTGGAAAATCATACGTGGGGCTACAGCTAGCTCGATGTCTGCTGTACAACAAGGATATGTTGAACCTGGGCCCGATACTATGCGTGTACGTGAAAACACCCACCTTATAGTTCATGCAGTCCTAGATACTAACTTGTATGTCGCAGATGCTACACCGCTCACGCACTTGATCAATTTCTCGATGGTCTCCTTAAATCGGGTGTTACCAATATCATCAGGATTGGCCCTCGCAGTGCCTCTCCACATATCGAGAGTCTGTCACTGGAAACTAGAAAGCAAGAGCCAGGACCCCGAATTAAAGGCCTTCCTAGGATAAAGAATGAATCGCGAGTGAAGTTACTCAGCATAAGCTCAAGAATTGACGAACTCCTGAAGCAAGCCCAGAGCAGCGGTCACAGCCTCGTTCTTGGGGTTCTGAAGAAAAGATTCCCCTCCCACTCCAACCGCATAATTTCGGGGTATCCTGGCCAAACGGACACAAATGCATTACAAGCGTGGGTTTCTGGCGATGCTCCCGGAGACTGGAGTGATGCTAATATTGTGCGCTCCATTGACCGACTCCTGCAGGAGGACGTCTGGACGCTCAAGGCTTCTGAGCGAGCTCGTCTCCTTAGTTACTGGCAGGAGGCGGCTCTCACAGAGATCAATCAACAAGTATTGACACTTCTAGAAGCTCATTCGGCAGAAAAGGAGCGATATACCTCAGCGTTCAACATGTCGGATGTGCAACGCCTGAACGACTGTCAGGTGGTAGGCGTAACTACTACCCAACTAGCAAATAATGCTGATTTGCTTCGAAACCTCAATGCAAAAGTGCTCATCTGTGAAGAGGCAGCAGAGGTTCTTGAGTCGCATGTTCTCACTGCGCTAATACCTTCGATCCAGCACGCTATTTTGATAGGAGATCACTTGCAGCTACGTCCACGCATCTCCAACCTTAGGTTATCAATGGACTATGAACGGGAGAGCCCAAAGTACAACCTCGATGAGTCATTGTTTGAGCGACTAGCAAACTTCCGGTTCGGAGAATCAACATCTATTGAAGGTGGACAGAACGAGCAGGAATATAGCTTCCCCGTGATGCAGTTGAGCCATCAACGGCGGATGCATCCATCCATTTCCGAACTCGTCCGCGAGACTTTATATCCAAAGCTCCAAGATCATCCCACGATGGCCTCATATCCCCTTGTACCTGGCATTGCTCATAGATTGTATTGGCTCGATCACCCTCACTTGGAAGATCCGACTGATCCTACAGAGCCAATGCAAAGCAAGACGAATACATGGGAGATTGGGATGGTAACCGCATTGGTGCGACATCTCTGTCAACAAGGCAAGTATGGGCCCGGCGAGATTGCCGTATTGACGCCATATGTTGGACAGTTGAGAATGCTCAGAAATGTCCTGGAAAAGGAAATGACCCTAATAATCAGTGAGACGGACTCGGATGTACTCGATGAAACTGAGGGGTTAGAAGTGAGTGGAACCTCTACTGCGCATGCGAAATGGTGCGGAAAGCAGGGGGCCCCTCTGAAGGGAAGCCTCCTAGATGTCGTTCGATTGGCTACAGTCGACAATTTCCAGGTAGGAGATAACCAAAATCTGCAAATAATAGGTCTAACACTATTTCTACCAGGGCGAAGAAGCAAGTGTCGTTATTGTCTCCCTTGTTCGCAGCAACAGATCCCGAAATTGTGGGTTTCTGAAGATGCCAAACAGGATCAACGTACTGCTCAGGCAAGTATTATACAGGGATGGTACTCATTGTATGAATGCTGACTTGGTCTCCAGCCGTGCAAAACATGGCATGTATATTATTGGCAATGCAAGTACGGCATCAACCGCGCCCATGTGGTCATCCGTTATTCAGCTGCTGGAAAAAGGCGCTAATATTGGCCGGAGACTTGAGTTGCGTTGCGATCGTCACCCGTCCCAGGGGTTCTACGTTTCTTGCCCGAATGACTTCACCATACATTCCCCTGAGGGTGGATGTGCGGAAAAATGCAGACTAAGGCTAGACTGCGGGCATACCTGTGCTGTGAAGTGTCACTCAGAAAGACAACACAAAGCAGTGAAATGTATGGAGCTGTGCACTCGGATGAAAGACTGCGGCCATGCATGTCCGAAGAAATGTCATGAGCAATGTGGGGAATGTTTGCAGGTAGTCCATAATGTCCTCCTCCCCTGTGGGCATTTAGGGGAGGCTGTGGAGTGCAGACAAATGGGTAATCTCGCAAAGGTGCGGTGCACTGAACGCGTTTCTCGCACTATGGATCGCTGCGGCCACAGTGTCGAGATACGCTGCTTTGAGAATGATGGTGCAGTGAATTGCTTTCATCTGTGTGACAGCCCCCTGTCTTGCGGACATACCTGTCGGCGTCTATGCTGGCAGTGTAGATACACAGAGGGTGACTCCTACCACATCGATCATGGCCCATGCCGAAACCCTTGCGGCCGGGGATTCTCGGCTTGCTCGCACAGCTGTGGCCAACCATGCCATCAGGGTGAACCCTGCCCGCCCTGTAATTTGACATGCGAAGTGCGCTGTCGGCACAGCCGTTGTGCAAAGACATGCAGCGAGCCATGTTCCCCATGCGCAGAGACATGTGGGTGGGGCTGTGAGCATCGCGAACAGTGCAGCATGCCATGCGCTGTCCCATGTAACAACATTCCTTGTGATTTGCGATGCAAAAAGATAATCACAGGTTGTGGACATCAATGCCCTGGTATCTGTGGGGAACGTTGTCCAGATCCTCGGTTCTGCCGGCTATGCTGTGGACCAGAAATTCTGGAGCAGAATGTTGATCTCATCGAGCTCAAGGCGTACAAAGACGTGGATATCGACCAAGATCCATTGGTATTCCTCTCCTGTGGTCACTTCTACACAGCGTCCTCACTGGACGGCATAATGGGGATGTCTGAACATTATCAAGTGGAATCATCTACAGGCAGGATACTTGGTCCGAAACTTACACACCGATTATTGGAGTCTGGGCGTCCAAAAGGGTGTCCTCAATGCCGTGCACCACTTCGTGATATCGATCGCTATAACAGAATCATCAAACAAGCATTCCTCGATGAAGCAACGAAAAAGTTCGCCACTCATGCAAGCTTGAACTTTAGTCACTTGCTGGAAGAGGTTGAGGTCTGTGAGAAAGATATCGAGCGCGAAAAATCGGGTTTTGTATCTGAATGGTTGCAGGAGTCAGTCGGGACAAGAAGTGCTGACGAGGTCAAGCGCTCGGTTGAAGCTTATCGTGGAAGGGGAAACAGACTGTTGGGCAAAATCAAGGAGTTTACCAAATCTGTGGCAAAATCTGAGCAGCCGTTTGGGAGGGTCAGTGAGATACTCGCGTCAGCAACAGCGAGGAAGGCTAGCATGCCTGCAACACCATTCCAATACAGTGAATCGTATATCCAAACCGGGTTTCAATCACGCGGCCATGTTCTCGCACTTCGACTCACCTGGGTCCTTTTCTGGAACTTTGACACCATCTACAGCAACAAGCGAATTGACCCACGCATAAAGATGATTCTGGCCCAAGTGGTAAAGAATCAGATTAGTGGTCTACTGAGTCGATGTGAAGCTCTGGCGAGGGATTGCCAGAAGGCTAAGTTTCTGCAGCAGGAGGTAGAGTCCCGAACGTATTATGCTCTGTTCTCAGTGCTGTTCCTTAGCAATCACGAAGCACGTGGTAGCCCTGTCGAAGGATCCACTGAAAAACAGATACGGGAAAAGGCACTGAAAGAGCTGAAAGACTGCGATGTAATTTGTTTGCGCCACTCTAACATCCTATGGTCTCTCCGTGAGGATATCGAAAAAGCAAGAAGACTGGTCAAGGGCGGAACATTCTACAGTTGTGTTACCAGCGAAGAAAGACGGCAGGTGTATCAGGCCATGGCGGCACAATTCAACGGTACAGGCCACTGGTACTATTGTGAAAACGGGCATCCGGTATGTGATCTCACCATAAATTCTCGTCGAGTACTAACTTGGATTGCCAGTTTGCGGTGGGAGAATGTGGGATGCCGATGGAAGAAAGTCGCTGTCCGCAGTGTGAGGCGCCAGTGGGCGGGCTCAATCATGAGTTTGCTCAAGGGATCCGCAGAGCAGATGACATGGATGTGGAGTTTGGCGGTTCCCTTTCTGTCGAGGCGGACGCAGACTGGTAAGCTGCCAATCATATGATCTTGATATTGAGGTCGTTCAAATGTATGCACATGCGAGAGATGTTTCTGTAGTATATTGCGCCAGAAGCTAGCTAGCAGAATGATCATCGGCTTCGCGATAGCAAGGAGGTAAAGTAAGACATGAACCCAACCGCTATGGTAGCAATAACTGTTACATAGCACTCGACAGCTCTGAGTACCTCTGGATGTAATTACTATAGTTGATAGAGTCTTGATTTTCAAGAAGCATGCAGTACAAACTCTTCCAGCTATCTTCCAAGTCCGAGTGCAACCCGATGCGATGCGGGATTTTTGACAGTGCATCCACGTCATGCACTGCCACCCCAGCGAGTATCATATACCCATGTCGAAGTGGTTGCGATGGCTACAGTGTATCTAGACTCTCAAAAACCGGGATTATACCAAGGAGTGGCCGCAATGTGCTGGCCAGCCTTATCGGGCGGGCATCCATTGTGAGTGGGATGGCGTGCAACGTGTCTCGCCTCGCGTCGGCGGCATCTTCTTCCACTTCCCCTCCCCACTGCCCCTCCATCCTCAACCCCTCGATCGGCATCCACGTCGACTGGCAGGAGCAAGCTGCAAGCTTTCGGAACCCAGGTATGAACCTGATACGCTAGATTCGTTGCACTGAAGTCTAATGCGACGCTGCAGCTTCCTCTCATGCTCCCAGCTTCCATCAAGGTGCTGCCTGCTTGCTTTATTCTATCGACAGGGATAGCAATGCCGTTCACGGTGCAGGGACTGATGTGACCGACATAGCTGGGTGTAGTATGCAGCAGGAAATAGTCGTACCTCCGGAACAGAGGGCTTTTACTACGGTTTCACGAAACTTGAGCTTGGCAGTGTCTGGTGGCCAGTACCACCCGTTGATCGCTGTCTTCCCTTGAATAATCGAATTCTCCTTCTGCAATACACCACACTGGCGGGTTATCGACTGGCAGATGGGGGTGTCAACAGCTGCAGGTCGATAGGTTCAGGCATTGCTACATGCAGCTACCTTGGAGTACCCCGCAGTCACCATCTACCAATCTCCTAGGCCATACATCGTGTCAATCAAGAGAAACGTGCATTATCCAGCTTTGGTCGAATAGTGATGGATGGCGTCGGATGCATGCTGTACGTTGCAATGCCCAAACTGAGGTCACCCAACAGATGCGTCTGTGATAGCCAGGCTATGGCTATCGCGCATATCGTGTAAAGTCAGACTGGAAGGACGATATGGAATGGGCAGGTCGAAGAACATAAAAGGCGTCAAGAGCCAGCTGCTCATCAGCATCTACAACTCCATCCCTCATCCTAATCTACAAGCCACAAGCCTCCAATTCACCGTCACCATGCCTCAGGACCTCAAGGTACGAAAACACACATTAACCTTGCTTCAGGTACTGATTCTCATAGAACGCCCACTACTCCTATGACTACCTCCATGGGTTGAGGGAGAAGTACGAGAAGTCGGTAAGTGTTCCTCGACACCCAGGTCTGCTCGTTTCTAACTGTCCCCTAGGCTCAGGACTTCTGCCGTGAGTATTTACAGAGATATGAGTTGATTGGATATTAACAGCAGCAGGCGGTATGACCTTTGAGGACGCCCTTGCCCATGTCAACTCGACCGGCCGCACAGACTTCACCCGGGAACAGTTGGAGGCCTTTGACACCAACCATGACGGCAGCATCAACTTTGCTGGTGAGTGTCCTAGGCATTTCTGGGGATGTGATGCTAACTGAATAGAATACATGGAATTGATGCTCAACAACGACAAGGAGCTCGCGTTCCGTAATGCCAAGTTTATCGCTTAGATTGGGAGGATTGGCCGGCTCTGTATATAGGCCGCGATATAGCATGAATAAATGATATGACAACTATGATTATGTCTTCATCGTTTGAGTCCGCTACAGACTCTGTACTGTGTTATCGCAATTCCCTCGTCGTTCTCACATCGAATATTAGTAATAATTCTTCCTGATGTCAACATTCAAAGCCCAGCATTCCACAATATTCATATGATGTCATGTCTCAATCCCTAACATCTTGCTGAAACAGGTACCGCTCTGTTATTTCATCGAGCAAACAATATAGTAGGAAGGTCACCCTTGCATTTGGTATGATACTATTGGCGGCATCCAGTGTTGATCGTATTCAACATGACCAGTAGTCTCCACTTCAGCAGTGGGTTTGTGGTGGCCAAGGTATCGGCAGTAGTCCTGCAGAACATCTACACCTCTTCATCTCACTTCACTTGTCCCTCTCTCACTACATCTTCAATTTCACAAAGTTGCAGACATCATGTGGCTCTCTCTTGTGTGCAGTATTCTGCTGCCACTTGGGGTAGTCAACGCACAGTCTCAGTACCTCAATGACAAAACCAAAGGTATGCCTCATCGCGTCAGTTCGAATTCCACTAACAGCACTAGAATTCGTCGTCAATGGGTCTGCCCTTCCTTTTGTCGACTTCGACATTGGCGAGTCCTACGCGGGCTACCTCCCCAACACGCCATCTGGCATCTCGAGCCTATACTTCTGGTTCTTTCCTTCTTCCGATCCTAATGCGTCCGATGAGGTATGTTGACCTCGTCTCATCTTCTTCTAAGGCTAATAAACAGATCACCGTCTGGCTGAATGGCGGCCCAGGATGCAGCTCTCTGGCAGGCATCGTGCTCGAAAATGGTCCCTTCCTCTGGCAACCTGGCACCTACCGACCCGTGCGCAACCCTTATTCCTGGAACAACCTCACCAACATGGTGTACATTGATCAGCCTGCTGGAACGGGATTCTCGCTTGGTCCGTCTACGGTAGTCTCGGAATTCGATGTAGCGAGACAGTTTATGGACTTCTGGAGGCGATTCATGAAAACTTTTGATCTGCAGAATCGGAAGATCTATCTCACCGGCGAGAGTTATGCGGGGCAGTATATTCCATATATTGCCTCGCAGATGCTGGACCAGGATGATGATAAGTATTTCCGGGTTGCCGGCATCCAGATCAATGATCCCTACATCAATGAGGTGCCAGTTTTGCAGGATGGTATGGTGCCCCTGCCACAGGCTATTATTTACTCGACTAACTTTGAATGCAGTGCCTGCCGTTGCGACCGTCAATCAGCACCGCTCTCTTTTCCCCTTCAATGACACCTTCATGAGCCAAATCACCCAGCTTTGCGACGACTGTGGCTACACTTCGTTCCTAGAAGATGCCCTTACCTTTCCACCCCTTTCCAAATTCCCATCAGTGCCCTACAATGCTAGCTGCAACACCTGGGAAACCATAATCAACGCCTCGCTAGCTCTCAACCCATGCTTCAACCGCTACCACATCCCCGACTCCTGTCCCACACCGTGGAACCCAGTCGGGGGTCCGGTCGTCGGCCAGGGTCCAACCAACTACTTCAACCGCAGCGACGTTCAGAAAGCAATCAACGCTTACCCAACAGACTATTTCGTCTGCAAGGATGGAATCTTCCCGACGGCCGACGGACTGGACACATCTCCCCCAAGCTCCCTGGGACCGCTGCCGCGCGTCATTGAACAAACCAACAACACCATCATCGCGCACGGCCTGATGGATTTTGAGCTCCTGGCACAGGGAACCCTGATCAGTATCCAGAATATGACCTGGAACGGGAAGCAGGGGTTCGAGCGGGAGCCAGTGGAGCCATTGTTCGTGCCGTATGGTGGACCATCGGGAGGAGGTATATTGGGAAGAGCACATACAGAGCGTGGATTGACATTCTCGACAGTGTTCAGTTCAGGACATGGTAGGCCCCCTGTCCCAGTATGCGATGAAGCGGGATACTAACTGGAATAGAAATCCCAGAATATGCACCGGGAGCAGCATATCGCCAGCTAGAGTTTCTGCTAGGGAGGGTCGCGAATCTGTCAATGAGCTGATCGGGAGACAAACAACAATAAAAGCAAAATGCATGATTGCAGGCAATAATTGAGCAGGTGCAGATGACGGAGCAGAATGGTCGAGCTGTCAGATCGGATGATTGTTCGGCAATGAGATTAGTGAAGCTAAGCCAGCTCTGCTGAACTTGCTTCTCCACCTCAGCTATCGCCATCATAATCCAATCATCACTGCAATTCTACCTTGGTCCCCTCATCGTAGACCCGTAAATCCGACAAACAATATACTAGACGTGAACATCTTATATCAAAGCCAATTAAACCCCCCAATTCGATATGGCATCTTAATGATCGACATCATCAATCCGACCTCGGATCGGAAATTCCCCCAAACTCTGAAGCCGCGCTCGCTGGGTCCACCCCGCATCTTCAGTCAAAAATTAAAGATTTCCCCTCAACTAATTAATCCCTTCTCCATCTTCCACATTCTTTACTCCTACCCATCCCATTTTTACTTTTTGTATACTATCTACTTACATCCACAATGTCACCAACATCCATACCAACCCACCAAACCGCCGCCTGCGTCGACAATCCCAGCCCGGGCGCGACCCTCACTATCCGCCATGATATTCCCGTTCCGGTGCCGGGAGCGGGGGAGGTTTTGGTCAAGTTGGAGTATACGGGATTTTGGTAGGGAGCCACAAAATATGCTTCAATTTAGAACTGCGCTGATGGAGTCTGTTGAATTGGATAGTCATTCCGATCTGCACAATATTAATGGGGACTTGGTCATGACGACGAATGTTCCGGGACATGAGGGGGTGGGGAGGGTTGTGAGAGGTAAGAATGCTGAACGGGATTATGATGTGAATTGCGACTGATATGGTGTAGTTGGACCTGATACTCCGGCTGAGATGGTGGGGAGGAGAGTTGGTGTTAAGTATGTTTTTATCCCGGTTTATAAGTCGGTGCTTTGGTGGGATGAACTAACGAGGTGTCTATCTAGATGGCTGTATAAGACTTGCATGAAGTGTCCGACTTGCAAGGTGCAGTATACGAATTGTCGGAATCAGGATAATTCGGGGAGGGTGAGTTTCCCTATACTGATATTTATTCATGGATGAAGCTAACGGCAGTGATGGTAGAACGTTCCTGGGACATTTCAACGTGAGATATCTGTTATATCATACTACAGAGGATGCAGTCGGCTAACAATGGTATAGAATATGTCGTCTCTCCTGCAAATTTCGTCTCTCTGATTCCAGAGGATCTGAATCCCGAAGCTGTCGCGCCATTGCTATGTGGTACGTTTCATCCTTCTTTATCAAGAATACCACTAATTGGTTAGCCGGCCTCACCATGTACGGCGCTCTCAGCAAGGTAGAGAAGTTGTATGAAAAAGGAGATTGGGTGGTTATAATGGGCGCAGGTGGTGGACTGGGCCATTTGTATGCCTTCTACCCGATAACACGGACTATAGCTAATGGGTGTATAGGGGCCTTCAAATCGGCAAAGAAATGGGATACAGGATGATTGCAGTAGACAGGTAACTTCCTCTCCATTCTTTCCAGACACCGCTAACATCTCCCAGTCCATCCAAGAAAGACCTCTGTCTCGCATCCGGTGCATCCGCCTTTTTCGATTTCAAAGATGACAACGTACACCCCCTCCCTTTTCCATCTAGTTTACATACATACTGATGCCTAACCAGCTAATCCACAACATCCAATCACTAACCGACGGCGTCGGCGCCCACGCCGCCCTCATCGTCGTCGGATCCGAAAAAGCCTACGAGCAAGGCGTTGCTCTTCTCCGTCCGCTGGGCACGCTCGTATGCGTGGGCTTTCCCCGTCCGGACTTTCATGTGCCTGTGGCACCGCATTACTGCGTGGACTATGGACTGCAGATACTCGGTAGCGCGGTGGGTACGGAGACGGAAATGCAGGCATTGTTGGAGATGGCGAGGGCAGGGAAGGTGTCGACGCATTACGAGGTGTTTGATCTCGAGCAAATTAATGATGTTGTGGCGAAGATGAGACGGTATGCGGTTAGTGGGAGGGCAGTGTTGCGGATTCCGGAGGCAGCAGCTGCGAGAATATAACTGTATAGAAGTTTAAGTGTACTGAATAGCATCATAACACATATAGTATATACCAATTCTTATTCTAGCTAAGTACAACATAATCAATAGTATCAACTAACCAAACAACAACTGACTCAGGATACCCCCAACCCACTCATCTCCCCCTAAATCAAATCCCTCACTTAAAGCCCTCCAAAAAACGACGCCAATCCCCCCGCCGCCGACGAACTACTCGCCGCATCCGAGCTCGAGCTAGAACTAGTAGTAGTACTAGTACTCGTCGACGACTGAACCTTCTCAGCCAAAAAGCTCGCCGCGTCACCGGCATCCAACCCATACGTCAAATGCATAGCGGTAACAATCAACGTATCATCACAGACCAAATCACCCACAGCACAATAAACCTTGACATCATCCTTGGGATAGTTGGGGATCTGTCCATGGTCTTGCACGTTTCTCGTGAACCCGAAGAGTACCACTCCCTTCACTTGGTCTCTCACTGTCGTGCTGAGTTCTTGGACTGCGTTGTCGATTACGGCGCTTCCTTGACTACACATCCCATCCCCGAAGGGGATTATATTAGCTATGTTTCTTATTTTGCCGCTGGCAGGCAGCAATCATATTGGTATATTGGGGAAGGGAGTACCTATAACCACCCGCCACAATCTTCGTATTGGGACACTTCGAATTCGCCTCCTCGAACATCTGCTTCGCGGCAGAGATACTCCCCGGATCAGTGTTCTGGGGTAGAGCATTCTGCACCAGTCCGGCGCTGTATTGGCCGCCGACACCCTGGCAGGCGACTTTGTCGGATCCGAGTTTGGATTTTAGGCTGTCGCAGAGGGGAGGGCCGATTACGGTGCCCTATACCATTATCATTATTTATATTAGCCTTCTTCCTTTCTTTGTTTATCATCGGAGGTAGTATTTCCTCCGGAATTGGGATATGGGTAGAAGAAGAAGGTAGGGACATACCATATTCCCCAACTCAGTCGACCCTCTCGCAAAAATCAACGTCACATCCTTGCAGCTTCCCTGCTCGAGTTCGTTGGCTGTAGAGCCCGTGCCGAATTGGCGTGCGTAGAGGGATCCAGGGTCGGATGCTAGTGGGGTGGAGATGGCCAGGCTGGCTAGGGAGGCGGTTAGGAGGAGGGATTTGAGGGGGGCCATTGTATTTTATTTATTCCTTTATGGGTCTTGGGGAAAAGAAGAAGAATTAATGTGTGCTGCGCTGCAGGCTTTGGAAAGAAGAATAGAATTAGGGTAGTATGTGGTAAAGAAGGCGTGAGAATGAAAGAGGGAGTGAGTGAGTGGACTGGCTGCTCGAGTCTGAGTCTGTCTGGGTGTGTCTGGGGGATCTACTACACTTATATACATCTATCCATAGAATGGATCAACTACTACACTTACTACTAGTAAGTTCTACTAAGTGAAAATAAGAAGATTCGGAGGTTAGACTACTCCGTATACCTCGTGTGTACTGGACAGGGCAAGACAGGGCAAACAGGGTCCGACGCAAAAATGAGTCGAGATGAAACAGAACTAGTACTTAGTAGTGGTAGACCCTTATACACAGTCCACTATCTAACGAACTAGCAAGTATACCCCGGGCTCAACAGTGGGAAAACTGTTTCAGGGGATCGGCCGCTTTTCTACGCTAGGTATAGTCCCCCGGAAAACCAGGGTTCACAGGCATCTGTCTCAGTTAGGGTTCCTCCGGAGTTCATCCGACGTGTGTCCGTTCATCCACTAGATATCCAATCCAATCCAGGGACCAGGGACCCTGTTACAGGTAGTGCCTTGGGCAGTAGACATGTGGGTGATTAATTAACCTGTAGCGGGTGGCTTTTCCACTGTAAACTCAATTCCTATCTTAACCCTCGTATTCTTGTTGATGGTATAGGCAACCACGTTCACGATCAACACAACCGTTGTTTCGTTTTAGTTGGGTGGAAAAGCTTGTCGGTTTGATCTGGTTTTTGGGTCGAGTGTTTTTGCCGAGGTTGGATGGATGGTGGATGGTGGATGGGGGGATCGCCAGGGACGGAATTGACTGATTGAATTGATTACTGTTGTCATCTAGGGATAAGTTCTTCTGGAATGCCGTCTTTTTCTTCCGAAAGGATCAATATTTGGTTCGGGGTGGAGAGGACTTCACTAGGATTAACGGTCCATCAATCAATTGGAATCATGCTCATGATCACGTCGAATGTCTACGGCTATGTAAGATCGGAAGCTACGAGGTTTGGAATATGCCGTGTCTATCGTCTTCTCAATTTTGATCTTGTGCTATCCACTACACATTAATTATCTTCTAGTCCTGCCATTATCCGGATAACCCGGAAGGTCCTCAACGTGCCGTGTGCGTTTTCAACGGCCTGTCTCTGACACCATCCGTGTCAGGGCTTAATTCTCGCCGTCCACATGCTTGGTCAATGTCTCGATGAAAGACTCGCCCCATTTCGCACTAGTGTTCGTCTCGATGAAGTGTCGCAACGTTTCATATCGACTCTTGCGATCCTCGTCACTCATCGTGACCGCTTGATGAATCGCATCAACCATCTCTGACATATTCGCCGGATGGAAAGTAATACATCCCTCCTTCATGAAAGATGCCGCGCCGGCAAACTCGGATAGCAGGAGCACTCCATGCCGCTGCGCCTGGCACGCAACGTACTCGAACGAAACAAGGTTCATCCCATCACGCGTCGACGTCAGTAAGCAGGCGTCGGCAACCGAGTACAACGCCGTCAGTTCGCTGAAGTTAACGGACCGGTGCATGTAGATCAGTGGACAGCCATCGGCGGTAGCTACATCGTCAGCACCAATAGATAACATCGAAGCATAGGGTACTTACAATGCTTGCCGTTAATCCTCCCAGCCATCGTACTCAACTCCGTCTCTAGATCCTGATACTCCTTCACATCCTCCCGACTAGGCACCGCCACCTGGATAAGCACCACCTTATTGCTCAGCTCCGGATACTGATCCAGGAAAGCATCATAGCCCTTCAACTTCTGGTCGAGCCCCTTGATATAATCCAGCCGATCCACCCCAACAATAACCTTCATCCCCGAATACCTGCGCTGCAACTCCCTTATGCGATTTTGCACTTCCTCATTCTGCAGCGCATCCGTAAACTTCTGCGGGTCGATGCCGACAATGAACTTCTCCGCGACCACCTCATGACCCTCATACTCCAACGTCCCTGACTCTTTCACCTTCGCATCAGCCCTAATACACTGTCAGCACATCCCCACACCCATAAGAAGAACACAACCTACAGAGTCTCCGCACAAAGCACAAAATTCCTCTTATACTCATCCGTATGAAATCCAATCACATCACTCGCCAGCAACCCCCTCAACAACTCCTTCTGCACCGGCAGACCGCGCCAAAAGTCCCCCGCCGGGAACGGCGTATGCAGCGAGAACCCAATCGCGCAATTCTTCCCCGCCAGACGATCCCTCAACAGCCGCGGCAGCAGCATAAGATGGTAATCATGCACCCAAATCAACGACCCCGGCTTGGCCGCCTCGGCGATCGTATCAGCAAAGATCTCATTCACTCGTTGGTATGCTTCCCAGGGACCGTCTTCAAAATTAATGCCGGATTGGTAATGCAGGATAGGCCAGAGGATAGCATCTAAACCAGAGAAAGAAATATTAGCATACCCTTACTCACTAATCTTAGGTGAGATGTAAGCAACTGGGTGGTACGCACTAGAAAAGTTATTATAGTGATTATTCGCCAACTCATTATCCAAGAAAATCGGCACAGCGTTATGCTCATCCAAGCTCTGGCGGATTTGTCCCTGTTCCTTTTCATCGGTCACGTCGATACCTGGCCATCCGAACCAGCTGAAGGTCGTGGTTTTAGTCAATCCTGATAGGGATGTGACTAGACCTCCACTGGAAAGGGAGGATTCGTAGCCCCCGTCGACCTTTTTCAGTGACAGAGGGAGACGGTTCGAAACAACGATGAGGTTGCGCTTCGTCATACTGGGCTGATTGTAGTGAATCAACGCGATCAACGGGGAAAATCAATTGCTATGTTTCGAGCTGCATGTTGCGCTGAGCGAGGCGCGATGGGTTTGTATAGTATCCCGACGGAATAGCAATACGTCAGCATGAGGGCACGACTCAGGCCCGCACGGGTGGCAGAGGGGCACCCAAAGAGTCAAATAAACGCCTCATTTCACCCCCTGGAGGGGCACCCTGTATTTCATGTCTGGACCGTGCACTGATCTCCGCTGCTAATGCAACAATGTTGCGATCTTGCCTGGTTATGTTGGATGTGTCAAGCTGGGCCGACGCGGTGGCTGGTGATCATCCAGCCGTGGCCGACGTCATTGTTGGTCATCTGACCCTATAGAACATAGTATAATAAAATGGGGATTACAGCCAGTAAGTGACAGCATGGTCAATGTTATTACGTATATACACGAACAGTAAAATCCAATCAACTCCAGTCCAGTCTTTTTCGTCCGCCCAATGCAGTGCCTGTGCAACTCCGTCTCCCGCTGATGCCACAAAGTGTAGAATATGCCTACCTCATCCGCTTGGATGGACTCGGCGTACGCATACGAGATTCCCGATCGCGGGTCCGCTCAGACACAAAGTCTTTGGTTGTGGCCTGCTCCAGCATGAGCGGCGCGTCCGGCTTCTCGAACCCTGTAGCCCCCTGATTCGGCGCTCCCATGTATCCAATTGAGTTATGTTGATAGGGGTATTGAGGCGGCGCAAGCGACGGATGATGCTGTGCGGACGATTGTCGAGAATAGCTAGGGGGTGCAGAATAATCGTGTTGGTTGAGACGGTTTCTAAAGGAACGGAAGGACCAGTTGCTGACAACGGTGACGGTCGATATCGTAGCAAGGAAAAACATCTAAAATATTAGCCGATAACTTGCTTTGGGGAGGGTAACCTACAATCGCTTTCCAGCTGATAGGGTCGATAAAGCTGTTGATGATTACAGCCATCGTATGCGCCGACACCTTAGCCCGCCCGACCTTGGCC